TGAGACTGTAGCTGTGCATCGCCCACCCACTAATCTTTTGGGAAGTTTTGGCACTGAATGAGCATGAACTGGCTTGCAAAAAAGTCTCTCTGTCCTTTCCTTAGAGGGACTTGGTTCTACTTTAGCACCTATCTGTCCCACGATAGGAGCTTCTACCGGTTTAAAGGAGGAGACTGAGCAATTGGCTTTGACATCTCCCACTCGCGCTGCTTCTGTCTAAGAGCAAGTCTTTTAGTTGCAACTAGTGCTGGATTTGGCTCGTTGCTACAGCTAGAAGCTATGTGCCCATCTTCTCCGCACTTAAAACAGTATCCAGGCTTTGGTCTGGGCACCACTGCTGTTATCTGCTGAATCTGTTTGGGCTCATCTGGAATTTTAGTCCCCACACGGGGTTTTGACTCTTTTTGAGTTTTCTTTGCCTTTTTATCTGTGTTGTTAACCTTAAGCTGTGCAATTTGGCTCCTGAGCTCAGCGATTTGTTTGCGTAAGTCATCACAGTTATCATCTATTTCCAGTTCACAAGTGTTTTTACTCTGAGAGCATGTTGTTTGCACATTTGAATACACTCTAGTTCGTTGTGCCCCTAAGTGTTGTTTCATGCGTGCTGCTTTAGTAGCCTGTTTGTCTTCTTCAGTGCGCAGTTTGAGGAGAAGTGCTGTAAAATGAGGCGGGTTGTCTTTCTTTTGTTCGAGTTGCAGGTTTGAAATCAGCGAGCTGTCCCAACAGCCTCTGCAAAACTGCTTGAGCAGCTGCTGGTCGGCGTCACTGGAGGAAATTCCATTCCTCTGAATAACTAGGTTTAACAAGGTGTATAACCTCTGAAAGTAATCGGAAGGTTTTTCACCACTGTCCTGGTTTGTGTTTAAGAAGCGAGCAAAGAGCTCGTCGCCGTCTTCGACAGCTGCGTAAGCTGAATCGAGATGTTCAAGGTACGTTTCCGGGTCGGATTTTGGACTAAGAGCTTTAACGATGCTCGCTGCTGGGGCTGACAGACTCTCCACGATTCTTCGTACAATTTGGGACTTGGTGAGTGAAGGATCATTTATGCATAACACTACACTACTACGCCAAGTATCATAGTCAGTTTCAAAAGAAGGGTGTGGAACTCGCCCTGAGAACGGTTTTAGTCTGTATTGTGAAGTAGGCGGAGGGATAACCTCACTGCTTTTAACAATGTGTTCCACAATAACACGCTGAACCTCAGGTGTGTTTAAAAGATTTGGTGGAATGCAAGGGTTTTGTTTTCCAGTCTCTGTAGGTGGACAATTGTCCTTTGAGTTGTTCATATAGTTAACTTCTGGTGTTAAAGGCAGGGAATATGTAATTTGGTCACTATGGAGCATTGGCTCTGGTTCAGTGACTGGTTCAGATGCATGGGTATCCCTTCCTAAAGATTCCCCAATTTTTGCCAGTTCCTCCATTAGAAGGTCTTTAAATGATTGATTGCTACGCGCAGCTATGTCCCTGAGCTCTGACAGATAGGCATCAGTGGCAGATGTGCTAGTTTCTAGACTGTACGCGCTGGCTAGGTCTTGAATATGGAAGAAAACATCTGGGTTCCTAGTACAAGGTTTGTCATAGGGTAAACATTGTTTCTTTAATTCCTTAACAGTGGCTTCATGTTGAAACTCCACAATAATCTGATCACAGTTTGGTAACTTAATGCGCCTGTTAACTGGTCCGAATCCTTCCATAAACCCAAAGACTTCGTTATCAAGGTCTGTATCAGTTAACCCACTGATTAAAACAGCATTTGAAACTTTGACCTTTTCTGTTTTCACAACTTCCATTTTAAAACACTCAAAAGTACCAATAATGCCAAAATGGCAAACCACTGTGACCTCCAGGCACTCTTATGATGTCAGTCAATGGTTAGCTAAGGTAACAACTCTACAATTCTCCTGGCTGGCTCGCCAAGTTTTATGTAACCGGATTACAGGATACAATAAGATAATTAAAAGAAAAATAAACAAATGGGCCAATAATTAGGTTCGGGGAGAATTGGAGGTTGTTTAAGAATGACTGGAGTCACGGGTATAGCATGAAACGGTTTATATACTAAATTTTAATAATAATGGGAGATATAACACATAAAGATAACACATAAAAACAGATGAAAACAATCGACAATAGTAAAATGGTCGGTATGAGATTTGATCATATGAGTCACAAGTCAGCCGGCGTCAAGTCAAATCCCCACGCTTGGGGTGAAAGTCAGAGTCCGGTGGTGCGATTTTTTCCTACCACACCGTTGAGATTGTTCACAGAAGAGAGCAGTCTGCTCTTCAGTTACTTGAGATGTCCTGGTTCGTTCAGTGGTTAAGGCTCGCCATCTCCCTCGTCAGGAAGAAATCCAGTTCTCGTTCCAAGTGAGTGATCATAGGAGTCGGGATCAAACCCAAGGAAAAAAAAAACCCAGCCTGTAAACAACAGGACTGTTAGCGAGTTGGCATCGACCCTTCTCGTCACATCACAGCATAAAGTCTTACAGACTTAAACAAATGCTTCACTCTATTGGCATAGCCAATCATGTTTGGGTTCACAGTTCAACTAACATAACATCAATTTGATTGTCTATTAAAATAATTCTCAGTAGCTCTGGAAATATAATTACATATGACAACAATTGTTCAGCTCAATAGGCTCAGTTAGATTCTATTACTCTACACTATTCAACAAGAAATACATTCATGACAACAAGGATACATTTAGTTGTGTTTCTATACAGCATTGTGACACCTTGTATATCTGTAACACAATAAATAAATAAATAAATAAATAAACAAACAAACAAATAAATAAATAAATAAATAAATAAAATGTTCTATAACAAAATTCAACAAAATATAAATTCTGGTCCTTTGGTCCACCTTTGTAAAATAATTCCTCCCTAATCAGTTAGCTTTTATTTATTTTTATTTATCTATTTTTTTTATTATTAAATGTTTGGTTAAGGGACGCATTGCTAATTCTATGGCGTTAGCTATAACGCCCCTGAGGACCTTGTACATCTAGGCCGTACCACCATTAACTGGCGGTTTGAGCCGTTAACTCCTGGGAATCCCATATGCCCTACCGCCGTTAACTGGCGGTTTGAGCCGTTAACTCCTATATGCCCTACCACCGTTAACTGGTAGTTTGAGATGTTAACTCCTGGGATCTAACGTCTAGCAGCCCACTGCTGTCACCTCGGTTGCTGTAATTAGCTTTTTGAATTTAATAATTTACTGAATTTAATCTCATTCACTCACCAACGCGCTCCAACGGTTCCCTCCTACAGAGGATTGGTTCACTCTGTCGTCTCCACACAAATCTATAAGAATGGAATTAATTTGATAAGCTATTTAAGTTTCCTTTTTTTTTTTAAGTTGCATCGTTAGCTTTTTCTCTTCTTTTTTCTTTACTCACCGCGTTGGTTCCAAGTTCCTAGCTCTTATTAGAAGGAGTCAAGTCCGCCTCTCCCTCTATCTATGCGGCACCCAAATCAGGGTTCTTCACGGCCTCGACCGTTGTTTTTTTTTCTCTCTCTCTCTCTCTCTCTAACCGCTCAGTCTTTGCTTTCTGTATCTGCGTGCTGCACAGCCGTTTGTCTCTCCTCTCGCTCAGCTGCGTCGCACGGTTTTATTTCGCGGAGGCGGGACTTATTTCTCTCAGCCAATGAAATTTCAGATTCCCACCTGGACCAATAGTATACAGCTTTCCTCTTCTGTTTCTGTTAGGGATGTTCAAGATTCTTGTTTTAACCGATGTTTAATATTAAACTCGTTATTTTAGTTATTCACCCTTCCAATAATTCATTATGAAATTATCTATTAGTTAATTAGATATCTATTAATTAGTATTGTTAATTTCCTTAATTTATATTTTATATTTTATCTAAATTGAGGATGGATCATATTAGTAAGCCAATTAGTTAATACCTCATTAAGGTTCTAGCTTCTGGGTTACAATCAGATTTAAGAATTTTAAGGTAATTTAAAACTTGTAAAAAAAAATGTAACCTGTGTACTCTGCCTTTAATAAATGCCCAATGATTAAAGTAACAGTGAGCAGTTTCCTGCCCTACTGGTTGAAAGTGGAATTACAAGTGTGGTAAACATCCCTGCAGCAGCCTGCTGTAGCTAGCGCTAACAACGAGCTAAAACTAACACGAGTCAACAAATGCTAAAATTAATTACAAATTTTAAAGATCAACCCTGTTGGACAAAAAAAATCATTACTTACAAATCCAGTAGCAACAAAGCCAGGTCACCATCAGTTCATGATTTCATTGCCTTATTTAGCTTCCTCGAGTGCGGGCCACGCCGATGTTCACTCTGGTTTTAGCTCATTGCTTCACTTACAAAGACATTACTCTCTTACTTTCACTTCCAGGCTCCACCATGATGCCAATAAATAAGCAAACTTTTTTTTCTTCTTCTTGTGATATATATATCTATTTTTTTTTGTTTGTAAAAAAGTGAAGAAGCTAACTGCTAGCATAACAGGTAATAGCCATAAAGCAGGTAAAGACCACCTCCTTAAACACCTACCCACTCCACAAAACCAAGTACGGTTTTTGGTCATCTGAGGGCTACAGAGTGGTGTCTAATAAGAAACTAGTCAAGTTTCTAACTCAACCAGCCCTGAGATCAACGTTAAAGCTCTAGCTTAAAGTTTAAAAATCTATTTAGTTTTACTTAAATAAATTAAATTCACACACAAACCCAATAATGAACATTCCTTCTTTAATTTATTCTGCAGGACAATAATCCTCAACACATTTCCAGGGTTATAAAGAATTACCAATCCAATGTCATGACTCTAAACATCCATTTGATTTTTAATAATCTTAGATTTTTTTCTTCTGTTTTCTCATTGGTTGAAAAGGCAGTTCATGTAATTTATCAACTTCTCTTCCCAATTATGCAGACTGAGTCTCCTCCCACCACACAGACACACCCCCCCCCCCCCACACACACACCCCCACCCACCCACCCATGACTCATTCAGCACTTTCATTAACACAAACACACCTGTTGCGTTCAAAGAACTTGGCTTCTCTTCTTCTGAGTGAATCGGACAGAGGCAGCATGGAGCTGACTGACGCTTACACCAAACTCCAGCCTTACATGCACTACCTGTTGGCTGTCCTGTGCCTTGTTGTCGTGGTGTATAAACTAACAGCGTTCTTTGTAAAACAAAAGGCGGTTATCCGGAGCATCGAGGCCTTTCCTGGACCCCCGGCACACTTTCTGTTTGGACATGTTTTTGAGGTAATTCAATGGTGGAGTTCTGCAGGATTCTGCAGCTTTTATGCGATGTCATAGCTTATTGCAGTTTGTTAGGAGTTGATATCATTGCTCAATGCAGAAGGATGTTTTAGAATGCAATAAAATATTTAAATTACTTATATGTTTTTTTTAATTCAAAAATCTCCATACTTAAGAAAAAATGTTTATTTTTTTTTTCTTCTGCCTCTTTCCAACAAGATTGTGATTGGGTATTTCCAGAGAGTAATTAATGTTTTACTAGCTTACATTTGACCAGTAAAACAAATAGTTTAACCTACTGTACAGTTGGGAAATTCTGCACATGTTGCATCAATAGGAACTGGCTTTGCTGTAACCTTTTGAAGCAATAGTCCTGATCAATGCTCTTGCAGACCTGCAAACAATTCCAATGTGTTGTGCTGACACATACCAGACAGCTTAAGAAAGAAACACATTTAAAGCACGCCCTGATACAATAAACACAATTTGTTCCTGTTTTTTAATTAAATAAATAAAATCTACATTGGGAAATAAATTTAAAAAAATAGCATTTTAGAACCAGGTGCAATTCTGGAGAGAAAGTATGAAGAATTATCCATCCATCCAATTTATCCGGGGTCCTGGGGGCAGTAGCCTAAGCAGGGAGGCCCAGACTTCCCTCTCCCCAGCCACTTGGACCAACTCCTCCGGGGGAATCCTAAGGCGTTCCGTGACCAGCCGTGATTGTCTCTCCAATGTGTCCTGGGTCTTCCTTTAGGCCTTCTTCCGGTTGGACGTGCCCGGAAAACCTCACCAGGGAGGTGTCCAGGAGGCATCCTTATCAGATGCCCAAGCCACCTCAACTAGCTCCTCTCGATAAAGAATTAATGGTCTATTAATAAAAAAAAATGTGCAACATATTCATATTGTACATGGTTCTAAAAGGTTTGTTACACTTTTTGCAGCTTGGTACACCTGTTGATTTTATTTTTTACAACATTATGTTGTGTTTTCCTAAAGTTTAAACAGGATGGGACCGACCTGTTCAAAGCGGTGGAATGGGGAAAGCAATATCCGTACGCCTTCCCCATTTGGTTTGGTCCTTCTCTTTGTTTTCTCAACATCAACCACCCAGATTACGCAAAAACCATCCTGACATCCACAGGTGTGTAAAATGTATTTTTGCTTTTATTATTATTATTATTATTATTTTTTTTTTTTATTATTATTATTATTGTTCCTTTTTACATTTTACTGTCTGTTGCAGCTTTTTAGCAGGACTTTTATTTAATTTCTGCTTCACAGAACCAAAAGACGATTTTGTATACAGGTTTCTTCAGACTTGGATTGGTAAGCGTGCTTTAAAATTTACAGCTTGTTTTGCTTTAGTTATTGATTAGACAGATTTAATCCCACATATCCTGTCCGCTTGTGTCTGCAGGAGATGGATTATTGGTGTCAAAAGGTCAGAAGTGGTTTCGCCACCGGAGGCTGTTGACTCCGGGTTTTCATTACGATGTTTTAAAACCGTACGTGCAGCTGATGTCCCAGTCTGCTAAAACTATGTTGGTATGTAAATAATAATTTAAACGTGTAAATCATTAAACTATATCTAGATCATATGTCTTTTTATTGCTTTCAGGACAAGTGGGAAAGTTATGCACACACTGATAAGACCTTTGAATTGTTCGAGCATGTGAGTCTCATGACACTTGACACAATCCTGCAGTGTGCGTTTAGCTGCAAAACCAACTGTCAGACAGAGGGGTGAGTCCATGGAAATGTAAAAAAAAAAAACCCTGTAGTTTCAGCTTCTTCAGTCCAAATTAAAAAAAAGCTGAACAGAGGAAAAGTAGCATTTTTTGTTTTTGTACTTTCACAAACCAGGGGGAATAATGCATACATCAAAGCTGTGTATGAGCTCAGCGACCTCGCCAACTTCCGGTTCAGGACTTTTCCATACCACAGTGACCTCATTTTCTACCTCAGCCCACACGGTTATAGGTACAGGAATGCTTGCAAGGTGGCGCATGCTCATACAGGTAAATTTTAGTACCTAGTAAGTACACTTGATCTAGTTTAATTTAATAATTTTTATTAACTACATTTTATTAACTTTTCTTTGTCAGAGAATGTCATAAAAAAAAGGAAAGAAGCACTAACAGAGGAGACTGAGCTCGGACGCACTCAAGCCAAGAGATACCAGGATTTCCTGGACATCCTTCTCTTTGCAAGAGTATGTTACGAATTGTGGTTTTCATGAAATTACATTATTTTGTTTGCTCAGTGTGCAAAACCTTACTTAAAAGTTATGAAGCACCTCTGAACATGTGTTTGGTCATGATGTTCAAGATGAAAAACGAGACAACAAAAACTGTGACAGACTGATAACTGATTAGATATGAGTTTATTTAAAGTCTCAGTGCGGAAACAAAGTGCAAGTGGCTTCAACACTGAGCAGAAGAGGGTTCGGTAGAGTTGGGAAAGTATTCTGTTAAATTGTCAGAGTCCAAGCCCCCAGGCCGGGCTCTCCCAGCTGACCGGCTTCTGTCTCGGACCACATTACCCAGCATGCCCCTCGTGGGGATTCCCTCCACGTTGCACCTGCGTCATCCATGTCTATATATGGAAGACGCCACACCGGCTCTTCACTCAGTCATCGTTCCACCGTGTTCCATGATCAGAGTATTCAGAAGCTAATACAGCTGAACCTCCAGCTTTCTAACTCAGACCTCATCCTTCCGTCAGCCTTTCCAGCACCGCTTGCAGCCAGCAGTCTCTAATAAAGCTCGTACTCCCGAAACCAGTCTTTGAGTCTGACAGGATGACTGAGTCCATTAATCCAGCGGAGTTCGAGCAGATGAAGAGGAAGTTGGAGCAGGTTGTTAGCGAGAACGTTCAGCTTCACGCCCTGGTCGACCGGCTTAACACCAGGCTGAACTCCCAGACCGATCTCTCCCTGCAGGTGTCTACTGCCGTCACGGCACTCCAGCAGCAGGTTCATGCGCTCCAGTTGCAATCCCTCATTCCACTGATGGGAGAGCCACACTTCAGTCTCCCGGAGAAGTGGAATGGAGAGACGGGGAGTCCAGACGGTCTGCTTACTACCCTCGACATGTAGTTCGAGTGCCACCCAGGACGCTTCCCCACTGCGCGCTCTCAGGTGGCACAGCTCACCTCCCTGCTCTCCGGACGCGCGGCAGAGTGGGCCGCTGCGCTCTACAACTCGAAATCACCGGAGTGCAACGACTACGCTGCATTTGTGGCCGCCCTCAGAAAGACTTTTGTTCCACCCAGCAGCGAAATGGGGGCAGAGACACGACTCCTAAAACTCCGCCAGAAGGAGCGCTCTGTGTGCGCATATGCGTCGGAGTTCCGCACCATCTCCGCCAAGCTGCGGTGGGATGACTCTGCCCTTCGAGCCGTCTTCTTGGAGGGACTGGCAACCTACATCCGGGATGAGATGGCAGGAAAGGAGCTACCCCAGACCCTGGATGAAGTTGTGGATCTGGCGTTGCGCATGGATCAGCGGGTTTTGGTTCGGCCCAAGCCTCTCATTCGCCCATCCAGGGCGCCTGGACTTTTTCCTCGTCCCCCCACGCCTACTCCCGGACCCGTTGCCACTGAGGAGCCCATGCAACTGGGCCACCTTCCTCCGGAGGAGAGACAGCGATGGTGGAGCGAGGGCCTCTGCGCTTAATGTGGTTCCCCCGACCACAGACGCATGAACTGCCCCCTCCGTTCGGGAAACTAAGGAACCCACTGAGTCTCGGGGTCGCTCAGGCTGGGTCACCTCCAACCCCTGCCCTTTCCAATCGGCTCCTTCTGCACGTCACCCTCCAATATGGCGAGACCTCGCTCCAGATGCACGCGCTGGTGGACTCAGGGGCCGCTGACAATTTTATGGATGTGAATCTGGCTGAACGCCTATGGATCCCCACTAACCCCTTGGAGAGGGGTGTACCAGTGACCACGGTGGACGGCAGGCTCCTCCAGCCTTACCCTGTCCAAAACCAAATGCAGTCTCTCCAGATGACAGTCCAGGGCCACCGGTAGACCCTCCATTTCCTGATTATCCATGCTCTCTCCTCTCCTCTAATCCTGGGGTTTCCCTGGCTCCGCCTCCATGACCCACAGATCTCCTGGTCCCAAGCTCGCCTTCTGGAATGGGGGGCCCAGTGCCGGACCCACCTCTCTCCTCCTCCACCTCGACCTGACTGCCCGGAAGGTAGCTCCGGTTCTGCGCCACCCAATCTGCCACCGCCCTATCGGGATCTGGCTGCGGTGTTCGATAAGCAGCGAGCCACCGCACTGCCGCCTCACCGTCCATACGACATGGAGATCAAGCTCCAGCCAGGAACCAGTCCACCCCGGGGGCGCCTTTTTTCTCTCTCCCCCGCCGAGTCCAGAGCTATGGAGGACTATATCGACCAGGCCCTCCGGCAGGGTTTCATCCGACCCTCGTCGTCCCCAGGTGCCGCAGGCTTCTTCTTTGTGAGGAAAAAGGAGGGTGATCTCTGCCCCTGTATCGACTACAGAGGACTGAACAAGATCACAGTCAGAGATCGCCATCCTCTGCCGCTCCTCACGTCCGCCCTGGATGCCATCTCCCAGGCGCGGATTTTCACCAAGCTGGACCTCCGGAGCGCCTACAACCTGGTCCATATCAAAGCTGGAGATGAGTGGAAGACGGCGTTCATCACCCCCACTGGTCACTGGGAGTACCAGGTCATGCCCTTCGGACTGTGCAATAGCCCTGCCATTTTCCAACGCTTCATCAATGATGTCCTCGGTGACATGTTGGGACGGTGGGTGTTTGCCTACCTGGACGACATCCTGATATACTCCAAGTCAGAGGCTGAACACCACCACCATGTTCGCGCTGTCCTGACCCGGCTCCCGGACAACAACCTGTTCTGCAAGCCAGAGAAGTGCTCCTTTGACCAGCGGTCCGTTTCATTCCTGAGCTACCTGATTTCGGATCAAGGTCTAACCATGGACCCTCAGAAAGTCCAGGCGGTTAAGGACTGGCCCCTACCTACCAGCCTAAAGCAACTGCAGAGTTTTCTGGGTTTCTGCAACCTCCTACCGTCGATTTATCAAAGACTTTAGCACTATTGTAGCACCTCTCACTTCTCTCACCCGACCGAGCCCTCCTGGTCAACCGTTCCGGCTCACCCCAGACGCAGTTCGGGCTTTCCACTACCTAGTCGCTCGTTTCACATCGGCTCCTATCCTGCGCCACCTGGACCAGGCAGTCCCTTTTGTGGTTGAGGTCGATGCCTCGGATGTCGGCGCCATCCTGTCCCAAGGCGGCCCCGACGACAGGCTACATCCCTGCGCCTACTTCTCCAGGAAGTTCTCCACCACCCAGCAGAAGTACGGCGTGGGGGATCTTGAACTGCTGGCCATAAAATGGGCATTGGAGGAATGGAGGCAGTGGCTTCTGGGCACCACTCAGCCGTTCACCATCTGGACTGACCACCAGAACCTAACCCACATACGGTCCGCCAAGCAGTTAAATCCTTGCCAGGCACGCTGGGCCCTCTTCTTCGAACCCTACGAGTTCCATCTCGCCTATCGCCCCGGGACAAAGAACCAGAAGGCGGACGCCCTCTCCCGCCAGTTCACCCATTCAGCGCCCACGTCCGAGCCGGCGCCCATCCTCCCGGAGCACCGTTTCGTGGCCCACCTTGGGTGGCCGTTGGAGGAGGCCATCCAAAACGCCCTCCGGGGTGACCCCACGCCGCCAGAGACCCCCGCCGGTCGGCTCTACGTCCCCTCGGCCTGTCGCAGTGAGGCGTTGTCCTGGGCCCACTCATCACGCCTGTCTGGTCACGCAGGCTTCTCTCGGACTCTCAGGTTCCTTAAACGGGCTCTCTGGTGGCCACGTATGGAGAGGGACGTTAAGGAATTCACGAGTGCCTGTGACGTCTGCGCCCGCTCTAAGGCATCCACCCAGGCTCCGGTTGGCACCCTCAGACCTCTTCCGGTGCCCAGCCGCCCCTGGTCCCATGTGGGGCTGGACTTTGTCACGGGTCTCCCGCCGGTCAACGACCTCGACACCATCCTGACGGTCACTGACCGGTTTTCCAAGGCTGTTCACTTCATCACCCTCCCGGGCCTCCCCTCGGCCCGACACACTGCAGAACTGTTTCTGGAGAACGTGGTGCGTCTCCACGGGTTCCAGGTCGACGTGGTCTCGGATCGTGGTCCCCAGTTCACGGCCCATTTCTGGAAAGCCTTCTGCCATCTAGAGGGAGCTTCTGTCAGCCTATCTTCGGGCTATCACCCACAGACCAACGGTCAAACGGAGCGGGCAAACCAACAGTTGGGCCGGTACCTCCACTGCTTTGTCTCGGCCCAGCCCTCGCAGTGGCCTAAGTACCTCCTCTGGGCGGAGCTGTCTCATAATCTCCACACCTCCTCGGCCACTCAGATGTCCCCTTTCGAGGTCTGCTATGGCTACCAGCCCCCGGTCTTTGCCCACCAGGAACCCAAAGTCGCAGTGCCGGCCACTCAATCTCTGGTGAGGCGCTGCAAGAACGCATGGATCAAGGCGCGGGCCTCCATCACCCGGGCCAACGCCCGTTACTCCCACCAACACCTCCGCAGGCACCGCCCGGGTCCCTCCTATGCTCCAGGGGACAGGGTCTGGGTGTCCACGGCAGGCCTCCGGGTCCGCGCCGGTTCCAGGAAGCTTTCTCCCCGGTTCCTCGGACCCTACCCCGTGCAGAAGGTCATCAACCCGGACACGTACCGGCTGCGGCTGCCTACAAGCCTTTGCGTCCATCCCACCTTCCACACCTCCCGGCTCAAGCCTTATGTGGAATCCTCACGCCTACCGCCTCGGGCTCCAGGGCCTCCGCCGGCCCGCTTCCTCGAGGTGAGCGTCCGGCGCATTCTGGACGCTCGCCTCCGGGGTCGGGGTTGGCAGTACCTTGTGGATTGGGCGGACTACGGCCCCGAGGAATGCTCCTGAGAGCCGGCCCGCTCCATCTTGGACCCTGCCCTCATCTTGGACTTCTGGGCCCACCGAGGTGGCCCGGGGACTTCGGGAGCCGTCCCTGGACCGGGGGGTCCTGTCAGAGTCCAAGCCCCCGGCCGGGCTCTCCCAGCTGACCGGCTTCTGTCTCGGACCACATTACCCAGCATGCCCCTCGCGGGGATTCCCTCCACGTTGCACCTGCGTCATCCATGTCTATATATGGAAGACGCCACACCGGCTCTTCACTCAGTCATCATTCCACCGTGTTCCATGATCAGAGTATTCAGAAGCTAATACAGCTGAACCTCCACCTTTCTAACTCAGACCTCATCCTTCCGTCAGCCTTTCCAGCACCGCTTGCAGCCAGCAGTCTCTAATAAAGCTCGTACTCCCGAAACCAGTCTTCGAGTCTGACATAAATAGGTCTTAGAAATATGAAAATGAGCAAATTATATATAGGATTAAGCAACTAATGTTCAGTTTGTGTAATTTCAAAGGAGTTTGACTCAACAGCCATTAGAATTCACTAACTGCTCATTCAATATATGCTTATTTGTACAAAATTTCCAGTTTATCGTATTTATCTATGATTTCAGGATGAAAACCAGCAGGGTCTCTCAGATGAAGACCTTCGAGCAGAAGTGGACACCTTCATGTTTGAGGGACATGACACCACAGCCAGCGGCATCTCTTTTCTCCTCTACTGCCTGGCCTGCCACCCAGAGCACCAGAACATTTGCAGGGAGGAAATCCTCCAAGTCTTGGGTGGCAGAGACACCATGGAGTGGTAGGCTGTGAGAAATTAGGTTGTAAATTTGGAAGTATCCTGTCCATGAGCAATTGTTTTAATTAAGTTGTAATTGTCTCTATTCTGAATGAAGGGAGGATCTCAGTAAAATTCCGTACACCACAATGTGCATCAAAGAAGCCCTTCGTCTTTACCCTCCTGTTCCAGGAGTTGCCCGGAAGACCACCAAACAGTACACATTTTTCGATGGGAGAACTCTGCCGGCAGGTCAGAAATACTTGTGTGATAATAATTTGTATATAAAGACTTATCATTTGACATATGGACTCTATTTGAAGCATCACATTTAAAGCAAATGATTATTGTTAAAAGAAACATTTGCGGTGTATTAATTAAACTGTTAAAGGAGCAATATGTAAGAATTCAACAGTGAAATAATCACAAAATAGTCCTGTGGGAAAGAAGACTATTGAAACAGATTTCATTGTCAACCGGCTGGGGAGTTTTCAGTCGTTCTCCTTTAAAAAAAACAAAAAACAAAGAGGGTCGTGGTCACAGTTACAATGAGTGAGTTTGTGAGGTTGCTGTGTCTTCGCCAAGCTAACGCTGCAGCGCCAACATTTATAATTCAACAGGCAATAAGCTTGTCATGATGTGTGCCTAACAGGCCACCGTACGGGGCACGTGTAAGAGAGGCAGACTAGAGAGAGAAGCCATTGTTGATCTACACATTAAAAACACAGTTAACTTCTGAGGTGTTTCATTCTTCATTTTTGCTGAACACGACAAAGCTCCACAGTTTTGTGAAGAACCAAAGCCAGTAAGCAGGAGCGACCCTGTAACTGTTTCTTGTACCCCTAAGAAAACACGGCATCTTTTTGTTTTACTCTGATATCAGGTGAAGAAGGCTATAGAGGTTAATGCTAAGCTAACAATGCTAGTGAAGGATTAGAGGCAAAACGTCGGCTCTAAAATATCTCAAGCTACTTTTTCAATCCCCAACAACTTAATATTACAGTGAAATGTATGTGTGGTGAATTATGAATCAGTCGTGGCATTTTACTTTCTTTAGTACGTTGTTCAGAACTATAACAGCAAGCTAACAGCAAGACGGCAAACAACCATACTTCCTCTAAAGCCGGAGAAATATTAACATAATAAGTGTAGTAAGTGTTCCCTACCGTAAAACGCCCAAGAGTGCAAACACCAGATATAAAGACGTATTTATGTTCTTATCAACTTACTGTGTATGACTCGTCTTTGTCATGTAGAATCTTCTGGCGCTGATCCGTGAATAGCAAAAGCCATGAAACTCGCGGAGCAGTAACGAGAAAGTCAAAAATTTTAAACTAACCTGCAGTAAACAAATGTGACCACAAGATGTCATTCTTGCTTCTTACGTTTCACCTTTAAGCTTGTGTTGTGCAATTACATAGACAAAAATATAATGGGCTAGTTCACACACCCTGCTGCTTTTCAGGCAGGGTTGATTTCGCTGATAAAAAAAATTCGGATTTTTTGTGACGAATGAATTTTGCTGACAAAAACAAAACTAAAAATGATCACTTCTATTAAAATGAAATTGTGACTAATATCGATCGACAGTTTTGTCGACAAATAAATGATGACGATGAAAAGTGACAGTAACGATAATCGAATCAGAAAATGGGAATAATGGAAAGAACAGACAAAAGAACCAATAAGCAAATGCAACAGGTGGGACTAGACGAGAAAAGAAACAATCCAGTCCAGGGACATCCCATATTTGAACAAGCCACTGGTAACAGTTAAAGCTAAAAGGAGAAAATGTCCACGACTGGGAGGAAAAGCATTAAATGTGATGAATTGAAAGGTATTTGCTTGGTGGTAGCAGGGGCAGGGGCAGGGGCGGGTCAGGGTAGAGAGGAGGTGGGTTGGATTGATGCAACCCAGCTGACCTCAAGGTGCTGCACATTTGGTTATCGTTTTTTCATGGCACTGAGCTGATATTATCAGCCTTCAGCGTTGTGGCGGTGTTTTTGTGTGGAAAAAATATTCAAGCAACCCAGAAAAATGTTCAGGCAGCCCACCTCGGTAAAATAGTGCAGGTAAAACTTTAATAAACACACCTGAAAACAACTCTTACCTTTAGTTTACCTCCTGGGTAACACCATTTATTGTTATGATGTCATTTCCTGTCATGTTTACAAATTTTACTGCACAAAAACAGATTTGTTTACTTTATTAATATTGAGAGACACAATTTCAAGCTGTCAATGTGTATTTTGTTTTCTTCCAGTAATTATTGTTATTTAAAACAATTATACATTTTGAGGTTTTTTGATCCAAATTGGGAAATGTGAATTTGTTATGTATTTACAATTTCAAGTAGGCTCAGTTAACATTTCCTTAACAGATTTGCAAAATTTTTGCATCAGAAGAAATATACATGTGTTTTAATTAACTAAAATTGTTTTAATTTTTAGTTAAATCAAACTGAACGACTAATTTGTGACTGAAATTAAAACAAATCTTAGTCAAAAGATCAAGATTAAAAATAATTTCAAATTTCTTGTCAAAATTAAGATTGTTTTCAGGAATTTAAAGCAGAAGCTGCTTTTCAGTGATGAACTGATTCCCCACTTAGAAAAATGTTGTGAATGCTTTCTTATTTCCATTTTAACTGCAGTCATAAATAAAATAAAAATGGCGCTTTTGTCCTGATTTCTAGGTTTTCACGTTGCAGTAAGTGTTTTTGGAATTCACAGGAATCCTGTTGTCTGGGAAAATCCTAATGTAAGTAATCCTTAAAAATCTGATTGCTTGTAGGAGGCACTACGATGATAAAGACAATGTGAAATTTGATACACAATTCCTTCAAAATCTGGAGTGTCAATGTTTGTATGGCACGCCGGCAGAGATCAGTGCAACGCAAACTAACAACGCTTCATTATTTATGGTAAATGGCCTGTATTTGATAGAGTCCTGAAACCCCATAAAGGTGCTTTGCAACACAATCAGTCATCCACCCATTCACTGGCCAGTGGCTTAAGTGTCTTGCCCAAGGACACAACAGCAGTGACACACTGAGCGAGGCTCATACCTGCAACCTTCTGGTTACGGGGCAAGCACTTAACTCCTGTGCCACCATCAGTGGTGTGTTTAGAAATTAGATTTGTCTTCATGATCAGGTCTTGATTTGAAGCATTTAGATCACCTTTGACGTTTTTCTTTCTTTTTTGTTGTTGTTGTTGTGATAGGTCTTCGACCCGCTCCGTTTCCTCCCTGAAAATGTGTCTAAGAGGTCACCGCATGCCTTTGTACCTTTCTCAGCTGGACCAAGGTTTGAAACCACAAGACTTTTTCGATGATTCTATCGGTGTACTACTACGTATTGCCTGGTTATAAGTCTGACATCAGTTCACAGTATAGTAAGTAGTAGCTAAGTACCTGCTTCCAGTTTGACTAACACAATAAATAGTAAGGAGAACATGAACAAACGTACCTTTCTTCTGATTTGATTGCAGATTTTTTCCTAAGTATTGCATTTCCCATCCTTGCGTTTCACTGTTTTCTCATGACGCCGACATTTTGTTGCTCTCCTCTAGAAACTGCATTGGCCAGACTTTTGCAATGAATGAGATGAAGGTGGTGACAGCCCTCACGCTGAAGCGATACCAGCTGATAGAAGACCTGCATTTTCAACCCAAAATGGTTGCCAGATTGATTCTTCGCTCACTCAACGGAGTCCACATCAAAATCAGACCTGTAGATCCACAGGTGTGGGAGAAGAGCTAAGGCAACTGCAGACAATGCATCTTGGAGAAAGGTTTTGTTGATGTGGATTTTTTTTTTACTCTAAAAACTCAGGTTTTAAATTTTCTCCACGTTTTTTATATGTGTAAGAAGAATGTTTAAAAGGAACAGTGACCGTTTTTATTAGTTTGACTTTGCATGAAAAAGGCTGTTACTTCAGTTTGCAATCATTATGAAACCTAATTATTTGTACTGTAAATGGATCTTATATGTAAAACCTGATAACTTGGGACAATGAGCAAATTGTGACTTTGATATTAAACATTTAAAGCATTTAAAGCATATTATGAATAAAGACAAGATGTCAAATGTAGAAAATTGTTATTTATATTGATTTGGAAAAAATACCACAATTTAATATTGATTCTAACTTTACTACAGACAACTGGATTTGTAGAGTTTTTTGTTGTTGTCATTTATAGATAGAAAGATAGATAGATAGAAAGATAGATAGATAGATAGATAGATAGATAGATAGATAGATAGATAGATAGATAGATGGATGGATGGATGGATGGATGGATGGATGGATGGATGGATGGATGGATGGATGGATGGATGGATGGATGGATGGATGGATGGATGGATAGATAGATAGATAGATAGATAGATAGATAGATAGATAGATAGATGGATGGATGGATGGATGGATGGATGGATGGATGGATGGATGGATGGATGGATGGATGGATGGATGGATGGATGGATGGATGGATGGATGGATGGATAGATAGATAGATAGATGATAGATGATAGATGATAGATAGATAGATAGATAGATGGACGGACGGACGGACGGACGGACGGACGGACGGACGGACGGACGGACGGACAGATAGATATGGATGGACGGACGGACGGACGGACGGACGGACGGACGGATAGATAGATAGATAGATAGATAGATAGATAGATAGATAGATAGATAGATAGATAGATAGATAGATAGATAGATAGATAGATAGAGATGGATGGACGGACGGACGGACGGACGGACGGACGGACGGACGGACGGACGGACGGACGGACGGACGGACGGACGGACGGACGGACGGACGGACGGACGGACGGACGGACGGACGGACGGACGGACGGACAGACAGACAGACAGACAGACAGACAGACAGACAGACAGACAGACAGACAGACAGACAGACAGACAGACAGACAGACAGACAGATAGACGGATGGATGGATGGATAGATGGATGGATGGATGGATGGATGGATGGATAGATGGATGGATGGATGGATAGATGGATAGATGGATAGATAGATGGATAGATGGATAGATGGATAGATAGATAGATAGATAGATAGATAGATAGATAGATAAAACGGACGACTTTCTTCTTGCATCTGCCCTTGAAATTGGTCTCTAAGGAAGGAAGTAAAACCCTGAAGACAAGTTGAAGATATCCTCCAATCTGTTCATGGACCTGTGGTCCACAGGGAGCCGGTGCCTGACTCAGCCGTTGAGGTTTGTTCTGGACAGGACAGCTCACGGAGCCTACACAGATTAATTAGACAGGCAACCATGCAAACATTTACGTCCTTGTCTCTTAGCGCAGCCGACCACGCAGCAAGCTAAAACCATTTTACTGTCAGATCAACTAAATAAAAGCGATAAAAGGCTACAAACTGGCTTGTTTTGACTACCTTCACTGGAGTTTCTACGGGTGTAAACGGTCTTTTTGCCGTCCATCATGGCGAAGGGGGCGGTCACATGAGTGGCGTGATGTCACATGCAAAGGGTCAATACACAGTAAATAAAGCTGTCTTGTCTCATGAATCTTCATCATTTATTATAGAACCATTTTATTGATGCTTTCTGTGACTGCTTTGCTCCCCCATCTCATTCCCGTTATTCAGTCTTTTTTATGCTTTTATTTATTTATTTGGCAGACACATTTATCCAAAGAGACGTACGATTGTTAACCTAGGGCATGTTGTGATCTGTGGGGGAAACCGGAGTACCCGGAGGAAACCCACGCATGCATGGGGAGTACATGCAGCGCCACGCAGAAAGGCCACAGCAGGGTTTTGAACCTGCAACCTTCTCGTTGCGAGGCCACAGTGCTAACAACTGAGCCACCATGCAGCCTTTTTTCCTTGACGATGATGCTTCGATTGAAGGTTGGTGAATCTCTCTGATCTATTGTTTAGTCCTTTTATAATTCTTCAAAATATGACTTTCAAAAATTTGGTTTGCTGCGTGCGGCCTTACGTAGGCCTGGCACTACTTTTTGTCCAACATGTGTCAATTTTCCTTATCGTTTTAGGCACGCGTTGTACAGAATGCTGTCAAAGGTCCAAACGCCAAAAGAAACATTGATTAAGACAATTTTAAAGGTCTATAAGAACGTTTGGCCCATTGGAAACAAAGTACAAAAAAATTAAATGTGGTTTGCATTAATAAAACTTTTTAGTCCGTCATCCTTATGTCACCTCTCTGTGCTCAGGCCAGCTGATCTTGATTACCTTTAGCTGGAGGTGAAGAAGAAAGCTGACAAGTGGTCTTTAGATTTTAAATTTCTCTTGGAAACGACCAATTCTCCAGAAAAACAGTCCATAAAAAGATTACGGTACTTGACCTGTTATCAGTAACAGTTCAAAGGTCACAATCTGTTTAGGTGGGGGGGCTCTGGTGGAAGGGGCAAGGGTCACGTTAACGTCTGTTTAGGTGCAGTGACACAAACAGCATCAAGTTAAGCATTTTTATATAAAACATATTTATTTAAGCGAGATTCGTTGAGTGCACCTATCACATTCAACCAAATCTGTAATGAAATAGAAACAAGAAAAAGGAAAGCACAGAATGGTCACTAGCTGGATGTTTTTCATAAATGTTCTTTGATTTACATGAATATTTTACTCGACTTTCATCTGAAGCTGAATAAATTACTATAAAGCATAAAGCCACTCATTTTTGTGTTTTTTAAGTGTGTTTATCCAAGAGAAGTTAACAGGATTAAAGGATGCTCAACTAAATATGCACCAAAAACTCAAAGAAGCGTGTGGTTGGTTGAAGAGGTTAGTGGTTACCTCGGGTTATTTCATGTGGCTTATGGCCAAAGAAGGAAGTGTTTAACTAAGTCGCCGTTACAAAGTAACTGTTTTATTTCACGTTTCCATTTGCATTAGCTAATCAGGGTTTTCTCAATCTTTTTTTTTGAAACCGTGTGAAGCACCGAGTTTGACCTGTCACAGCGGTTTGTCCGTGTCACATTAACTGTTTGGAAGTAGGTGGTCTCCGCAGTGCTGTGAATGTTTAACACAGGGAAAATAGACTGAAGTATGGGGAACACAATGGTGTTTAATTCCATCAGATTTCATCACGACGCGTTGATAAACCAGAGATAGTTGGATTCGGATTTTAATAGTAGTTAGTCCCACAGTTAGGGACACAAAACCCCAAGATTGGTAACTTTAGATCATTTTTAGTGCTTTTTAGAATTATTGCAATATTTGTGTAAATTTATCAGAAACAGTTGTTTTTAAACTTTAGTAAGGTCAGATCACATACTGAACAATAATCATCATGCCAAACATATATATATATATATATATATATCTATATAGGTATATATACTGAACAATAATCATCATGCCAAACATATATATATATATATATATATATATATAAAATCAAAATAATAAAACTGACTCCCATTTATATAAGGGCTTGAGATAAACAGAATGTTATTCTGTGTGGAGAAAATGTTGATAACTTTAATAAGGATTAAATAAACGTACAAAAAGAAAATGTCAAATTCTTTTTAATTTACAGTCATTTTACAAAATCCACACATTAAAAAGGACAAAGTCACCAGCAGTTTGTAAAAACTGGAACATCAACCGAGCTTTTCGTCCAGGCCTTTGACCTTTCATTGTTTCCAAGGACCCCTAATAAGGCAAAACTTTTCAGTACTTTACTTGAATACACCAGAGGATATAACCTGAACTAACATAATCCAGAGGTTCTGATGGTTCTTACCAACTCAACCAGACCTTTGATCCGCCCAAAAGCCTGTTCCTATTTAATACCCTATCATCTTCCAAATGCTAGAAGGCAGAACCAGATTTGACCATTTTCATACTTTTTAATGCAATATTGCATTTATCTGCACTATAAAACCATCATAAAATTATAACCAGATGACGTGTTCGACAGTGGGAATTTATTTTGCAGCTTTTTTCTCGACAGTTATGGAAAACACAGCTTTAAAAACATGTTATGCTGCACTGCTGTTCGGTTTTATTTCATATTAAATCCGCATTGTGCTAGAATCCTTTTTTCTTTTTCCTAGTACTTGAAACTTTACTGAAATGACAAAGAAAAACTGTATTTACAGTAGATTTATGGTGGGAAATGGCCAAACTTTTAAAAACTCAACATGTCAAATATATATAATGAACATTGTACAGTTCAGACTTTAACCTAAACAAAAAAACTAATGAAGACATGTATTTATTTACCATTCCTTTCATTAAATGAAGACACAAACCTGTTTGTATAAACTAGCGCCTGCAGGCTTCTTTTTCAATCTCACTCAAACCTGATATTAGAGATTAAACCACCATCTAGTGGCTTGTGAGTGAATGCAAGAAAAACTCCAACCACCCAGTGGATTGAATTAAAATGTTTGATTTCATTGTTTTCTAAATAAAAAAGCCCCCCCTATGTTGAAAACTGATCCAGATCTGGAGTTTTGGATTTTCTCGATAAAATACTGTAAATAAAATTACTTTTTCACCTTTTTTAACACTTTTGTCGACATTTTGAAGGAATGAGTCCAAAAACATATAAAAACAAAATCATACCATTACATAACAGTTATCATATCCACTGTTGTTCGCCCAGACTAGTAAAAGTCTACGTGCCCCCACTCGCCTGCAGCTCCTTAAATCACAACTGTTGTAAATTTTGGAGAACTCCATTACAAATAAATGAGATTCTCTTGTTTATGGGATGAATTTTATGCAAAACTGCGTAAATATGGGAAACACAACAAAATGATGATAAAAATAAAAGATCCATCAGAAGTGAAGAACTCCACCTCTGCCAGGTCACAGTCCCTGATGTATCTGCTGGAAACCTGAGAGTCGGCAGCACTACAGAAAAACTGCTTAGATGAGTAGCGAGGGCGTGGGTTTCTTTCCTGGCCACGCCTCTTTGGCGTACTTCTTTTTGCGCGGCTCGTTGAGGGTCTCTGGCAGGTAGGGAGCTGTTACAGGTGTGGGGTTAAGGGTGATGAGGGGCTGAGGAGCATCTGGGTCCAAGTCTACCTCTGGCGCTGGATTAGGGAAGGGCAGCGGAAGCCCTCCTTGCATAGCAACACCTCCCGGAGCTCCCGTTGGCTTGTTCTCATGACTGGTAGGAGGCAAGTCGCCATAAAGTCCACCACCTAAGCTGTAGCCGTGGATACGCTTTGAAGCCAGATCGTCCAGACCCAGAGTGTTTTGGCCGTCAGATCTTCGCTTCTGCAAAACGGACGGAGGAATAAAAACTAAAACTTGGAAACAACTACTTCCATTATTAATGGAGAATTACGTTCACCTGTGGGGTGAAACATTTACCTTCATGGGGATGACGGCTGTCTGAATCATATTCCTGAAGCGGCCGACCGATGGGTCTATGTCCTCTGAATAAGTCAACAAATAAGGACAGTTTACATCAGATGAACTACTTTTTTTTTACTGCACTGAAGACATCACCAATGTAAAATAAAATAAATAAAAAACTGTTACATTACTCTGATTCACATTTAAGGGCACAAATTTGAGTTTTTTGTACATTTGTCTCTAAATCAACCTAAAAAAGGTAGTTTAGATCAACACTTCCAACTCATCTCCATCAAAATCTAGTGATGGTTTGACCAAGAAATGAAAACAGATAAAGCTTTAAACAAAAGATGTTTGTGTTTCTACGTACCTGGGTTGATGATAGAGTCCTCTTCACTGAAAGTAACTCTGGAGTTCCTCCGTTTCCTCTTGGGTCTCTGGATTTCCAGGTTGCCTTCCTCGATGGTCAGGAGGGAGATGCGTTTGTTGTGAGCAGTGTTGAACTCCGTTAGATTCTGGCAGAAGTCACAAAAGAGTGTCGTTAAACCACACTGACACCAGGATATTACCATGCTCTATCTGATGCAGCACCTCCCCAGGATAGATATAAAAAGGTGCATGAAGTAACAGTGACATCACGTGGTCAAATTTGCATATGGCAGTCCATGTATCAAAATAAAACGTGTCCGCTCTTAACTGTTACCAGCTATGGCTCAGTGCCAGAAGATTCTTAGTCTGGTACTGCTGGGACATCAGCTTCTATTAGTCATGTTACAATGTCAAATAAAACAGTTTAACATGTTACTAAAGTAACTGGTGTGTCTTAAAACACAGAAGAGTTATCTGTGACGTTACAAATAGAAAACAAAAATGGTGTCCGTGTCCATATTTGATGCACCAAATAGTAAAAGAACGAGTTATTGCTGCAAGAAAAGAGAAAATGCAGTAAAACTCTAGTATTTAAGGCTTTTTGCTTCCTTTCAACTTGAAGCTTAATAAACAAAGTCAAAATGCTGAAAAATCAACAGTAAAAAGCAAACAAACAAAAAAAAAAAGAAAATTGGAGATGTCGGGAAAAAATGTGGTGCAGTTAACTCATTCACTGCCAATGACGTCGTCATTTGCATTTTTTTACTGTTTGAGCATCGGCACGAGCCCCCGCCCTGAGAGAACAAACATCTCAGCCCTGAAGCTGATCTTCATCCGCATACGTCACATATCACGTGATCAGGAAGCAGAACATCCATGTGTTAGGAGATCGTTTTGGGCCGTTCCTGTAAAAAAAAGTGAGGCGCGAACCGGAAAAGCGTCTGCCGATCACAATTCGACAACGGATTATGAAAGAACGGATAATGCTCGAAACACACGGCTTCTTCCTGATGTAAGAGGTGAGTCTCCTCTTTGTTTTTGGTTGTTTTGGCATTGACATCATGCTAGCGCGCAACGTTCTGTGACTCTTAAAAAAAATCATAAAAATGGTGAGAAACGCTGGCAGCGAAGGCCGTTACCCCCAAATTCCACTACCTCCATTCCGCTCTGGTCCGGTCCGCCCCGCCTTCCGCAGCCGCTCGCTTCCAAACTCAATTTTTACTGGTACCCGCTCTACAACGGCTCCGCTCCGGTGCGGAGACCTGAGGTGGGCAAACAAGCATGCACGGGATTTTCGAGATCTTGCGATACAGTCCGAGCAATAAACGCGGAAGTTAGATCCAAACACCCGTTGTGTGGGAGAAGCATCGGCATGAACTGTTTAATCTGCCCATCATTTGTGTTGAGAGATCAGCAGTGTTTGGATGAACAAAGTGTGACTACTTTGATAGTAGAAACTGTATTTATGGCTTACTTTTGTGCATTTAAACTTCAGCCGCCACTGATAGTTGTTAAAAGTTGTTAAACCTGTGCATATGAAACAAAAAACGCCTTTTTTTATCGATTTATTGTGAAAAACGGAAGTTGTGCTTGCTCCTTTTCCTGTTGGGCGGTTGTGATTTCTGTCCATTTACTGCGGAGGTGCTCCGGCGTCCGGCGAAAATAGGATCGATTCTATTTTTGCCGGACGCCGGAACAGAGGGCAGCGCACTGCGCCGCATTGCCGGAGCACGGCCGCAGTAGTGGAATTGCTCTGATTGACTACAACGGGACCGATTTTGCTCCGGCGTTCGTGTCGGAGCGGAGGTAGTGGAATTTGGGGGTAAGTGATCAGGAAACGGCTGGCAGTGAGTGAGTTAAAAAACCAAACACACTGAGATCATTTCACACTGTGGCTAATTTGCATACAAATAATTCCATTAAGATGCCACAAGCGCAAAACAGGATGTCAAAACAAGTCAAGAGTAACAAGCGGCGAGTCAGTGGAGCTGATCTGAATTCTAACAAACCTCCAACTCTGTCTCTTCCTCCGGAAGCCCGAGCAGTCCTTTTAGCTCCTCCTCATCTCCTGTCTTACTGTCGCCGGTGCCAGCGCTTCCTTGGGTTTGGGGTTTTTCTCTGATGGTGTAGGTACGTGTTGACGCCCCGAAGGATATTGTAGAGTCGATTGGAACCTGCTGAGGCTTGTGAGGCTCAAGGCGAATGTGTCCGAGGAAGGTACCATGTGCTTAAATTGTAAAAAAATAATAATAATTAGGATTAATACATTAAAAGAGCAGAGTGACTGAGAAATAATTAAAGTGTTTGTGAAATCTTACTGCTATTAAGATCTATAAGGAAGAGCCTTTTTAGGTGTTTATGGTAGACTAGAGCGGCGTGAACACGCGAGCACGACTGATGGTCGATGGTGAAGTCACACCAGTCGGGGTTCCTACCAAACAGGTAGAACTTCTTTTCATCTATGATCAGTTTCTACAAGGAGAAACGGATGGTGTGAATTAGTAATGGCGTACATTAATGCATTTGTGCCTCTGAGTTATAACTCAACAGTGTTGCTTTCCACTGAAGGGCTTAAATCTCAGGGCTGATGTTGTTCTCGCACCTTTTGAAGCCATGCAGTCATAGGTTAACCCCATTGTGCAACACGCACAGGGCGGAGCAGACTGTCAGGCTTGTATCTGGTGCTTTTAACATTTGTACAATAGTAACAATCACATGTGTGTTCTGCTATGTGGAAAACAGAATCATTAGATGTTTAAAATAATAAGGAATGACATTTTATTGTGGAATTTGCTTATGTTTAAGAGATTAAACAAATCTGGATTTTTAACTTAGAAATTAAATAGAACTGAGATAATTAAAGCTGATTTTAAAGAGTCCAAACTAAATAACAGTTTAAATTTCCAGTTACCTCAACCAGTTTGTCTCCTTTCATCACGTCTAAGTGCAGTCCTGTGGGCGGTTTTCCTCCCCTATAAGAAACAATTAGAGACTTATTTAAACACTGAACTGATCTCAGAAAATACAGCAGTGCATAAATATATTTACAGCATATTTAACCATTTTATAATCTAATTTTAATTCATTTATTCAAACATTTAGCTCTTTTCACTCGAACCGAATACTTCAAGAGCATATCTGTCAAAAAATGTCCTGCTGTCACCTCTATACGTTTCAACTAGGTGAGAAACTTTTAAAATCAAGCCTTTCATTCATTTTCAAGCAGAAAGCAAACCGTGATCCGCATTTAGGCTAGCCTTGTAGGAGGGGTTAGCCTGCTAGCTCGATTGGATGCTAACGCTAACGAACTTCTTTCCTCTATAAAAGTTACAATTGTTAACGTAACAACGTCGTTTTGCTCGTTTGCACATAATCAAGCGCTGCAGTTGGTATTTTAGTACTTCAACATGTGCATTTTCTCACCATGATGGGCAGTCAAAAGGTGGACCGTCTTTGCTTGTTTTAGCTGCCATCTTCCCTCTACATGTTAACGATGCATTTTGGGTAATTGTCGCTTAGGAATGCTGGGAAATGTAGTCCGGTAATAGACCACGCCATATTAAAAAAAAGTAAAAGTACAAAAAACAAGCTAATATTTCGCATTTATAGATGTGGTTGTGTGTGGAACTTATATATTGTTGAGTTTATGATTAAATTCGGGTTTTAGAGTTAGTATGAAGTAGTCTACTAAAAATAATAAAGAAAAAAGTTCAGGTAAGTCACATTTATAGTTCATAAAAAACACTAATTTTATCATCACAAATCTACTACTGTGTGTAAAGTTGCAATTTGTTATCAAAAGAGAACATTAACGCGCAACAGGGGCGGAAACAGCTACTCACCTAATAATGATTAAATAAAAACAAATTATATAATTTCAGTCCAATTCTGTTAATATTAAAACAATAGACCTTAAATGATAAGTTTTTCTTTATACTGGAAAGATAATGTACATCATAACAACATAGTTTTGTTTAATGTAAACTGATTCTGTTTATATGTTTCAGACAGATGGAGGTGACAAATTTTACTTTTACTTAAGCAGCTTCTCTTCAGCCCAACAAAAACACAAATCAAGCACACGCAAGGGTGCCCCCAAGGGTGGCCAGGGGTGGCCATGGCCACCCCTAGAAAACAGCTTTTTAGTGCATTTTGTGTGACACAGCCAGATGTTTTTATTTTAAAACTTTTAACCTTTATTTAACAAGACAAAGTATTTCTTACAACTGTGGCCAATCCAAAGGTAGTGCCTTTTGACAGAAGGATGGGCTAAATTGCAAAAGTTACCTTTTCCACAAAAACAAAACAAAAACAATATTTTACAAGAACATCTAGATTGAGATGACTTACGGTTTTCTGTTTGAATAATTTAAGTAGCCCAAGACATTTGAGCAGATTCATTCAGATGATAATTTTAAAAGCCACTATTTTATTATTTGATAAAACCAGGCCATTTGTTTAACCAACAAGGATTTATCTCAAAGTCCATTTAGAAATGTTCATTAAAAAAAATTAACATTAAAAATTTGTTTGGTGTTTTTTAATGTTTCAAATAAGAAAAAAAAATGTCCTTTTTGTTTTAAGAGATATTAACATGTATTTGTCAAAAATGTGGCTTTTATAAAATTTAAAGTTCCTAAAGAAACCACTGGAGGTCTCTGAACTCCAAATTGCAAATTCTCAGTAAAGACCCAAAAAATAAAGTTTTGAAAAAGTTTGAAATGTTGGTTTGGAAACAGCGATACCACAAGCCTCCTACAGCATTTGTTACAAAGATTCAGCACCTAGAGTTTAACACAGAAAAGGGATGAATAAGTAGCCAGATTCGACTGACGCTTTGCTTATTTTCTCTTTCTGATTTGTAAACTGTGGGTTTGAGGGTCATAGGCTTCGGTCTTGTCATAGAAAAAGTAAAGCTGCCATACTTTTAGTTTCTCTTTAAAGCAGAAGGAAATGAGCCTGCAGTCTTTTTGTCCTTTTACAAATAAACTAATGCCATCAAAGTTCCCTTATAAATGATAAAACACAAAAAAGAACATGTTTGGGTAAGGTGCCTTTGATCATTCATTGGTTGAAAACATAGTTTGTCACAGGAAACATGTTAGACAAAACTGGTATGACTAAAATTAACCTATTTGATGTATCCAGGTGAGTCACATGAGAGTTTTTAGGTTATGTTCCTAGTTTGTGTTTTTCTTTCAGTTATTTGCAACAGAACAAGTCACATTCATCACACTTTATTTCCAATCATCCACTTCTTTCTAATCTGGCAATGACGTGTTTTTCATTTAGCTACTGGTACAAACCAAGAACCAATCTTAGCCTTGCAGTAACTTTTGTTTTAACAGTGAATTTTTTACATTTCAATTGGCTCCACAACAATAAGCTGCTGTCAACGATTTTTAAAATCACAAATCTTGACAGTAAAACAGGGCCTCCGTCATAACTCATAAACTTCCCCCCTCCCTTAAAAATGAAAAATGTTGTGCAAAAGCTCCTGTCACTTCCTCATATACTTTTGTGGTTTTGCTAGAAGCGCAACTCCTTTTTAGCTGCAGTCGTCATTTAACACTTGTCTTCAGTCTTATTTCGACTCGCCGAGGCAGCAACCATGGCAGGCATTGCTTTGCCGCTTCAAGATTTTATTGCATCGCTGGATCCCAGCAGTTTACCGAAAATTCTACAGATTTGCTCTGGAGTCTATTTCCAAGGTGGGTTTTATTTATTTATTTATTTATTTATTTATTTATTTATTTAGTTATGTATTTAGATCTGTTTTAAGATCATTATGATTTTATGACTTTATGATTAATTTTGTTTTGATTTCAATGAAGCCCCTTGTGATTCTTTGTCTGTGATGAGTGCTATATAAATAAGATTTACTTATTTATTAAGATAATAAAGGTACAAATTTCTGAGTATAGGAATGTAAAGATCAAACATTGTGTTTCCTAGCTAAATTAGTCACATTTATTATGATTAAAATTTTCATAATCATAAAAAACTTCATCATCGAGGCACATTTGGGAACTTTTATATGCCTGACGGGTTCGTTTCATGCATCAGGTTCGGTGTATGAAATATCTGGGAGTGAAGTTAGCTTCTCCACTGGGGATCTAATAAAAGTCATCGGTATTGAACTGCAGTCTGTCTCCTGTGAGGATGTTGCCAACAAGGAGACATTTGAACTGCCAGTCAGCCATGCAGGTTAGGAAGAAGTTCGTAATAGTACCATAGTTTGGTTGTTGTTGCAGCTCACTCACACATAATTGTTTTTTCAGGGCTGTTCAAGGTCGTCCCGGAGCAGATGCCATACAGTTCAGTTGAAGAGATGATGAGTCTGAGGCCTGTGGGCCAGGAGTCCTTCCTGCCTTTTACTTTCCACAGCCACACTAAAATGACACTTGACACCTTCACCCTGGGGGCCGGCAAGGCTTTGACTGTGATCGCCATCGAGAAACACGAGGGGAAAGAGGATCAGGTGCGGTGCCACGTTAAAGGAGAAGCAGAGGCCTCGGCTGAAGTCCGCATCCCTTTGTCGTCTCGGGGGCAGTTTTACGAGTGCGAGAGCGAAGAATGCTACACCCTGAAGGAGATCATGTCTTCACCCTTTCTGCGTAGCCGAAGGTTTTGCTTGGTTAAGAAAACCAACTGTGAGCGGGTCCTCGTCCTCAGTCCAGTTTACCAGATCCAGGCCATTATGAACTGTAAGAATGACAAATTTTTTTAAACTATGTCTTTAAATTAGACCTGAAACACAAAACCCTAAACTCCCTAAATGTAAGTACTGAACATTCTCAGGGGCATACTTTCTGCATGAGTACTTTCAATTCATGATGTCTAAGTACTGATCCAGAATTTAAAACATTTTCTTTGTTCTGCTTCTGTATGTTTTTTTTTGGCATTTGTCTACTTCCATTTTTTTCTCCATTTCTGCAAATCTGGTATCAAAACATTCAACTCGTTCTGCTCTTTACGCTCTATCCAGGAATGAGTCTTTTCTACAATTTTCTGCTCATTGAAATTATGTAGAATCCTTTGGATTTAAAGCAAATCTTTCTGCTTTTTAAAGTTTTTTCTTCCTAAGCTTACATCTGCTTACTTTTTTCAACAATCCTGCATCAATCCAACCATTTCATTGAACTTTTTGTTAGCTTTTTTTATTAGAATTTAATTTTTTTACCTTTTAAACTGTATTTATACTTTCTTATATAAAGGTGTGGAACACTGAAAAAACATTTTTAAGTACTATTTCCGATTATAATCAGTCACTCTGAGTTTTTCATGCTGGCAAAACATGAAAATAGTCTCCTACACCTATCTCCTGCATTAGCTTCTGATAGAAAATAGACGGTGAAGCGCTAGGATTAGAAGTGCTTGACAGATCCACATCATACTGCCACTTGACATTCGTGGAATCACCCATCTTGGCTCACGACGGGGAAGGCTGTTGTTTTAGCATCCAGGAAACAGCAGAGAACATCTCGGCTAGTAGAAGCTAAACTTTAGCATCAGCAACTCGACTAACTTGAGTCATTTGTGGAAATAACACATCCATGTCGCAGAGATTCAGCGTTAGAGTCACGTTACTGCTATCCAATCTGAGGCGAGATGTCCAAATATCAGGAAATAAGACTTCAAATCCTGCCGTGTTAGGCTCTCCTCTTATGTGGTATTCTACTAGTTCCTGAAACAAGCTCATCTGAGCTTTTTTCCCCCTACGTAAGACTTGCAAGGCATTCATTCTTACTAGAAACCACTGCAAATGTATTGATTAAACAAGAGTCCCACTCCTTTAAATATTTCAAATATTTCTACTAACAATTTGAAACTCTTCAGCTTAGTTCCAGCATTTTCAGCAAACTTGCCCAATTCAACAGCTCTTCAGAAACTGTTTGCTCACAGTCACACCTACAAATAATTTACTTCATTTTTTTTTCATTTCATTTATTTAATTAACGACTGTGCACATTAATAAACATTTCTGTAAATGTGCCAGTGTTAGCCAGCAGGCTAATTTTCAACTGTAGTCCAGTGGCAAGATGTTATACTAAGCACGATGGCTAAGGAGAAGAAAGAAAGAAGGAAAAAAAGAAAAAACTGATTAAATGAGCATAGTAACTAATTAATATACAACAATAAATCATAATGCCATTACACTCAATTTCATTAAAACATAACACACAAAAAATAAAGATAAAATAGAAAAAAGAAATAAATAATTCATATACCCATACAACTCATTAGAAAATCAAAAGTAAGCATATATCAATTTGCAGTATCTATCATACACACTATAGGTTACAAAATAAATAAAGTCTAAAAACAAACATACAATGATTATGAAAGGTGTTCACATTTTTGTGTGCTTAAAAGCCAGTTCTTAAAACTGAGTTTAAATGTACGATGTGAAGTGGAGTTTCTAATGTCCAATGGCATCTGATTCCACAGTTTAGAGGCTCTCACAGAAAAGCATAACTATCCAAAAGAACTAGACCTATGAGGAACTACACAGTCCCCTCTTAGTGCAGACCTTGTGGTTCTGCTGCTTGGTAGCTTCTGCTGAATAAAAGTACAAAGTGGTGGGGGAGCCTTCCCATTGATAATCTTAAAGATTAAACATGCATCACTGTGCTTTAAAATATTTTCCCAACTAAGTGGATTATATTTGGTAAGGACACTACAGTGATGACAGAGGTTGGATTTTTTGTCTAAGACTTTAAGTGCCTGTTTGTGAAGTGATAGGATAGGCCTTAATGTTGTACCACACACCTGGGTCCAGCTTGTAATACAATATGTTAGACGAGTGAATATCATAGTGTTCATAGCATAGCTACAGGTGTTGTCAAGCAGTGTCTTATATACCTAAAGCTTGCTATATTATATTTGGTAATTTGCACTACCTTTCTCACTTGATGTTTAAATGATAATGTATTGTCAATAATAATGCCTAGATGTTTAAACCGTGTAACTGTTTGAATGGCCTCCCCAGACACACACACAGTGGGTTCACAGTTGGATGAAATGTTCCTTTTGCTAAAAAACATGCAAACTGTCTTTTTTACATTGAGATACAGCTGTGAGCAAGTGAGCCATTTATGTACATGTACCATAGTATCACTGAGCTTAGCAGCAGCTTGGGCTTTAGTTTTTGCATGAACATATATGACTGTGTCATCAGCATACATCTGCACCTCACATCCAGTGCACACTGATGGCAGGTCATTTATGTAGATGCTGAACAGAATAGGGCCCAGGACAGATCCCTGGGGTACACCCAGCTCATTCCTTAATGGTGTTGATGTCTCACCATTAACTCTCACACACTGCGCTCTGTTTGCTAAGTAAGGTCTCGTCCAGTCTATAACACTGGTTGAGAAGTTAAAACAAGACAACTTCTGGATGAGTATGTCATGATTGACAGTGTCAAAAGCTCTTTTCAAGTCTAAAAAGATGGCTCCAACTATACCTCCTTTGTGCAATTTAGACTATGTTTTCCACAAAGAAACAGTTAGCTGTCTCTGTGGAGTGATTTGCGATGAAAATTAGGTATTTCTGTCAGCTTTCAGGCAATGTTCCTATTTTTGATGTAAGTATTTTGTCTTTACAGTAACCCTCAGAAGCAATAGTGGTCTAATATTGGGGACCCTTATTGATAAATCTGAGTGGTTTTGTCTTATCCAAACTCTGACAAAAAGCATCATATCTCCTATAAAACATAGGTTACACAGAAACAGCCACAGGTGACAAACTAGGCCTGTAGTTGCTCATAGTTTCGAAATGTTCAAACAGATCTTTTGTACAGTGGCCATTAGATTAGCAAGTCAGTTTTGGGGTCTCAAAGACCTACCGCTGCGGTGACCTACTTATCAAGTTCTCTGATTGGGTAAGACTTCCCTGTCTCTATTAGAAGGTGCCATGTTACATTTCTGTTTGATCTCAAAACAGGCTAATCAGCTGGTGCCAATCTCATGCAACTCTCTTTTGAGTTCTATCACAAGTTTTAAGTGATTTCAAACTAAAACTTTTCATGGATTCTGCTAAGTTCCTGTCGAGCATAACAGTGACTCAGCCGATTTGGTCCTTCCCATTTTCGTCGTCATTGTTGTCATCTTTCCGCTCGGTCTTTCTATCTGTTATTTTACCCAAACGGCTATTTTACTCTATAATGTTTTGATATTTTAAGCTGTTTAACATCTTCTCAATTGTTTTAGCTGTTTTTCCTATGTTCCACATTTCTTTTGTGCTATTTTATGTGGCCTTTCTTTTGTTCCACCCATCTTTTGAGCCATTTTATTAGGCTATTACAACAGTTAAAGTACTTCATCTAGAATTTCAAAATGTAAAACACTTTAACTGTCCAGTTTTTCCAAAAACCTTTAAAGATGTTCAGGAATATTTCCCATTCTTCATATACCTTTAAGATCACTTTTAAAGTCACTATGTGTCAGGGAAAACCTAGCTTACTTTCAGCTTCTCAAGGGCAGGTTCAGCAATCGTTTTAAGCAAAAAGCATTCAAACTGCATTTCTGTCAGAACTGCCTCTTCTCTAGTTTAAGATGGTGTGTTAATTGCATTTTGTGTTATCTTTATCCAGTGAGGAAGAATGTGCTGAGGTTCCCTTCCAGCTTAGAAGTGGATGTGGTTGATGTCAGCGACCTGTGTAAAGACGTACACTTCATGACACCGCTCAGTCTGAAAGAAGTGCTGTCTCGGCCTGATGAATCCTTGCCTGGGGTAGTGGAGATATTAGAAGAGCCACATGCAGGCTCTCTGTTTAAGTGCAACTGGCTGCAGGGACTTACCAAGAGAGCACACTTGGTTTTGCACAAGAAAGGAACCAAGGCCATGGCTCTGTTGTCTAGCATGAAGGGCCGAAAGGCTCAGCAGTTCTTCCTAGTGTCTCAGCAATACGGCGGGCGCATTCGGAGACGGCCAAGAGACTTTAATTCAGTGTACGAGCTGTACGTCGCTTCAACTCAGACAAAAGGGCTGACAGTGAGCGTAACAAGGAACTGTGAGGAGGTGGAGGAGGAAGGTCTGCCTGGTCTCAGTGTTGGAGAAAGACTGGAAATTGTGAGCTGTACCAGAATGGACCTGCCTGGGGAAAGCAGCAAAAAACAGAAACAGTCCATTGAGGCACTTTTGTGTCACCGTGTTCAGGACCCAGATGATGTGGATGATGAGGAGGAGGAGGAGGAGAAGGAAGAGGAGGAGGTCAAACAGCTGGATGAGAAAGAGGAGGTTCGGCTGCCTCTATACATGCAAGGTCACTTCGTTGAGGTACTTGGTGACAACAAAAAGTATAAACTCAGTCAACTGGGTAAGGAGTTTAGTTTGCCACTGGATGTGAAAGTGGTGAGCCGTGATACAGAACTTGAGAGTGATCCATTAGTTGGGTTTCCTTGTCTGAGAATAGAGGGTGCAATGCTGGAACCAACTATCCAGGCAAGCTTCCTGGATAAACCTGACTACTGTTTTGAACTTCCAGCCAACTGGCTCTCCATGTCTGTCTGCTACACAGAAGAGCCCCTTCCCTGGCCTGATGGTCAATGTCCCAAGAGTTCCGTAGAATGGGTTACTGAAGTGTCAGAAAAGTTCTTTTATGAATTTCAGAAGCAGCGTAACTCCGGCGAGGCTCCTCCACCTCGACCGCCAAAGCGAGATTTGTCATCGTCAAAATCCTCAAAAGCACGTTCAAAACCCGCAAAGAAGTCATCCAAGCACCAAGACAAAATCACCCCAACCGAGCAGTTCAGTGCCATGACTTTGAATAAAAAAAGGGCACCAGCTCCTCCCCCTCCAGTAGGTATATTTTAGTTTTTCTCAAACACATGATTATCTGGTTTCTTAACAACCCACAAATTGACAATACTCACAATCCAGTTTCTCACTTCTAAAAAAACTGCAGAGCTGAACAAGAGACACAGAAATGCTTTCTCGTTTCTGCATTGGTGATGTTGTTTTCTCAACAATTAAACTAAATATTTCACTTCCTCTTTTCATGCAGGATGGTTTAAGCGATGAGCCTCCCACCATTGTACCACGAAAGCACCTTGAGGTCGGTGGGTCAGCCAAGGCACTGCCAAACATGTACATAAAAATGAACCAACCAAAGACTAGAGGTAAAAACTTTTTATTATGGAATATGAGATGAGATCGTGTATTAAAGCATAGTCTGATTAAAAATCCATTTTTTTTTATTAATTTGTGGCACTGAGAACATGTTCTTCCTCTATTTTGTCATTTAAGTTGAGTTGGCATCTAATTATAGAAGCATGAGAACATAAAAGCCACAAAGTAAATATAGACTAAGAACCCATTTTCCCCTGCAGGGCCCACGAGTGATGTTACTGCATGTGTGGACAGCGATCACGACTACGAAACGTTGGACGAATCTTTGGCATCTATGGTGAAGTCGGCGCAGGAGAGTGTTGCTTTTCTAGGCAAAAGCTGAAGTTCTTTCATTGCAGCTCGGTGGGAATGACAGCTGAATTTATGAGTGGCTAAACTAGAAAAGGTGCAAGTGAACCTAATCTAAAAACAGGTCTGCAACAATGTGCGCACAAGCACCAAGCCAGAAATCTCTTTAGTAATTTGGACCGTGCTGATCTATTTACTCCCCCGCCAAAATTCACTCGGCCAAAGAGAGTGAAACAAGTACGATATAATTAGGCGATTGTCACAAATTTACAATTTTGTGAAAAGGCAGTATTTTGTGTTGGTGCTGTTTTGTTCATAGAACTTTGTAATTTGCCCAAAGTCCTGACTGATGGCGATTCATTTGTGGATAATTAATGCTTGGAATTTGTTACGTTTTTCTTATTGTTTATTTGCCCACCCGCCTTATGATGTGAAACCTGATTGTGGTTTATTGGGTATTTGATTTTAGTTCCTGCTGTCGCAGCAGCATTGGTTCCATTGAGGGGTCCAGGACAGGTCGGAGCAGCTGGGGATTCTATTTTATCTGTTTCTGTTGTAAAAGCGGGCCACACAACCGATCCGGTGTCGGTACAGGATCGGCTCGGGGTCCTTCGACTGCCGATGACGTCACATTACTGCAAATCTACTCGGCTTTCACACTCGTTTTGGAAAGACATCAGCAGTTTTGTTAATAAATTCTTGTTTGTTAACACCTAAATGTTTTCTTTATAACTGTAATTTGTTAATAAAACACCATATTACCTTTGTTTTGTAAAGAATGTGAACCTGCATAAAACCAACATCGGACTGACACAAAATAAACAGTTCTTTAATGTGAAGCCATATCTGTTTGTATTAATGTGGAGTTCGTCTGTATATTTCCTTAGTAGTATCTAAATACTTTCTTTGACTCAAAATATTGCTTGGTGTATTTCAGTAAAGTTCTTATATTTTATTTTGCCCCATTACATCAACATCAAGAGCTTTTGAGGGTCACCGTTTATCATTTGCTTATATTTTACATTTCCTTTAGATATTCAAACATATTTTCTCCAAAAAGTGTTGATTTTTGGACTACAGGACTACAACCGCTAAGACTACGACCGCAAATTTGTTCTGACCAATCAAAATCATAACGTGATAACGTAACTTCCGTAAGCTTCATGTTCAGCCAATCAACTACTTTGACATCATCGGCAGTCGAAGGACCCCGAGCCGATCCTGCACCCGAGCAGATCCTGTACCGACACCGGACCACGACATTCATAGGCCAACTGAGTGACTAGGGAGGAGAAGCCAGCGTCACACAACACAGTCCATTGAGGAATATAAAAACGTCACTGCTCGTGGCGAGCGAAATAAAGACCAGAATGCTGTTGTTTGTATCGTTATTTGTACACGGGCATGAAAAGATGTCAGCAAGCAGTAGTGAGGTTTGGTTGGTTTCAGAACTACAAACATGTCTCACCATCGTCGGTGATGGCCGCATACAGGAAGGTACGCGTTTAGGTTTCACCCCACCTGCCAAGTGAGAATCCAACTGCCAAACCGTCGGTCAATACCAGCCCACAACGACCCTTTCTGACCTATCCCAGACCAACCAGGGGAACCGAAGCTAGTTTTGCTTCAGCCTCATGGCACAGTGCTTCCTCAAACTGGAAAATATGAGGTTCTCAAAACTTTTGGACACAGCTGTACTATTGGTTTTCAGCCCTTGTAGACAAAAGTTTTTTAAAGACCATGTAGTTTTTATTTATGCCGTGCAATACTAAGCAGTTAGTGGCGATGCACAGCAACTGCCACACCCATTAACACAGTGGCAAATATTTCTGATTTAAACTCAATATTACTAACAAACTGTATATTTATGCTGATGTCAAACTGTATATATGCAATAATCAGACACTCCCGAAAAAGGCTCATCTCCAACCACGTCAATCTACAGGAGTGCAACATTCTAGTTTTGACAAATAAACTTATGTATTTTTATCAAACCCGGGTTGTTTATATTTGTGCATTCTGTGATGTGAATTTGACACAAAATGTTAAGTTAATGTTGTGCATGCTCATATTTAAAATCAAATAAATTTGCTAAAATAAGTTGAAAAACTGATATTTGTAGTTGTGCATGTGGTTCTTTTTTTATATGTAGGAAAGAAGTAACTTCCAGGTAGATTTGTATAATTTTTAATTTTTATTATGAGAAAAGCTGAATTACAAAGATGGGTGAAACAAAATTATTGTAAATCTTTAAAATGACAAAACAGGAGAAGGGATACTTACAAAGAAACAGGAATAATTGCTATCAGAGCCATAAGTGAGAAACTTGAACAAGAAGTGACCTCAGATAATACAGGATGTGGGAACCAAAAGTCCCATTAGTACCTGAATGTCAAACATTCAGAGTGTGTCTGTTAACACTTTAATCGTTTCATCTCTGAGTCAGGGGACTTTTACTAATAAGTTATTTAAATCCTCAAAGACGACTACTCATCATTGTCAGTGGATTTGTAGTGGTCCTCGTCGATGGTAGAGAAGATGTGACCTTCGTTGCTCAGAAACTCCACGGCTTGTCTGGAACGGCACAAATAACACTGTCAAGATGTTTTTAAACTGATAAAGCATCACAAAGCAGAACCTAAAAAGTTCACACGAACGGCATAAGAACGATCTTGTTCAGACGGAGTCATCGTAAAACCGCAGAGTGAATTTTATGATGGTGAAGAATTGTGCAGCACCCAAAGCTGAGCGTGTCTTACTTGATGACAGGAAGACTGATGCCGCTGAGTCTGTGCCTCAGATCGTGCACGCTGATGCCCTGTGGGTCTGGGCAGCCTCTGATTAAACTCAGCACCTTGAGAAAAACAATAAAATATTCACGTCATCAACACAAGCCCTCAATATGTAAAAAAAACAGACATCATTTACAAAATTAATATTTCCAGGAGGGTGAAAAGAAGACATTTTAGAGTACACCTCTTAACAGTTATTTACCTGATTCTGATTTGCGCTTAGCCCATTAATGGCCACGTGGTTAACAGCCGAGCGGCTTTCTGCTACGATTGCTGGGGTTTGGTGAGACATGGAGCTGTTGCTGCTCATCCCTCCAGCAGCAGACGGCTGAAAGAGAAAAGCTCAAATGTGATGCTTGCCTTCATAAACGCACCCAGAAAAGAAAAATAAATAAATAAATAAAGCGTCTTTAATAAGAAAATACAAACTAAGAATTAGTAGCTGAAACTTTATAAACAGAAAAATTAAAAATATATATAGGCTACATATGCTTATATATTTGGAGACTTGGGGTTGTGTGCTACAACACAGGAAAGGCAACTTTAAGTTTTTCACACTCAATGTGGTTCACTTCCTGTCTGGGTAAATCACCTTAGTAACTCATGCTGAAAACCAAACCTACTGCTGAGCAGAATGAATTAAAAAATAACCACCAAGTCCTCCATTAATGCGTCCAATAAGGGCAACACTGGTGCACACGGTCTATTCTCCTGTCCTCCGTGTCCCGGACGAACGAAAGAGTGAAACATGTTTACTAAACTCAGGGTATCTGCAGGTTTAAGGGAGTCAAATTTAAGACTTTTTAAGGCCACTTTGACCAAATTTAAGCTATTTTTTAAATTAAATTTAGGCTATAATTTCCAGCTGTTGCCTGGAACCGGTGCTAACCACGTCGTGAACGTGGGATTAGCCATACAGTTACCATTAATGTTGCACTTCCCCATGGCGCAAACTCCCACTAGCGTGCTCATCTAAAAATAGCCCCATTTCACAACCAAACGAATGTGTACGGTTCCGCTTACGCCAATATCATACACAAAAAATGCTGAACTAACTAGAAGTTCACGAAAATTTTATAGAAATAAAATAATCTCGTTTATTGGGTCTTCGGGAATTTAAGACCTATGGAAACTATTTAAGGATTATTTGTCATTTTTAAGGATTTTTAAGGCCTTAAATTTGGAAAAGCAAATTTAAGACTTTTTAAGGACCTGCAGATACCCTGTAAACTGGATCTAACTGGTTCCTGCATGTTTCTATCTATCAATAGTTTTAAAGACTAATAAAATGAATTAATGGAAAACATAAAAGTAGCCTTTTATAGTCCGCTTCAGTGAATCTAACATAATCTCACTCGTCTTCTTTAAAGCAGAAATTAAACAGTTTGAAAGAACGAGGCTGAAATTTTCTCTAAAATTCTTCAATATCAGCAAAAAATCTGCATGAAATACAGACTTGAAAACTTTTTTATTCACTAACATTTCAGAACATCTGTTCATTCTTTACAGACTCGCTAGTTTTTATTTCAGTTTTTTAAATTAGGGTTCCTTCCAGTCTCCAACTGGTCATGTGATCTGAATCTGCAGATCTCTGAACTACTTGTGACAAAAAGAAAAACCTCGCCATCTCCTCGTGTTCTGGTAATCTACATGAGGAGGAGTTACTGTATGGAGAAAATCTGCTTCCATGTCTGCATAAAGATGAAAAGTTGCCATTTCTTGTAGAAACAAAACTATGAAACAGTTTTAGAAGGAAGAATATAAATGAGCAAATTTGAACTTTTCAACTTGACCAAACAGCAGTGATGTGAAACTGCAAACATCTTAATTATAGAATATGTTGCATTAAAAAAAATTTTTTTTTTTTGCAATTTTCTGTGAAACTTAGAGACGGGTTATGGAAAATAAAAATAGTGATGCTCTGTTAAATTTCACCTTAAATGATGACATTTAAGAAAAACAGTTTGCGTCTGAACTCTTCAACTTCCTCTTTCTAAGACGACTTCTAGCACATAAGGAGACTTCTGAGAAATGTGTGTTCGGTGCTTCTAACCGTGCTCGGAGATTTTCCCAGTGCCATGTGTGCCTGGACGACCTCCAGCATGTGTGAGGTGATTTCATTCATGTCCTCTAGGGGCCGGATGCGGAACGCCACGACAGACCTGTGGTTCTGACACGGGAAACAAACAGCTTCAGTTTCTTCAAGGATGATTCCACAGAGGAACTACAATAAGTACACAGCCATGGGATTAATGGCTGTGTACTTATTGTAGTCATGAAAACATTTTCACATTTTCACAATCATCATAAACAATGAGTTTTGTTTGTCTAATCTTATTCTTGCCTGGAGCAGCAGAAATGTTGATGTTTTAAAAACAGTTTTTGTTTACTTCAGGGGAAAAACAGACGTTTGTAAAACTAAACTCACCTGAAAAGATCGCAGATTTCCCGAGATTTTGACATATGTTCCTGGAGGCAGCACGCCGCTGTCGACGCTCGGGTCCTGCACACACAGGTGAACATAATTCAAAAATCACACCTTTGTGTAAACTTTTTATATTAAAAGTCAAATTTACTCATATTTAATACATTTGCAGTGGTCTGTAGTAGGAATCCATGCCTTGTAAGTCATTCTCTGAGGAAAAAAGCTCAGATGCTCCTGTTTTATTACGTAGGTAGGATTTGGAGTCTTATTTCCTAATATTTGGACATCTATCCTCTGATTGGCTAACAGCAACACAGCTCTACCACTGACTCTGCTCTGCGTTTTATCTCCACATATAGCACAAACCTGAAGGAGTTCTGCCATCTTGTCGAGTTGCTAATGCTAACGAGACACGCTCTGTCCTCTCCTGGATGCTTAACTAACAACAGCCTTCCCCGTCATGAGATAGGCGAGTCCATGAATGTTAAGTGACAGTGTGACATAGATCTGTTAGGCTTTTGTGAACCAAACTTTGTTTTTCTTCATTTTTTCTATCAAACGTAAATGCAGGAAATAGGGGTAGGAGACTGTTTTCACGTTAAGCCCGCATGTTAAACTCTGAGTGACCGATCCTTTAAAACGTAATTAGGAAAAATGGTTTCTCAGTGAACTTGCTCTTTAATATGACAAAAAAGAACATTAATTCAATTTTGTTAAGTTCATTTATACAATGCCAAATAACGAGTCGTCTCAAGGCACTTCACAAAGTAAACATTACGATACAGGTCAGTTCATTAAGCCAATCAGTGAAAATGCTCCTATATAAGGAACACAGCAGGTTGCATCGAGTCACTGACTAGCATCAGTACAGCAATCCTCCTTCTATCTCGTTAGAGAAAACATAATTATTTTTAATTAAATTTCTGTTTTCACAAAAAAATCTGGTCCTAACTTTGGGGAAGGGGTAGACCGATAAATCGTTCGGCCGATATTTACCAGCGTTTATACTTCGGTATTGACCGATATTTGTCCTTAGTAAAGCTGATTTGAACAGCCCGGTGCTGTTGGAGAAAATTACTTTGAATGTATTTTTACATTCACTAATAACATCTGCATAATAAATATTCTAAACTAACTTTATTTAGGTGTCTGACTTTAAAATGAGAGTGCACAAAGTAAAGATTCAACAGTAAGTTAAATTTAGAGTTCACAAACTGATTCAGCTTCAGAAAATTTGTGCATTAACTGATGTTGTGACATTTTAGCAGGAAAGTAAGGTGGAAAACATCTAGATATCAACCATTTGCTTACAGTGTCTCCTACATATCGGTAATAGAAAAACAATATCGGTCAACCTTGTGGACTTGGACTTTAGGAAATGGACCCAATCTTAACTAGTAAAAAAAAATCACTAAACAGTTTAATCACCCACCTCAGTGTCCACCCACTGCTTCACATCCATCGGTGCACAAGTCATATCATCAACCTTGTACTGGATATTGGTCATAGACTTGTCTGTACTCCTGATGATGCCCACAATGGTGACCTATAACACAAAGATAAAGCAAATTACTACTATTCATCATTTTAACATTTATTTTAGTGTAACCTGACAAAATTATGCCATCACTATTTCATTATTATTACAGTACCATTATGTAGGGACTTTCTACTTCTTTCTAACTGAATGCTGTCACATGTACACTTTGCCTTGGTTCAGCTTACCTGGGTAACCTCCACATCTCCCACTTTGAAGGCCTCGTCTGCTTGTGAGGCGGACATCAGCTGAGACACTGTGCAGGGGATGATTTGTGTGGCACGCGTTCTCTGGTGAAAAAAAATCATACAATTTTTAGTCTATCAACATTTAATCTTGCATAATCTACAAATATCTGAGTATGTGATATTGATCCATTGGATTGTAAAATGAATGTAGGAGAAAAAGTGTAACCTAGCACTTATTTTTTAATCAATTTGGGCGTGAGTCAGGTTTGTCTTGGATTAAAATCTGGCTATAACAAGACTACAACTGACCCCTTTCTTCTCTCCTCCCTGGGATGCAACAAATCCTCCAGGAGACTGAGTGTATCCCCCGTCCACTCCAGACTCGCTGTAGCCTCCTGAAAGATCAAAAAACAATTAGACTACAGTAAACAGGAGCGATTATTCGAAGTAAAACGTACTTGGGTAACATACACAACTCGGTGTAATAGCATTAGCGTTAACCTCATGAGGTAAGCGAACGTTGACTGCCAAAGTCTTGCTAACGTTAGCCTCAAACAGACATCTACGTGCCTTTACTGATTTTTAAACACAAATAACCGAGTCTGCATTCAACTCACCCTGATTCCACATGGTGCCACCGCGTAAATAACGTATTAAAAAGGTGTGCAAATGTTTTAAAACTTCCGAAACGGCCTAGTATCCCAATGTAGCTACGCAGTATCTCTCCTTAAGTAAACTCGCGCGCTAAACTCAATGTACAACGCATGCGCACAGTATAAGTCCCGCGAACTCGTAACAACTAAGGTACATTTAGCCCTGAGCTTTGTTTCACAGGAATTTTTTTCAACGTTTTGTCGACTCATTTCTATAAAAATAATAACTAATATAATCCTTGTAAAAATGTATTTCCGTAAAATAGCATAATGTGTGTAACTAAAAGAAGACATTTTTGTTTTTTTATGCTTTTCCACCTGACGTCAAAATACGGGGAATATTTTAGGCAGGTTGCATAGCACATTAGTTGCATTCAATGACTGTCGTAAAAGACAAAATGCACACGGAAAATCTTTCTTACAATTTTTTTTTATTTTGACAAATACAAATATTATTGTGCTTCTACAATAAATGAAAGCACAAACTAAGTAATTTTAAGTTATGAACTGACCCTAAAATTTTTACGTCTATATTTTAAGAAATAATAATTGAATCAAATAAACTGTTTCAACGTTAACAGGGCAGGTTCTAAATAAACAGTCTTGCATGTATATAATAATATTATTGATATTGATTGTTAATTATTTCAAAGCAATGCAATTGACTGGCAAATCAAAAGGTGTTGCAGTAATAGATCCCGTGTATGAAAAGAAAGCAGCACCAGTCTCAACTTTACTTGTATTTTTCTTGTAATGAAACACTTAAAAGTATGTTGGAATTCATAAAAGCTCTAAGAGTTGTTTATGACCACATGTGGGTTCATTTGGCTTCAGTTTCCCGACAGGAAACTAACTGGTTTATATTTAGAAGACATAAAAATAATCTATGGAGGAATTTGCCCCTGAGGTGCCATTACTAGTATAAACCCTTTTACAGCGTCGCCTGTGCATAAATACACTTTGCATTGTCATTAGTCCACACGGCCTGATGTTAATTTTATTTTTGTGGCAGCCAGTATTGTAGAAACTTTAAGTTTATTCATTTTATATCAATCAAATGTGAGCTACTCTTTTGATTTTGGTTTAAAGGTGCAGTATGTAAGAATATAGTGAAAATTTTACAATGAGAACATCTCAGCTACGGGGATTGTCAGTTTTTTCTTCTTTCAAAACAAATAAGGAAGGAGGGGTGTAACTACTGTTTACCATCAGTGAGTGTGGGGTTGCCGTGTCTCCTGCGAGCTAATACTGCAGCGCCGACAGTTGTAATTTGACGATAGCCGGCAAAAAGGTCCAGTTGTTTAAAGAGGTTGCAGTAAACTAATTCTCCCACAGGATGTTGTTTTTACTTCATTTCTACATAATGCACCTTTAAGTGGAAAAACTGTGCAGCTGTTGACTTTTTCTTTGATTTTTTTTTTACATGCACACTCACAGCCTAGATATCATTGCATATACATTTCAATCTTACCCAAAAAAATTTGCACAAATTACTTATTTCCTGCAGGCTTTTAAATGTTGCTCTTTATTTTTGGAAACCAAAATACCGGTAATCAATCAGCTTGCATCGGCTGTGGCTGTGTGGCGTGGCTTGTCATTACCAGCTGCCTGCAGCTATGACTGGACGACTGCGAACCTTCACCGACAGCTGCAGCTATCTTATCTTGCGTTGCCTTTTATGATTTACCCCTCAGACCTCTCCTTGGCTTTCTTTGAATGTATTTTGCTGTCCCAGAGTCCAACATGTCTGCAGTATGGATCCTCATTTCTTCTCTGCTTTTCAAGGAGGGTCTTGCGCTGTCAGGTAAGAAGCAATTAAATTCTGTTATGCATTAAAGAGCCTATCTCTTGCATTTCCCCCCATGTGTAGGGACAATTTACTGTGCATATTTACACATTGGTTTCATCCAGGGAGCTTTTGGCATATCACCGATTTGCATTGGGATCCAACGTTTAAACTAACGGAGAACCCAGAGTCAGTGTGTGCGTCCAGCGGAAAACGACCAGCGCCTGGTGCTGGTATATTTGGAGACTATGTGTGTGACTCACCCTGGCACCTGATCAACTCTTCTGTTTACGCCATGAAGCATATTCTACCAGAGCCGGACTTCATCGTATGGACAGGGTACGCAGTCCATCTGTAATGTCTCCATTCATAACTTTATTTTACAAAACATGAAAAGTGCTGCATGTTCTACCCTCTTCAAATACGGGTCAACTGAACTAATCTCCCTTTTTAGTATTCAATCCCTAAACATGATTCTATTTAACATCACAGTGACGACACACCGCATGTACCAAATGAGGATCTAGGAGAGGAGGCAGTGGTCAGCATTATCAGCAACCTTACTCATATCATAAAGGAGGTTTTTCCAAGTAAGTGTGAAGAAATATATGAGAAGGTGTTGGTCATTGTTGTTTTTTAACCCTTTATCCACAACGTATTTTTTAAGAATGTGCTTTGCATTTCTCCTTCTTCAGCTACTAAAGTGTACTCTGCTCTGGGTAACCATGACTACCACCCCAAGAGTCAGCTACCTCCATCAGCAAACTCCATCTATGACAGAGTAACAGAAATGTGGCGAGATTGGTTGAATCCACAGTCTGAAGAAATGTTTAGAAAAGGTGACGGAGCATCGTCACACACCTCACCAACAATCAAATCATGTTTGGTATTTATTTATTTTTGTCTTTTTCACACATAGGTGGGTTTTACACCGAAAAGCTGCTTAACCGAACAGGCTTTAGGATTCTGGTCCTCAACACTAATCTCTACTACGACCAGAACAAGGTGACCCAGAGCACGGATGACCCAGCAGGCCAGTTTAGCTGGATGGATTGGACTCTTACAGAGGCAGCCAACAAAAGCGAGAAGGCAAAGTTTCTTGTTCACATTTTTTGCTCTGTAACAAGGATTTAAAGGAGACGTTTCATGACTTTTTTCTTAAATTATAATCTATAATCTATTTATAATTCTATGGTCGATACAAAACGTGATTATGAAGTTCTTGGCGCTAATTTCCTCTCACATAAAGACATTTCATCAGTTTTAGTCTTGACGTTTTCAATACCGTCCAGAATGAGTCATTTCAGGGCTCTGTCACTTTAAAGAGCAAGTCACCCCAAAGCAACTTTTAATGCTGATAAACTATATAAATGAGTGTGTAATCGTGCTGTAGACACGTGTAATCAATAATTTGGTACTTTAGTGCATCTTAGGTTAAAATTTAAATATTCTGCCAAAAACAATCAGTGTTGTGCCGTCATCAGCTAAATATGCCACACTGCATTTGAAATTAAATCTGCCATCGCTATTGGCTAAGAGGTACACCATGACATTAGCTGGTAGATTATGATGTCACAATATTGTTGGGACCCTGTATGTTTGTGTATTTGTTAGCGGCTCTGCCCTCTCGGTCTGCCAGGCAACAGCATTTGTTGTATTGTTCAAACAGGAAGTGGGAGTGGAGTAAGACTCTGGTATGGGTTGACTTGCTCTTCAGCCCCTTCCAGAGTCTAGCTCTGCCCACATTTCCTGTTTGAAAAATGTGCCACCGGCAGGCGTTGCCTGTTGGACCAAAAGGGCGGAGCTGCAGGAGTGAACGACAGACTGCTAACGCTGGGCGATTCTCGGTCAGACAACTGAGCAGCTTCTCTCCACCTCCATTACCAGAAGACAGAAGGGAGGGCAAGTGGTCCTGAGCCGTACCACCTCTAACCATTGGCTCATGCATTGCCATGCTATTCCAACTCCAGCTCACTTCGGAAGAGTGGCAAGGCCTGAGACTTGACTACTTTTATACCCCACAGTGTCAGTGAAGATGACTTAATATGGTACCGGCAACGTCACGGTGTACCTCTTAGCCAATAGCGAAGGCTGGCTCAAATTCAATGTAGTGCAGGGTTTTCCCTGTAGAGTAGCTTTTTGGCAGAATATCATTATTTCAAACAAGATGCACTTTTAAAATGCCCAAATAATGATTGCACATGTTTACAGCACTATTAGACACTCGTTTATACAGTAGATTTGGGGGTGACGTGTTCTTTAAAAAAAAAAAAAAAGCTACAGCTGGCCACACCCACCTATCGCCCACTCCGACTGCTATAGGCTGAGAAGCTCTGAAATCTGGAAGGGGCTCAGAGTAGGGCCTCTGCTCCTCCAGCAGCCGCACTCTTGCATGTGAGAGGCGGTTCTATTCTAAAGTACCCATTTGTGACATAACAAACAGGCACTTTTTGAAATGGCTAGTTTTAGGAAAATAATTCCTAAAACCAAACACTGAGACAGCCGTACTTAAACCCAGCATGCTCAGAGTGAATGGTTGATCTTCAAAATAATCTGGCAATTATACTACAAGTTTTGTAAATGGCACTGCTCTTATTGATCTCCAGTGAGGAAGACGCTGATAGACATCAGAAGGGGAGCCTAAGTCCCTCCCCCTCTCAGCTCAGCCTCCAAACTAACTGATTTGGTTTTCTCCCCTCAGGTGTACCTCATTGGCCATGTTCCTCCTGGTTTCTTTGAGAAGAAACGAAACAAGCCGTGGTTCACCTCAAAGTTCAACAAACAATATCTGGACTTAATAGAGAAGCATCATTGTGTCATAGCAGGGCAGTTCTTCGGCCATCACCATACTGACAGCTTCCGCATGTTCTACAGCGCAGAAGGTAGGTCGCTGCTGCTGCTTGCGTCAGGGACAAAAGATTATCGACATCTCCTCCTTCTGTAATTTTTCTCTGCATTTTGCGTGTCACAAATACCTCCACAGGTGTGCCCATCAGCACAATGTTTCTCAGCCCAGGGGTAACCCCATGGGAAACGACACTTCCTGGAGTCTCGAATGGAGCCAACAACCCTGGGATTCGTGTGTTTGAATATGACACGGAAACACTCCTAGTAAAAGTACGTAATGGTCATTTGAAAGCAAGCGGTCACTTACAGAATACATTTTTGTACTGTAAAACAGTGTGAGCATTTTCCACACAGACTTCAGGAACTCAAAGTGCTCTGCTTTGTCTTTTAAACCATGTGTGAACAGGATGTGGTGACATATTATCTAAACCTCACGTACGCTAACACCGTCACGGAGCGCTGGGAAAAAGAGTATCGCCTCACAGAGAGTTTCCGAGTAGCAGACGCCTCTCCGGCCTCCATGCACCTGGTCCTGGAGCGAATGGCTGCAGATCCCTGCTACCTGCAGAAGTACTATGATTTCAACTCAGTCAGCTATGACCTGACGAACTGTGACGGCGACTGCCGTGTTGATCACGTATGTGCAGCAAGAGAAGTAGATTTTGACAGGTATGAGGAGTGTCTGGTAAAAGAGGGAGTGGATTCTATTAAAGGTGGGCTGCTGCTGCTGGTCCTTTCTGTGGGTGTGAGCATCACATCAGCAGCCTTGCACTAAATATGATTTCTTAAAGATTAGGGATGAGCCGGATACTGGTTTCAGACGAGTATCCGGTACGGATAAAGCATTTTTGACGAATACGAGCATGACTCGAGTAAACCTCATAAATATCTGTAATCGTGCTGAAGGAAAATCCTCATTGGGTAACTGACTGTCTTCACGCTCTGTGATTGGCCAGTCACATAGAGCTCCCGCCCCTCCCTACACACAAAACTCTCTAGCCGCCGGGAGCGCAGTCCGTCCGGCTCATCCACACACACAGACAGTAACGGATCTCGCTGTGATTGTTTCACTGTTGCTCACGTTTCTTCAGTTTTCCCTAGGTTTTCTTCAGCTCGCCTCTTTTTCGGTTGAATATTTAAAGTTACTTTTTTTCGTAACTTACATGGTGCATTTGACAAGACAGATCTGACGTGCTGCATCAGTCACTAACTCCGCTCCGGTTGGTTTTTTATTCTTTTTAACTCTCTCTCTCTCACACACACACACACACACACACACACACACACACACACACACACACACACACACACACACACACACACACACACACACACGCACACACACACATGCACACGCACACACACCTCAATCAACATTGTTTTGTTTAACTTTGTGAGGGAAAATGCCAAGAACGTTAAGAAAAAGATCAGTTTAATCAAATTAAAATTAAAAATATATATATAAAGTTGTGTCTGGTTCTAGCATTTCATATTTCCTAGTTCCTACTGCATGAGTTCAGATGTATTAATTCATGCACTTAAATATTAATGTTCTGATTTTATTGAAACACTTGTTTTGTAATAGTTTCTTTACTATTGTGATCAAAAATATTTAATCTCTATTCTGAGGCTGCTCTGTAAATAGTTTTCAAATAAACAATACACATAGCAACTTCTGATCAATCCATATCAATTTCAGACTTAAAATAATATATTGATGTAAACCACACCCACTTCTGGTTAAACCACGCCCACTTCCGGGTTATGCCTTGCCCATTCCGAGTACAGATACAGATCATTTTGTTGGTTGAACAGATACAGATAGTGGTGTACTCGCTCATCCCTATTAAAGATCATCGGCTCTGTCTTGCACAGCCCTTCTCCTTGTTTTGTGAGACTGTTTTAATAATTCAGTTTAAAGGGGACAAATTATGCTAAACTCTTTGGTGCTGCCATGTGGATCTCTACTGCCTCTATAAACTCTCCAAACATCCGTCCATCTGTTTTCTGTCCACGTTTGGTTTGGGGAATTATGTGCCTAAAACAAGCTGTTTCAAAAAGTCCCCGTTTGTGACATCACAGACTAAAAATAAGATAACGTTCGACGGCTTCTGCTGGAGGAACAGCAGCTCTGCTCAGAGCCCCTCAGAGATCAGTTTCTCCGCCTTTAGCAGCATGAATGTGGGTGGGTGGGCGTGGCCAGCTCCCGCCTGGTTTTCTTAAAGTGACAGAGACCTGAAACTGCTCATTCTGGAAGGTACTGAAAATGTTAAAAGTAAAACTGCTGAAATTGCTTTATGTGAACAGGTTTTTGTTTAAAGAACTTCATAAATGTGTTTTGTGACCACAAAACTATTATAACTTTAGAACAAAATGTTGTGATGTCCCCCAGGGGTGGTCCTAGACCAGTGTTTCCCTGGTCCGCAGGGCACACTGACCTGCATATTTTCCGTGTCTCTGCTTCAGCACACCTGATTTACATATTTGCATTGCCTCTTCAGGAGGACATTAAGTGCTGCAGATGCCTGCTAATCATTCATTTAAGCTAGGTGTGTGGGAACAAGGAAACACTGATGTTTAAAAGGGCAACATGGAAAACAGGCAGGACAGTGTGTCTTGAGGACCAGGGTTGGGAAATACTGTCCTAGACCATGTGGCACCCTAGGCAAGCTCAGGCAGTGGCGCCCAGCTACTTTGCATCGCTGTCATGATGCAGAGCACAGTCTCTCCTGTCTGTCGGGTCTCCGTGAGGAGGAAGTGGGGGGTTTTGGTACCATAATGCTTCTTAAAAATTCACGGACATCATAAGTGAAATCATGGCACATAAGCAGAATTGGGAAATAAAAATTTTAGCCCCATTGACTTGCATTAATTTGATCATTCTTACGGTGACCCATAGTCTGGAAGTAGATGGGCGTGACTAAAGCCTGGGGCACACTGGAGGCAGACGTGGGGAAAATATAGGGAATGGGGTTGGAAAAAGGGGTAAAATAGGGAATTTCCCAGCCAAAATGGGACACTGGGCAGGTTTGCAGGTAGTGTAAAAACTGGTGGAGACACAACAGAATGACGTGACGCCCTCGTTGCTACTTAACTAGATAACATGACGATACTTTAGCTACTGCTGGCGCCCCGCTCTGGATGGTGCCCTAGGCGGCAGCCTAGTTCGCCTGAAGGATGAACCGGCACTGATGTCCCCTTAAAAAATGTTATCCCTGACTCAAAAGCTGTTAAAAGTCTGTGTAAAATGAAACTGTTGCTTCATCTATTCATAAACTAACACCAGGGAAGGGTTAAATATTGTAAAACCTGTTTTAACTGAAATATTTGTCTTATTACCACTACGTTGTGTCTGCATTTAGCAGAAGCAACAGGATTTGTTACTGAACATTACAGAAAAAGTCATCTAACCCATTATCGCCTGTGGCTGTATAACAGCTTACTAAGCTTTTATCCACAGCCAGTAAACTCAACACTTTATTGTAGAGAAAACATTGAAGATGACAAACTTAGAGCTTGAGGACACGTTTATTGACAGCAAGCTTGTGCTCTGTGATTGGCTGACATTTTCAAAGCACTGTGATGTTCAAGTGCATCATTTCAGAGGCTTGGTTGATGAAATCGGTAGTTACATGATAAGAACATATTTGGTGGAGGTAAAAGGCTGCATGGCTGCTTCCAGAGCCTTCTGATAGTCCTGGAGATGCACCTCGGTGCAGGCTGGGGCTGTGAGCTTCCCCTGCAGGATGAGGGAGCACAGCTCATCCAGCATGCGTCTAAATGCTTCACCATCTACACAAAAGGAAACACTCTAATTCAAACAAGCGTTTGGAGATATTTGCTTTTTGTAAATGAGATAATAGAACACCAACATACCGTGAGATTGGTCTCTCTTCCACTGTGTGACCCAGAAACCTCGAACTTTCACATCCTTGAAGATAAGAGCGCTCTGGAAACAGCAAATTTTCCAAGTGTAAATTAAACAAAGTTACAAAATAGCTTTTATGACAAATCTTAAATCAGGGAGAATTGTTGACTCTCTCACCAAGTTTAGACATAAATTCTCAGATTTTTTGGCTGGTTTTTAGTCTCTTTTAAAGTCCAATGGTATCATCCTTTGTTTTTAAGGGGACACGTTATTCATTATTTGAAGTTATAATAATTCTATAGTCGATACAAAACATGCTTATGAAGTTCATGGCATTAAAGTCCTCTCACGTAAAGCCATGGACACAGGGGCGCCTCCAGAAAATGTTGATGGGGTGGCCAGACGTGGCCAAAGAAATTATTGGGGTGGCCCATCAAATTGGTCCTTGTGGTAACTCTGGGAGAGTTTAGCCTGTGGCGATGCACCTCATTGCTTCATTACTCATTCTTATTAAAAAATAAATAAATAAATAAATAAATAAATGTGTGAATCAAAATACTTCTTTAAAATTCACGGACATCATATGTGAAACCTATGGCACGTAACAAGCAGAAAATAGTGTTTTTAGCCCCACTAACTTGCATTCATTTTTTCTTTCTTCTGGGGACCCATGGTCCGGAAGTAGATGGACGTGACTTAGGCTCCCTATAGAAAACAGGGATCAACCTCAACACAAGTGGTTGTTTTCCACCTGGTCCTAGTGCTCAACCAGTGTCTATTTAATATAGCGTAATATTGTTTTTGGATAGTAAAAGGTGCAGGGGACAAAAATTGACTTTGGAAAAGGGGGAGGGGGGATGCCCCCCCCCAAAAAATGATGCCCATGAGTAAAGCGATTTCAGCCGTTTTATTCTAGACAGTTTCAGGACTTTCCAGAATGAGCTGTTTCAGGCCCTTGTCACTTTAAGAAAACAAGCTGGCCAAGCCCACCCATACCCCACTCGGGCTGCTATAAGCTGAGATGCTCCAAAATCACAAGAGAAAGACAAAGATAGCTTTTGTTAATATAGCACATTTCTTACACAAAGGCAACTCAGTGTGCTTTACAGCAGTAAATTACGGAGGGGATGTGAGTAGAGCTGCTGCTCCTCTAGAAGAGAAGGGCTTATATGGCATTTTTCACATTTGTGACATCACAAATGGGGACTTTTTAAAACAGCTTGTTTTAGGCACATATTTCCTGACAGAAAACCCATGGACTGTTTTCCCCACCCATGTTTGGAGTGTTTATAGATGCAGTACCGACCCACACGGTAGCACAAATAGATGCAAAAAATGAATTTAGCATAATATGTCCTCTTTAAAACATGTATATCAAAATTTCATTACAATTTTCTGACAGAATAAATAAGGAATTAGCCTTTATTTAATCACAAAAAAAACTCATTTCTAAAGGTTTAATAGCATCACTCTCATTTATTTTCTACCACACCTAAATGAAGTTTTGTGCAAACCAAACCAACCATTTACTAAGGATAAAATGAAAAACTTATTTATTCATTCTTTTTAAACTAAGAACCCTTCTTACCACAGGAACAGTCACTGGCTGTTTGGACATGCCTCCATATGTCACCATAGATCCCCCAACTCTGAAAAACAGGGCATTAGCAAAACATATGCAGTTAGCTTCGCTGTGCTGCATAATAACACTATGTGCACAAATAATATGAATTATTCTTACTGTAGATGACGGAGAAGTTCTGTTGCACTTTTGCCTCCAACTCCATTTAGTGCCAGTTTTGGTTTCGGACATGTCTTTAAAAACAAAATCTGTAAATTCACCACTAACAATGATCACACCCACCCGCTCCTCTTCACACCCACAGACCTTGAACAGCTCCTTCATCTCAGGGCGCCTCAAGGCTTCTTCTCTGATCACATGACTGGCTCCCATGACCTTTAGTCTATCACTGAGTTGTAAGAAATCTGACCTTTGAAAAAGAAAACGCGACAAGGAAAACATTCACCATAGGTGGAAATGCCTAAAAAGAAGAAAAGCTGCTAACAAAGCATGTCAAGTGGTTTCTAATTACTTTTCAAAAAACTGATTAGGGCTGAAAATCCCCTAAATGTCTCAATAAGAATTCTATACTTCCATGTTCTGCTGATTATGTTCACGAAATAACCAGGAATACTGAGCTGACCTGTCTCGGATGACATTTATAGTGTTTATTCCTCTTGCAGCAGCAATCTGTATGACAGCCTGCCCAACTCCGCTGTTGGCTGCGTTCTGGATCACAGAATCCCCTAAATAAATGGAGGTAAAGGCAATTGATGTTCCAACCAATTTAAAATCTTAGGATTTTTTTTTCCACACATGAGTTCTGTGGAATTATGTACCTGGCTTGAGCTCTTCAAAGTCAGAAAGCATCCTGAAGGCAGTGCAGGGATTCACTCCTAGAGTGGCAGCAGCGAGCAAGGGAATATTATTTGGTACTGAGATGACATCATCCTCAGCTACGACAGCTTTTGTCCTCCATGTCCCTGTTCACACCAAGACACAATACTAGTTTTTTTTTCTCTTTTGTGCTGAGACCTGTTGAGTCATTTGAGTGTATTTCAAACAGTTAGTTACCCAAACCGGCATCTCTAGGGATGACCCAGTCTCCAGTTTTGAGATCCCTCACCTGGTTGCCCACTTCTACGACCTGAGCAACACACTCATTACCCCCAACAGCTGGGAGGTCAGGCAGGATGGCGTAAGTGCCTCAAACAAACAAAACATATTATAATGACTGAATTTGATCATATTTATCTTCTGTTGTCAATGTGTGTCACGCCTGGTGTGGATAATAAACAACAAACCAAATACCCTGAATCATGTTTATGTCAGAGGGGTTTATCGGCGCTGCCAGCAGTTCAACCACAACATCCTTTGCACCTGCTGGAGGGAGAGGTGCATCCTCCAACCTGACAAATAAAAAAAGGGGAAAACAACTCATAATTTACAGTGATAGGTCACGTGAGCTTAACTTTGTCATGTTTTGTTTGGCTTAACAGCAAGAAAACATGTTTGTCACTGTTTCTCTTTACACAAATTGCATTGTATTTACACAATAAAAGTCCTTTGAGATTGAGATGAATTAATTATTTTAAAACTAAACCGAGTGACAAAAGATAGCTATGGTCTCAAAATAAATTATCAACTGGAAAAAAAATAGAATTAGGGGAAAATAGGACTGGGAGAATACTTTTAATCTTTAAAACAATGTATTCTTGTAAGTTACTACAATACGTCCAAATAGTTTATTTTTACATTATTATGCTTTGTACCTGTGAACGATAATTTAACCTCTTTGCGTGACTTAGTGCGAGTTTGTAATGTCCAATGCACATCATGTAAACTAGTGCTAGCAACGTCTGCTTCCCATGATGCTATAATAAAATATTCATACATTTAATGAATATTTAGATTCTTACTGAACGACTAGTGACGGGTCTCCGTGGTGTCTGTATATAAGAGCCTGGCAGGTCTGAGCCCAGCGTCCAGCTGACTGACTCGAGGGGGAAACGTTAGCATCACGGTGCCTTAAACGCTTCAGAAGAGTGGCTCCTCTTTGACGGGCTGCGTGAACTCTTAAACACATCGTGTGAACTGGAAACCACATCGCGACACAGTTCCATATAGCAAAGCTTTTAAACATTACAGCTCTTGAATAAATATTTGTATTTTAAGGCACAGTGCTACGCTAAAGTGAGTGTTCCACCGCCATATTGGATTTTACATGTGAAAATAAAAACAGAGAACAGCGCCCCTGGTGGATGAATAGGAAACAGTGCCCCTTGTAAAAAAAAAAAATAAATAAATAAGAGAACAGCGCCCCTGGTGGACAGAAGCTGTAATTTATTCCACTCAAAAAGTGTTAAAGCAAAACTCTTGACAGACGAAATATTTTTATTTAACCCGAAAGGCGTGTGCCACTAACTTTTTATAAATTATTTCATAATTGACCTGTAGACATTTTTACCTAAATGTCATGAAGATAATGTCATCAGGTGTAAACATCCATTTAAACATTTTGTTTATTTTACTGTGGCATACTGACTTTTCCATTATACTATAAAATTGTTTACTGTGCTTTTAAAGAAGAATGTTTTTCTTTCCCCATTTATGAAAATAAAAATCTGTCAAAAACAATATTATGCAAGAAACTGCACCCCTTTCTAAAATTTATATAAATAGAAAGTTCTGATTAGTTTCCTAACCACACAACAGGTCTGACTACCGGCAGACCTGTTGGGTTTAAAAAAAATCAATTAATTAGAAACAGGAGGCTGAAATACTTTAAAAAAACCTCATCGTCCCATTCAAGAGAAATTCAAATAAATACTGCAAAAATGCTCAAGTTAGTGATAAGAAAGAGATGGGGCAAAATTTGGGGTGACGTCCAAAATTTTGCTGACCCAAATGAACATAAACCTTCATTTCACATTAACAAATAATTGTAATACAAAAAATCTGATTTTGAGGAAAATGTGCAGAATAAGACAAAATAAAACTTCTTGGATTAAAGCAGCAAACACGGTAGTGGTAGTGTGATGGTCCAGAGCTACTTTGCTGACTCAGTCAAGATGTCTTGTTTTAATTGTTAAAACCACAAATTCTGCTTTCCCCTTGAAAATCCTGAAGGAGAATGTCTGACCTTTGACCTTAAACAGGTTGGTCATGCTGAAAAACCTCAGCATGGCAAGCCAGACTAAATAAAGAGCAAGAATTTGGTCAAGTTCACTAGGCTAGAAAATCCCTTAAATCCAGGTGCAACAAACCGCAAATCCAGTTATCACATATAACCGTTATTTCCTCCAAGGGTGTTACAAACCATAATAAATTAAACTTGTATTTTAAAAAAAGCAGTTTTTACATGAGGGAAAAGTTTTTTCACAGCTGAGAAAAAACACAATATTGAAATATTTATTATGAAATGAAGCAAAACTTTACATACAGAAACTGAATCACAGTAATACTTTGAAACTCTTGCATGCTGCTCATCACCGAAAATCTAACCATTAAATCACCTGAGTCACAGATTATTTTAGTTTTATAGCAGTAAATACTAATACATTCGTCATTAATAAATGCACATTATTTTAGAAGTAGTTCAAGCCACACAACACCACGAAGGAACTGGCTGATGGTCAAAAATAGAAAATATGCTGCAATGTGCTTTAAATGCTCATAGTCACACAGCATGTTCTTACGTTTTATGGGAATTGAACTCGTAATACCCAAATATTTCAATGAAAAATTTGTATTTTTTTTACAATCACATTGTCTGGCATGAGAAGCAGAGTAGTAACATTTAAATTTATTTAAGTCATAATTTAACTGATGATGTAATCAGTGATGCCAGGTAAAAAAAAAACATGTCAAGAGTCATTTTTTAAGTAGAAAATTGATTAAGAGAATATGCTGACACTATAATTGTAAATATAAAGTTCAAATACCAGCACTTCTATTTTAGTTCTTACAAAACCTGAGGAGCAATCCTAGAAATCTTTAAATTTCAATAAATCTAACCTAGGATCAAAGTATGAAGTCATTTGAGTGTGAAGTCCACAACGGCACATTCTTTCGTCAAAAGCATTGATAGTCTGAAACACCAATCATCAGTGTGTTGAGATGAGACGACGATTAAACACTACTAGCCCCAGTCCCTTTACAATATTCTACTAGACCCCCGTCTACAACAATAGAGGAAATAATACACTAATAGTGGAACATTCTCTTCATGATGAGGACATAAAGCGTCATTACTCTGAACAGAAACACACAAGGAGTCTAATCATTGCTTTTCTGACCTAAATTCGTACAATCTTGCAGTCATTTCCCTGTGAGTAAAAAATAAACGGCAACAAGACAATATTTTCACATTGTTTGGATGAGCAGAAGACAAAAAACTGACTCCTTCCAACAAATCATCAGTCATCTCTGAGTTTTCAGATTGGTTATTCCTGAGAAAGCATCAACGAGCTGTATAAGATTTATAAAAAACAAAAAAGACATATATATATATATGTATATATAATTTGGTATATGTATTCAAGCGTAACTAAAATGAAATACATAAAAACATATTAATGCACCTTGCACAAGATTAGCGCAGAGGGACATTGCATTGGTTTTGGCATAGATACAATAAACAATGGGCTTTTATTCTTGAAAAGCTCATTGTGCATTTAAAAAAAATGAGGAAAAATACGGAAGCATAGAGCTGCCACCCACGCAAATAAAATTAGAGCAATATCACTTTATAACATCATAACTTTGTTTCAACAACATATCTTTCATATTTGTACAATATAAATATTTTATTGTACAAACATGAAAGATACAAATTATATTGTTACAACAATAATATTAAGATGTTACAACATGTTATACTTACACTTATATTTTGCACGTGTGGCGGCTCTACATTTCCGTAGAAAATAACATAAAAGGCAAAGAAAAAACTCAGTTTACACCAGACTTCATTATTCTATGTACTTGTACAGTACTGCATATTCTTACTCTCAGGTTGCTATATATTATTGTCAGTACTTATGCTGAATTAAATTAAGTAAAATGGCAGTTATTTACCAAGAACATATGTACAGAGTAATAAGAGTACCATGATGTAAATAAAAGTTACCCAGATTTTCTCGTGTCACATATAGCTTTAAAGGACCTCTTTGCACTTTTTATGATGACCTGCACTTGTATATTTGTTGCTAAAATGAGCGCAGGAAGAAGCTGTAGCACCCTTGGATGAAAATAAATAAGTAGAATGATCTTTTTTTTAAAAGGCTTTAGAATAATTTTACATATATATTAATTGGGTGTTAAAAGTCTCAGTCAGCATCTCCTGTAAAACGGGAGTAAAATGCTGATTAGCTAGCTAGTTAGCTAGCTAGCTAATGCATCTCCTTGCAGGCGGGTTGCTCCTAAACTTTGACCCTACAAAGGGTTTTCTTTTAGGTTGTTTCTTTTATCTCGCTAAAAAGGGATCCCACTAGATACAAACAAAAACACCAGCCTTCCCACTAGCAATATGTCCGATTCTGCCTAATTTATTTTCAAGTATTGAAAGGAAAACTAACCAGAAACCCTAATAATTCTGTCTAGATCAAGTGTTTCATGTGTGTTTAGTATTTTGTATTAGATTCTCCAGAAATCAAAGTAGAAGTAGTAATAAAGCAGCAGTCTTTAGAAAATAAGCCAAAACTAGAAAGTATACTGCAGATGAACAGTTTATAATGCATCACATATCTCTAAAAGAGTATTTTGCTGCCACCCTCAGGTTAAAATAGCAGTCACGTTTCTCGTTACAAGTACCACGCCATGTCACACAGCACTGCTTCTCTAAGTAAACTTAACCATAACCTGGAATTTTGTACAGATAAAAAAATCAAGAATTAGAAACAGACTCTGCAAAAAGCTAAATCTGCACAAAGCAGATTTTTATAGTTTCCATTTCCTGAGTTAGGCCTTTAAACACACCTATAAAGAGCAGCAGAGCATTTAAGATGTCAGATTCTGGAGGGATCTGAGTTTTCTCCAAGCGGATGGCTCCAGTTGCATGTCCATACTGTAGTGCAAAAAGGATATGATTTGATCCCAACTTCTAAAAAAAACACTGTATTTTGTTAACCAATTAACAGTAAGGAGGATGGCTTTAACAGCAGACCAAACATGCACCAGTGAGGTAGACCAGCCTAGCCAGCAAAATGCTGACTGGACAAAAAAATTAAAAAAATTAAGGAAAAAACAAACCCGACCAAAAACCTGAAAACTATTTTTGGTCTGACTTTCATTTAACCCCAGAAAACTAGATGGTCAACTGCAACATTGGCAAACGTTCACACGTTGCCTACACCTATACCCTTAAACCCGTCTCATGTCACTGTTTTCTCTCCTTGACCGCCCCGCCCCCCCACCGTCCCATTCCTGAGCTAACATTCATAACGGTAGCCATGACAACTCGATAACAAGATGGTAAGGCAACAAAAATTGTAGCTATACACTCAAAAAAATGAAATGCAGAATTTAACTGATGTAAAGGGTTTTACGTTGTGATGTTGAAAGTAAATTACGCTTTACACTTAAGCAACTAGGTTTAGTGGAACCAGCTGGCATAACTTAGTGAGGTAAATTCCACATTTCATTTTTTTACAGTGCACTCTAAAAAATTATGAAAAACTAATAAAACTCAGAAGAGAAATGCAGCCTCACTTCTGTGAAACCTGCACAACTCCTCTACAATCATCAACGCCTCGAATAGCAGTGATTCATACTTTCAACAAGCTTCCTGAGTGCAATAATACAGCAGTATTCCTGAGAGTTACACCAAATGAACAAACAAAATAAAATAAAAAACATTCTTCATGAGTGTTTTTCTTTTCAACCTGAGGTAATTTCAAAAGCAGCTTCAACAGCCGGGGAGGGATGGCGGTCCACCCTCCTCGACCATCAAAGCAGTTTGATTGGCTCCTGTGCTTCGGCGTGACCGGATCTCCCGTTTTAATCGGAGGCCTCGGGAGGCGGCGGCGGCGCCGATTGGCTGTGCTCCCCTTCTTCCACCTTCAACGGGGACGGCTTTCCCTGAGAAGCCGGCGAGGATTGCTGTGCTTTGATTGGGCAGCTGGCGACCATGTGGTCGATGCTCTGGCAGAAGTGGCACCTCTTGGGCTGGGGTGGTAGCTTGCACTCTTTGGCATGGTGGTCCAGGCCTCCACAGTTGTAGCATCTGCAGAAATAAAAACATATAATTAGCTTTGATTGAATCTGCAATAAATGTTCATGAATAAAGAGAAAGAGTAAATTTGGGTTTGATTTTCATTCATAAAAAAGGTTTTTCTGATCTTATGGTAGAACAAATGAGACCAGACAGCTGGCAACACCACCAAAAAAGTCAGAAATACAAATTTGTAACTTTTTGGCTTTATCCACACAATCATTAACTTTAATTATGGGTGACATTTATTCTATATATCTCAATATTTTTCATATATCATGTAAAAATGACATATATTATTATTATTGTAATTGGGTGATATTTTGTTTTTATCCTCATTTGAATTTCCCTTCTTCTCCTTGGAGAACAAGTTCTCCTGGGGATGAGTAAATATCTTCCGAAATGTATTTGCACAAAAATGTATAGGAGCAATTTTATCCCAAAACTAGCAAAAAATGTATTTTAAAACTCAAAACACAAAAACTGAAGTACTACCTGTTTGCCACTAGATGGCAGTGTTTCACCAGGCCTAATCCCAGTTTGCATTTGGGGCATAAAACCTTTAAAAGGGCATTCCAGGCCACAGCAAATTTTACGATAGGCAAAAATGAAGCTTTGGAAGATTTCAAAACATCAAGATTGTAGTGCTCATTCAGGCGTTTTTGGAGCAGGTGGACCTCTTCTTCTGCGTTTCCAAGCAGTTTCCAGGGATCATTTACCTTAGTGTGCACAGCTTGTCTTATTTATCAGTTTGACACTGACAGAAGCATCTGACTGGCCTCCATTGTACCAAAGTGTGGCATCCATTCCGTCGCCATTGAACTTTAGAAAGTGAACGCCGTGTTAGGGTCATTTGGAGCCATCGGGGTGCCATCGGCCACCACGGTTCCGACATAATCTATAGAATGGCCACGCGTACAGGGCTGGAAGACAGATGGACTGTGGGCGTCAGGCGGTAATTCTTTGACTTTGCGGACCCCCTCCCACTTCTGACACTTTTGTGGTAGCAGATGAGGTTTGGACGGGGCGGCTGTCAGGCGGGGGGGGGGGGGGGGGGACTTTGTAACGTTGGGCGTTTGAGTGGTGTCAAGGTCTTCACCGTCACATCACAGCAGCTCCCTACATCAGCATCCATCAGGAGGAAAGTGGAAGTGGTCCCTTTGTCTAAAAAAGCTGCAGTAATGACCTCTGAACCCTGACCTCCCACCTCCTCCCCCAAATTCTCTCAGAGCCCCCAGCTCTCTTCCTTTTATTCATACACGGTTGTCATGACAACAATGACCCTTCACCCCCTTTGCCTGAGCTCTTGCATCTGTTATCAATTAAATGGACAGGAACTTTTCCCCCAATGATACACACACACACACACACACGCGCACACACGCACACACACACACACACACACACACAGGTATTTTATGAAATGCGGGCTAAAGTTAAAAACTAGCAAAAACAACCGATTACACCACTCAAAAGGGGTTTTCTATGCTCCTTTACACAGCAGCAGATCCAGAAAGCTCCGCCCGGCGCTGCATAATGAAACATGATGAAGGAGCCTTATCCACGAATCTGGGAGGTTTATGAAGACGTATTGAACCACAGCAGCCTCCCAGGACTCTTTGAAGCGGTAATGATCCTTGTTCTCACACTCACTTCTCTCTGGTTGTAATCACAGCTGACATTAGGTGAAGTTGAGGCGTCCTTAACCTCACGTCGTACCCAAGCTTCAAAAACAGACCCAAGCTTCCCTCCGGTTTTGTTTACTTGACACTTTTTGGGTCATTTAGAAAATCTGGCCCTCTTTTCTCGGTGACAGAGGTTTAGCAACAGAAGGGAGAAAGCGGGCAGGTTTGAATTCACCAGGGAGCAGCAGATTTAAACAGTTATTGATCCGGGTCACACGTCAGGCCCGCTGATGTGACCCCTTGCCGGGGCTGGGAGTGGGGGGTTGGGTTTGAGGGAAAAGGCCCCAAAAAAAGGAAATGAAAGCAACATCATTTTACACATGGCCACAAGCGGAATGGGGAGATTGCTTTTGGATCGATGATTAAAGCTATACCTCATTGTTGTTTTAAAAATAAACAAGCTCAAATATTCCTGAGGAAAAGGGTCTTTCTGAAGAATTTCCCTAACATCTTTAGCCAGGCGTATGTGGATGTCTACCTCATCACTAATCCATGACTTAAAGGGAATTGTTGGATTTCTCTTGGCAGAAGTAGAGCTGATTACAAGCCAGTGAACTTGTTACGAGACACACCGTGCCGCCAAATCAGCGTAATATTACCGCAACAGTGCGTCTCCTAAACGCGGCATGGCGATGCGCGAATTTTGCGACATTCGTTCCGCCTTGCTTGGTAGTAACATTGCAGTAATTGTCCGTTTGACTACTTATAAGCGGCCCAACGCCGGTTCAGCGTTGTGGCAAATCAACGGCCTTGTTTTGTAAAAACAGCCTAAGTCTTTAGACATTCCAAACTTTTCCAGCTCACCTGTCTCCCTTTGAGCGGCGCTTCTGGACCTTTTTGCCTTTGGGCCTCCTCTCGCTGCCCACACAGTGGATTCCTCCGGGCCCGGTGACCCGCTGAGACTCCAGGCCCTTGGACGACTTTTTGAAGGTAAACTCGACAGCTTCACCTTCCTTCAAGCTGCGGAAACCTTCCATATGCAACTTGCTCTGAAGCGAAACAAAGAAACAAACCAATGACCAAGAATTTCCCTCTGGGATTAAGAAAGTATCTCTGATTTGACGCCATAAGAGGTTAAAGGACTATTTTTGGTTCCATCCTGCCTTTGTTTATGCAACAGCTGATTGGTGATAATTAGATGTTAGACAAGCCTCCAGATTGTGGAGACTTTGACCTCCTCTTGTTGTGTGATATGATCAGAACTGCACTTATCAGGTATTCCCCCCCCCCCCCCCCGATAGAACTCATTGTTTACACCCAGTGGTTCCTAAACAGGATCACGCATGACAAAAGCACCTTAAAGCTTCATTTTCTACAGCAGAGAACCTGAAGATACCCCCCCACCGGAGGAACAGCATTCCTCACCGCAGCCCCCACCCCCCACTCCTCTTCCCACCCACATCACAAAGCTCCACTAACACACTGACCACCACCCTAAAAAAACTACAGGATGCAGGGGTGGGTGCTCGTGTTGGGGGTGGGGTGACGAGGTGGTGAAGCCTCTCTGTGTGAGCTGGGGGGGTGGGGGGGGGATCAGGGTGACATTCCTCGGATATTTGTTTGGCAGAAAGACGGAGAAACTGAAGGAAAACAGGAATGATTGATATCTCCACCTGATAGCAGAGTTTTAGCATGTTTCCCTTTTTCTTCACTACAAACAAAATCAGCCTTAAAATGTGCAGGGGGGGGGTTTAAATGCTGAATTACTTCTTTTATTGACACAACACTCACCTGAAGTGAGCTCACCATGTGCAGAAAAAACATCCCCACCCCCCACAGAAACACCAGAGATAAAGGAAGGGAAGGTGTGGTGCAGGTTTGAGGATAAATCCTGGTTAACACGTCATGGGAAACCCCTGGATGAAAATCCCTAGGTGGGACCATGGGATCAAATTGTCACGCACACTGAAAACTGTTTACACTGAAAGAGCCGTCCATTAATTTGGCAACTTTGTTTTGATAGACCGTAATCTGCTTTCTTTGATTCCACCTGGCGCAAAGCTGCATCCATTCATTACTCCTTTATTTGCAGAAACCTCCAGGAATCAAAACAAAGCCATTTATTGTAAGAGGAACCATTTTGCCAAAGTCAGATTTCCAAATAGACAAGCCATCAATCTGTGGAGACGCTGTTTGGGATTAGAAACAGAACAGAGCTGCAGACTAAGCCTCGTTCGGTAGAGACTACAGCCGAGCTGCAGAAGCCTTTTAAACTGTGTGAAAACCAAATGACATAAGAGTGGAAATGTGGACGTCCACTTCCTTCCTCACATGTGACCGCCCCCTACCCCCCTCAGTGACTCGCACCAACCACATGGCTACGTCAGGCTGTTCTCCCACAGGTACTTTCTTGTGTGGGGTCTGTGGCGCACTACAGCAGAGAGAAGGGAGATGAAGAAAGACATCAGAGCAGCGAGGGACAATAGCAGGACTTCTGCAAGCACAAAGAGGGGCTCGGGCGCAGCTCCATTCGAATGCGTGGCTCTATTGTCCACCTGCACAAAGGCCAGTGAACCACGGGACTTCATCTTTCCCCGACACGTGGCCACTAATTTTTGTGCCGACACCTCTTACTTTCCTACGGAAGAGAATTAGGGCCACTGAAAAATTTAAAAGAATTAATTTCAGAATTCTGACTTTAATATTGGAATTCTGACATTTTCCCTTTTTGAATACTGAGGAAAAAGTCAGAATTCCAATAGAAATTTCAGATTTCTGAGATCATATTCAAAATTCTCACATTATGGCCATAATTCTGAGATTAATTTATGTAATTACGTTTATTAATTCTGAAAGTGAAGTCACAATTTCAAGACAAAAGTCAGAATTCCATTAAAAAAAATTGAATTCCAAGATTAAAGTCAGAATTCCCAAAACAGTTTTGAGATTAATGCCAATGAACAAAGTCAGAATTCTCAGATTAAAGTAAAAAATTCTTAGATTAAAGTGAGTTTTTAAGGTTACTAAATCTGACATTAAAGTCAGAATTCTGTTCAAATACTGTTTTGGCTTAATGTCAGAAATCTAAGTCATTTGTTAAATTGACTAAATTTGAAACTAAAGTTGGAATTCTGAGATTTAAATCAGTCATTTAATTCATTAATCCCAACATTTTCAAATTTCCTTCACATGGGAAATGTCATCAGTCAAACAAGTTCTTCTAAACAATCTGTTCTCTCAAATCCATCTAATCATCTCACAGCTTTTCCTAAAAAGACACATTTAGGTTAAACAAAGTGATTTTTTCTCATTTTCTATAATCTCACAAACAACCGCTGTAAAAGCCATCGGACGATGCCACCCAGTATTAGGACTTTATTTAAACCCTCGTGCCTTCTGGAGCACCGAACCACAGGTTTCTATCCTCAACCGAACTTTTAGTTTGCAAGATGAGTAATTAAACAGCAACTTCCTGTTAGAAGTCACAGCGACACCCTCTCTAGATGCATCATCGTCAGCAGAACGCAGGAAAGCAGAAAATATGCAAATATGGTCATGAACAAAACGTGTGAGCGAGGAAATGTACTCAAATCTCAATTATTCTTCAAAGGCATGTTTATATTTTACCACACACACACACACACACACACACACACACACACACACACACACACACACACACACACACACACACACACACACACAGAGCCTTTAATCACTTTATGACAGGAACTCTGAGGTGAATGGGCAGCTAGTGGGGATTCCTCCCATTCACATGCTAAACCTTTATCTTATCAGAGGTGGTGGTGGTGTGTGTGTGTGTGTGTGTGTGGGGGGGGGGGGGGGGGGGCGCCTTCCACCTCCCACCACCTTTATCATCACCTTCAATGCTTTGGATTAATCTGGGGGGATTTTGGATTACTTTATTCTAGCAGAAACTGGAAAACAACGTGAAAAAGATGTAAAATATAGCTTCCAAACCCAAAGTGTACCATCATTTTTACATTTCTTCTATTTATTTGTCCTTGTCCTGTGACCTTTGCTCATTAAATGCACAACAAATATCAAATGGGTCATCAATTCTAACACCAGACTTAGTAAACATCTGCTCTCAACACTTGGGGAGGATCAATCGTGTCTCTGGTTTAATTGACCAGTTTTCATGCAGCTCAGGAGCTCTGATGTAAGCCTGTTAAGGTGTGTAAGCTTCACCGAATAACACAAAAATACGCATCTTCATGTCTCCATTATGCTGCATCTCTGTCATAAGCACTCCAAGAGGCCTGATGCAACACGTGTCTCCATGACGTAGAAAAAAAACATACAAAAGACATAAAATTATTCTAAATAAACAGTTTCTTTTGCTTTTCTGGATTATTTTGGGGATGATGGCAACAGGAAGTAACACCATCCTACCTGATGCACGAACACATCCACCGGTTCGTCCAGCGGGACCGCGTCCCGGTGGGTCATGGACAGGAACCCGAAACCCATGCGCACGTTGAACCATTTACAAACCCCGACTCCGTGGAAAAACGGCGAGTCCTCCTCCGTGCTCGGTCCCTCATCTTCCTCAGTTTTGCACACTCCTGCAATACATTTTGGGGGATTAGAAAAGCCTTGCAGAAGAACAATTTGCGCACGTTTTCCACCAAAGACTATAATTCGCGTTTAGAAAAAAGCGAAAATGGTTCATTTAAAACGTTTTCTTTGCGTAAATGTGCCAAACGAGGTCCCGAAGCGTTGCGCATCGCGCGTGTGAATAAAGAAGTGAAACGTTCCGCCGCAATCAGAAAGACAGGCGCTCAGGAAGAAAATAAAACAGCTTAATTAACAAAGTTGTGAAAGTTACTCAACCTGGGAACTCCTGGTTGGAAACGGAACCCATGATGTCTTCAGCTCTACCTGGACTCTAAATTAGCACCGAACTACAATTTCCTTTTGTTTTACCCCCTCAAGATGCGTAATCCACACAGATTGCCAATTTCACGCAAAATGCTGCGCAAACCAGAAGCGGCGCAGCGAGAGGAAAGCGGGAGAGGGGAGGTAAACAAAAGGGGGGCTGGAAACCTCCCCCGCCCCTAAACAATACGGGATGGGGGGGTCATGGAGGAGAATTTCAGCACCCCCACCGCCTCACCCTCCACCCCAATAACATCCTAAACAATGCCTACAGAGCCAGCCTCTCCAGAAGGCGCTTCTCGAAGATGAAACTTTTACCTTCTGCCATGTTTGCAGGCCTCCTGGTTCTCTCTGCTGCTGCGGAGCCTGGACGCTTCTGGCTCTCCTGCAGCGCTCGGCACTGTTGGTCAACACAAATGATCATTTCTCATCCAACAAAACCCCCACACTCGGTCACGTCCACGTGATTCACGATTACAGTCCCCAAGGATGCAGGCATTGTGTGATGGACGGGCCAATCAACTCCAACATCAGTATCCTCATGCTCAAGCCTGGACTCATTCACCTTTTTCTGCACATTTTATTGGCAAGATTGGGTGAGTTTATGTGTAAACTAATAAAAATAATAATGTATGATTTATTAAACGAGTTAAGAACATATTTTAAATGAGATACTAAATAGTCTCTGTTCCCCTGGTTATTTATTTTATCTTAAATTACTATAATGGTGCAAGAAATTTAATTTTAAAACGTTTTCTTGGATCAAATCAGGGTTTCTGAGGAATAAATTAATCAACTCTTGGGGTTATTTTTTTTGAAGGGTTATGTCAATAATCCTTCTATTCGCCCATCAAATGTTGTTTAGTGTTGTGATACTGGCTTAGACGATTTTTCTTTTTTTGCATAGAAACAGAAAATAAAGTCATGGTGGCCTCATGAATAAACAAATTAATGGATCAATAAAATGATTGATCACATTATGTTGAGATGTTGACTCTGCATGATGGACCCTTTAAAGACAGAAGATAAAACAACCGTAGACAGAAAAATGGTGCAAAAAAGTTATGAAATTTTTAAAACTGATTTTAAAAATAAACAAGAACCCAGAAAGTAATTTATTTATTTATATTTATTTATTTATTTATTTATTTATTTATTTATTTTTTATATTAGGCCTAGTTAGCCTAAGTCACATGTTTAGGCTTGTTTTTCTATTAACTCACTCGTTTTCTGAAGGAAAAAAGTCTGTTTAATAGTTTCTTCTGCATTTTATTTACCCAGTTTTGTTTACGTTTGTCACACTGACAAAACGTGTTTCAGGTGCGACTTTGATCTAAGGTTGATCAACGCGACAACAGCGACCTCTTGTGAACAGTCATCCAACAGTTTTAATCAAATGGTGAACACATATTTTAAAAATATATATTTATATTTAGCTCATATAACTAAGTTTCTGCCCGGAAACGTAAAATTATCTATCCCATTGTATTTTGTAATTCAGAAATTATTTTCTGAAAGTTCCTTCCTGATTTTCCAACATGCGACCAGACAAGATTAGATTTCACTTTAAATGAATAAAAATTGAAACCTAATTTTTGATATGGTCTATATTTCAAACTATTAAAAAGACAACTTACAAAACTGACGGCACATTTAAAGACATTATATGAGTCAAATTACAATAAATGTCAGTAAACATTGAGTATATTTAATAAAGCCAGACGCTCGTTAAGACCGTTTGCACCAACGGAAGAGAAAGCTGATTTAATAAAGTCTATGTTTATGTTTAGCAGACACTTTTGTCCAAAGCGACTTACAAGTGATAATCGGCATGTTGCCCTTGAGACTAACAACAACAATAACAACAGCAACAGCAGCAACAACAACAACCAATTTCCAGTCAGTCGTAGGTGGCGGTGAGGCAGCATGATGAATCATGGAGAGGAGGGAACAAGGAGTGGACAGTAGAGAGGGGGGACGGGTGCAGGGAGGGTGCTAGTTTAGAAGACGCTCTCTGAAGAGCAGTGTCATCAGGACTTTCTTGAAAGTCGAATATATATATATATATATATATATATATATATATATATATATATATATATATATATATATATATATATATATATATATATATATATATATATATATATATATATATATATATATATATATATGTGTGTGTGTGTGTGTGTGTGTGTGTGTGTGTGTGTGTGTTTAAATATGTGCATACTTAATATTGCTTATTTGCATACATGTTGCATTCTGGGTAATTTATGTCAGCAAGTAGCTAATATTTGAAAATAATAGTTTATTTTACTTTTGGATGACATAGTCATATATTTATTGTCAATTTGATGAATTGAAATTTAGAAATTAGTCTAAACTAGCCTAGTGAACTAGACCAAATTCTTGCTTTCTTTACATTTATTTAGTCTGGCTTGCCAGGCTAAGTCTAAACTACATTTTGCCAGAATTCTCTATCTCTTTTTGCATTTTTAATCAACTTCTCAACATTTGAACACAACTGGTGACGCTGGTTCCGTCGGTCCCTGAAGGCATCATGGTAAAGAGACGCGCGTTCTACTAAACGACCACCAGAGGGCACTGCAACTCGCTGCGAATGATTTCATAACTTTGAAAACAGCACGACACGTGATTTTACGTCTCGAGTGGAGATGAATCATAGAGATGTTGTCACTTTAGATTTATTCCTGACGTGTTCGGTAGTTTATGCTCCAATTTCTGCGGCTGTTTCCGAATTCGGAACCAATGCGCGCGCGAGCACATGTGTGTGTGTGTGTGTGAGAGAGAGAGAGAGATAGAGAGAGAGAGAGAGAGAGAGAGAGAGAGAGAGAGAGAGAGAGAGAGAGAGAGAGAGAGAGAGAGAGATGGGTGCTGTGCAGCCAGGCACAGGCGAAACGCTGACGAGACGAGTCCCGCCTCTTTGGCGTCCAAAATAGACCGTTTGGAAACAGAAACCGACCAACCACCCCGGATACCGACACCGGACAGCTTCAGACGTCGGTCATCATGTACCGGTTGTTAGGGGCAACTATGGATCCGCTTCATGGGACACGAAGGCATGCAGGACCTTGGAGGGTTTGAACTTTGTAATTTGGAAAAAAAAAAAGAATGAATAAAAAAATCTGTTTTTATTTCAGTATCCGGATACTTAAGAGACAAACGTTTTGCAGCTCTGCAAAATGAGAGCCGAAGGCTGCAGAAGAAAGTTAAAAACTGCGCCAGCTTGTCTGCTGCGACCCGACTGCAGTGATGTAGAATAATTCATTGGGATGTGTCATTTTTTGGTTGCCATGTGGGTCCCTTAAAGACAGCAGTTCCGTCTGAGTGTAGAAGTAGGGCAGATCTAGGTGTTTTACTTGCGCTCCCGGTGTTTCCCAACTCCTGGAAGTCTAAACCCACCATGGCCAGGTTGCGGAGGAAGGCTTGCGTTGCTCTGTTTCTGTTCACGTTGTTCATCTTCGGGACTTTGATGGGACTCCGAACCTTGAAACCCACCGACGGATTCTCGGATCTGGCTCCGGGCTTGGAACTCCTACCGATCTTGGGAGGGAGGATGGACCGGCGTGATGCGACAGCGTCCCCGGTTCAAGCCCGCATGCCGGGCAGCGACACCAAAGCAGCTTTCTCCAACTCCGGTCCAGAGGGGACCATATTCTACGACGTGCACATATTTTATTACACCTGGTACGGCAGCCCGCACATGGACGGCAAATACATCCACTGGGACCACATCCTGGTTCCACACTGGGACCCCAAGATCTCGTCCAGCTACCCGAGGGGGAGGCACATGCCGCCCGAGGACATCGGCTCCAGCTTTTACCCGGAGCTGAATCCGTACAGCTCTCGGGACCCGGACGTGTTGGAGTCCCACATGGAGCAGATCGGAACATCCGCAGCAGGTATAGACAGCACCGGGAAGCATTCTGGTCTTCTGGAGTTAAAACAGCTGATCTTTGTTTCTCTCTGCGGGATTCTGGAGGGGCGCTGTACACTTTCAGCACTGGACAGCTCCCACCTGCTCGATCTGATCTGCTGCTGCACTTCTCTTGTTAAAAAACTCCTTATTAAAAGCCAAAAAGATGGATTAAAACTGTCACACAAATTAATATAAGCCCTCATTGAAAGAGGCATAAATAAATAAAGGCTGATGGTGTTTTTTTTTTAAATTGAGGGACAGTCTACTGCCTGGCGTCAAGTAACAGAGGCGATGAGGCAGGCATCAGCAGCCCACGTCTAATAGGCTCTGATGTTTCTATCCTGCAGCTCACTGGGTTATTGCACACCATCCGGAATGATGAGCAGACCATCCAATCCTCTGAAACCCCATCGCATTAACAGATGGATCACAGCAGGCCTGGCTCACAAGGCTTAGTTAAAACCATCCATTTAATCAGATGCAACAAAAAGCCACTTGTGCTGATTTACTGATATTTTCTTTGTCATGCAAAGAAACTTAATAGTTCTTTAAACACATAGATTTAGAAATATGATTCTTTCAAGAAGCAAAATAATTTTATACAAATTATGATGTGTCAGTGACTCAAACTGCAGGGATATCATGGAAAAACAAAACAAAAACGAGTAAAAAGTAAAGGATTTCTGTGTTTTTAGGGGTTCTGGTGTTGTCCTGGTATCCTCCGGGCCTGGCTGACGACAACGGGGAACCTGCAGAGGATTTGGTCCCAGCTGTACTGGATGCTGCATACAGACACAATCTAAAGGTAAAAGGGCATCAGCACATTCAGAGAGCAAGGGAAACTTGAAATCTGGTGTGGAATGAGCCTGAGAGGTGCCATGAATCAGGACGCGCTGCTTTAGTTTTACTGCATTTGCTAAATATGTTGTCACTGAGATGGAGCTTTCATTGATTTGGTGTGTTTAGGTTGACATCCGCTAATGAAAGAGGTCCAATTTTTCACCACAGTTGCTGCTGAAAGCAGCTTTAATTTAGGTAACAAGTGGTAAATGGTAAATGGCCTGTATTTGATATAGCGCCTTCTAGAGTCCTGGAACCCCCCAAGTAGCTTTACAACACAATCAGTCATTCACCCATTCAGACACACATTCACACACTGGTGGGGATGAGCTACAATGTAGCCACAGCTGCCCTGGGGCACACTGACAGAGGCGAGGCTGCCGAGCACTGGCGCCACCGGTCCCTCCGACCACCACCAGCAGGCAACGTGGGTTAAGTGTCTTGCCCAAGGACACAACAAAGAAAAGGAAAACAAAACTAAACACCATTAGGAGTCCATGGAAGGTTTGGATTCTAATGGAATGATCATTTATTGATTCCATGTGATGAATATTAGGTCTGAAGGTGGCGAAAGAACTTCGTTAGTCTGTTCACACCCATAGACAGCATCTGGAGGTGTAGTCATGAAGCCATCTGTCATTCCTCCATTCATCAAACCATCCATTTATTCTCCTTCAACCAGCCAGCATTAATCCATTCATCCATCCATCCAAGCATCCATCGTACACCCATCCATTATTCATTCTGTAGGGTCATCCATCCATCATTCAACCATTTATCATCCACACACAATCCATCCATCATTCATTATCTGTCCACCTTCATTTCTCCATCCTTTCATCCATACATCCATTATTCGTTCATTGCTCCATCATTCATTCTTCCACCCACCATCCATCATTATTTATCATCCATCCATCCATCCATCCATCCTTTCATCCATACATCCATTATTCGTTCATTGCTCCATCATTCATTCTTCCACCCACCATCCATCATTATTTATCATCCATCCATCCATCCATCCATCCTTTCATCCATACATCCATTATTCGTTCATTGCTCCATCATTCATTCTTCCACCCACCATCCATCATTATTTATCATCCATCCATCCATCCATCCATCCATCCATCCTTTCATCCATACATCCATTATTCGTTCATTGCTCCATCATTCATTCTTCCATCCACCATCCATCGTTATTTATCATTCAGCCATCATTTGTCATCAATTCACCTTCATTCCTCAATCCACCCATCCATTATTCATTCTTTCATCCACATATTCATCATCCATCCATCCATTCATCCATTATTCATTCTTCCATCCACATATTCATCATCCATCCATCCATCCATACATCCATCCATCCATCCTTTCATCCATACATCCATTATTCGTTCATTGCTCCATCATTCATTCTTCCATCCACCATCCATCATTATTTATCATCCAGCCATCATTTGTCATCAATAAACCTTCATTCCTCAATCCATCCATCCATTATTCATTCTTCCATCCACATATTCATCATCCATCCATCCATCCATCCATCCATCCATCCATCCATCCATCCATTCATCCATTATTCATTCTTCCATCCACATATCCATCCATCCATCCATCCATCCATTATTTATTCTTCCATCCACATATTCATCATCCATCCATCCATCCATCCTCCACCCATCCATTATTCATTCTGTAGGGTCATCCATCCATCATTCAACCATTTATCATCCATACACAATCCACCCATCATTCATTATCTGTCCACCTTCATTTCTCCATCCTTTCATCCATTATTCATTCATTGCTCCATCATTCATCCTTCCATCATCCATCCATCATCCTTTATCATCCAGCCATCATTTGTCACCAATCCACCTTCATTCCTCCATCCATCCATCCATCCATTAGTCATTCTTCCATCCACATATCTATCCATCCATCCATCCATCCATCCATCCATCCATCCATCCATCCATCCATCCATCCATCCATCCATCCATCCATCCATCCATCCATCCATCCATCGATCGATCGATCGATCGATCGATAGATGAATAGATAGATAAACTTTATTGTCCACCTCGAATTGAGGCAGAAATTGGCCTTTGACATGGCTCACCTTACAATACAGTCCATATCACATTCACACAAATATATAAAAAGACAATTAAAAGGTATTAGAATGTTATCATCGTAAAAAACAAATAAAACTTTAAGAATTAAAAATTGTAATTGTGGTGGGAACAAATGATTTCTAATAGACACCTTTCTTGTTCAATGGAACCCTGAACCTCCTTCCTGATGGAAGTAACTGAAAATGTGGGTTCAATGGATGGGTAGAGTCTGCACTGATCAACTCTCTCGTGAAGAACAGGAAGTGGGATCTGAGGTGAACCTGTAATTTTGCTGCCTAATTTAACAATGCGAGAGAGTTGCGTTTTGTTTTTAACTGTAAGAAAGTTATACCAAGCTGTAATATTGAAAGTTAGAATGGATTCAATCAGTGATTTACATACAATTGTTAGGATGTCCTTGTTCACAATGAGTGCTCTTAGCTTCCTTAGCAGGTGGAGTCTTTGCAGCGCTTTCTTGTAGACACCGTTGCTGTGATTTGCAAAGGACAGGTGGTCATCAGTTTCTGTTCCCAGATACCGGAATGACTGAACCTGCTCCACAGGCTGACCCTGTATGCTGAGGGGTTTGAACAGGGACGTGTCTGCCTCACTGGCTGCCCCACAGCCCATTTCTTTAGTTTGAGATATTCAGCCCCAGGTGAAAGTCTTCAAATGTCTGGACCAGATTGCTGACCGCCTGCTGATATTTAGACAGGTCCTCCGATGTCTTCACTGATGCCACCAGTGCCATGTCGTCTGCATACTTATACATCCCTCCATCCATCCATCCATCCATCCATCCATCCATCCATCCATCCATCCATCCCTCCATCCATCCATCCATCCATCCATCCATCCATCCATCCATCCATCCTTCATTAACTGTCCACCTTCAGTTCTCCTTCCATCCATTAATTCATTCATCCATCCATTTGTTCATTCATTCTTCCATCCACCATCCGTTGCCATTCCTCATCCATGCGGTGTCTGGTTACCAAACCTCACCTTCTCCTCTCTGCTCTTTGTAGATAACAGGTTTCTGTTGGCTCCCACTGTGCAGTGAGGCAGATCACAGCTGAGCGTGAGGCTGTCAGCTCCTCTACATTTTAGGCCAGGATTCTCACCTATATTTGATACCTTCTAGAATCCTACAACCCCCCAGGGTACTTTACAACGACATCAGTCATTCACCCATTCACACACTGGTGGTGATGAGCTACATCATAGCCACAGCTGCCCTGGGACACACTGACAGAAGCGAGGCTACCGTACACAGGCGGAGGGTGAAGCGTCTCGCCCAAGGACACGACGACTCTGACAGACAACTAAAAATAAAAGATGCAACATGTTAAGCATCCCGGTGTCTTGCTTGCAAGTGATGGACCAATTAACAAGGGTGTTTCTCTGAACTATCGTGAAGATGAAGCTGAACCAACAGGTTAATCATTTGATTCAATGGCGTATCCAAGTTCCAACCCTCAACTGTGGTCACATGACTGCAACCATGACTGACAGAACAAGATCTCAAATACAAGAAGCTGAAATTAGATTCTGCCTTCATCATTCAGGAGAGCGCCTCCTCATCAGAAGGAGACAGGTGAGGTGGTTTTAGTACGCCCCCTAATCACCTCTCTGGTGATTTTCTGGGCACATCCCACTAGGAGGAGATCTTGGTGCAGACAAAAAACTTACTGGAGGGATATTAGATCTTCTCTGGCTTGGGAGCAATTTAGGATTCCCAGGAGAAGCTGCAGGGTTCCTGAGGAGAGAGATGTCTGGGCTTTCTTCCTGGCAATGGTATTGCAGATGGATGAACGTTCTAAGATGATGAACACCGGCATGTTCTCATCCATCATCCTGAAATCCTACACCAATCTTTGGGTAACGCTACAAAAGAAGCCAGTGTGCTGTTTATTATATAAGGTGAAGCCTATTTCAGCTGCTCCCACACACAGCCTGTGTATCGTGAGCACATGGAGCCTCCACAGCGGTGCTGCTGCTCGACCTCGGTTCGCAGTGGAGCCAAAATAGTCCTGCTCAGGGGAGAGAGTGTGGGGGCGGTTCGGAAGGGACAGGGTGAGGTGGGGGCATGGAAATCTGGGTGCAGGAGGACAAGAGCAGCGGGGAAATAAGCATTGTGGCTCCCATGACTCAGTTTGTGCTTCTGAACAATCTGGCCCCTAAGGGGGCTGTAAAATTCTGCCTCATAAGTAGGCCATGTCAAGCGCACCGGGGGAATTCGACCCATGGGGCGTGCGGACAGATCGGTTTGTTTTCAGATAACATTCAGTTTTTGTTGTCACTGCAGAAGCAAAGCGACGATGTGCCAAAAAGAAAATTTGAGCAGAAATTGACCAAATGACAGCAAAGACCTGGACTCTTTGTGTTTGTGCCAACTCACATCCTTCCTCCTGTGCTTTCTGCATGAAGAGGCATTAAATTCCCCTCTGCTCAGCATAAATTACGCTGCTGTCATTCCAGGGTCACACTGTCAGTGTTTCTGAAGTATCAAAGATGCTTGAACTTGATTCAGATTTACCTCTGAGGGATGAGCTAGCGTTGTGGGAAATGAGTGTTCAGGTGGTCTGCACTCGGCCGCGGTTAAAAGGGACCATAACAGCTTCGTGTCTCCTCGGTGGCTGACCACCACGTGGCTTCGGATCCGGTTACGGAAAACAGTTCAGCTCACTTTACAGAGCTCTAAGGTACCAGAGAGCTACGGCTCAATAAACATCCACTTTGAGCTCCGATTTGCTCGACTGTTTCCTGTTAAAGTGAATTTTATATCAGTTGTGTCGCATATAAGGCATTTGGCTTTTAGTAGGAAAACTGGTGATTCGGTTAGTTTAGTCCAGGGCCATTCAAGTATCCAGCACGTTTTACTGGTTTCTCTTCTGATTCAGTGGTTCTATCACCTGTGCAGCAGCTCATCAGGCTCTGCAGAAGCCTGTTAATCACCTGCTGGTTGAAATCAGATGTGTTGAAGCAGGGTTAAAGCTAAAACGTGCTGGATACCGGCCCTCCAGGCCCGGAATTGAATAACCCTTGAACCACTCCTGGAACCACTTGAGTTAGATGTCTTAGATGTAGCCTTGTAATTGTAGAAGATCCGATTAGATTTAAGTTGTTGCTCTTAACCAAAACACTGGTAACACTTTAAAATAACGGTCCCTTTATTAACGTTACTTATTGCATTATTAACCATTAATAAATGAAGGGTGCCTCTGTTAACGTTCTCGGTATTAAGCAGAGGTGTGACCAAGTCACTGATTTACAAGTCACAAGTGAGTCACAAGTCTTTCCAGTCAAGTCTCGAGCCAAGTCTAAATCAAAGACAATCAAGTCCGTGTCGAGTCCAAAGTCAGGGGGTGTCTGCTTAGTAATGCATACATAATACGGTTAAAGCTTCTTTCCGGAGTATTTCTCTTATCCGATGGCACCATCTAGTGGCTGACAAGCATATCACACAAAAAGTCTGTCGATCAGTTTTACTAAGATGGCAACTTCGCGTTTCTTGTTTATAAATGTGCTTCTGTGGCCGACAAACAGAGCTAAAACACGCCGTTTTACAAGTATTATTCTCATGTTATGTTGTGTTCTCATATACTTATATTTTACAGACGTACTTGTCCGTGAAAAGTTCATCAGTTCTGCATCAGCAGAGGTACTTCCTTAAATTTGAAGCACTTATGAGGTAATCTAACGCTATTGGTTAGCTCCGGTCGGCGCTCAGTTTCCTATTGCACGGAGCTCTGTGGGGCAGGGGGTGTGCTTATCAAAAAAAAAAAAGAGAGAAAAAAAAGATGTATTGCTTACTTTATGTTACATTCCATGACCAGAAAACCACTTTTACGGATTTCTGAAAGATGATACATAATTTCTAAAAGGAGAAAACTCTGGAAAGCTACTTTAAGCAGTTGTTGCTTTTTAAATAGTTTATTAATGCTTAATAATACACCAAGTAATGTTAATAAAGGGACCCTTATTGTAAAGTGTTACTAAACCTTTTCTTTTGCTTTGTTCGTCATAAATGTTCCCTGATGGCAAAATGATGTTTTACTTTGAATTATAAATGACGAAAGTCGATGAATTCTATATTCACCTTCTAAAATATTTATCGAGTACCTTTTGAGTACGTGTCATTTCCTGTCCTGTCAGTTCAGTTGGGCTCTTAAAGAGAACCGCTGTCAGGATACGTTTCATGATGAATTCTATAAGATGGAGGGATTATGGTTAGAGAGAAAGGCACACTTACATACAGTATTTGAGTTGGATTTATGTCGAATAAATATGATAAAAAATACAAAAACTTTATTCCCCATCTTTCTTAGGGGAGGACTAGGGTCATTTCTAAGTCACCACACACTTTGACCATTTGAGGATCAGACTCTTGGTAATAAAATCCAACAACTGTGCTCATCTTCACATTTTTCCCAGGTTGCATTTCACCTCCAGCCTTACAGAGGAAGAAATGACCAGACGGTGCACGACAACATCAAGTACATCATTGACAGGTTGGTGCCTGCCACCTGAGGTGCAGCTCAAACTGAAAACCATTAAGAGTGCATGCAAAGCTGTGGAAACAGAGTTCACAACATATAAAAACCTTTAGTTGCTGTTATTTAATATTATATAAGGGCAGTTTCATGACTTATGAATTAGTTTTTTAAGTGAAAATGTTTTTTCCTAAAAGCTTTAGGTATACAAGCTAGTTGGTGGGGAGAAAAGCACTTGTCAAGGACATAAACTCAAACGCCAGAGAATAGAAATAATGCGTTTTATTTTTAATGTGAAAATCTGCTGTTTACCTCGAACTGTTGAGAGCATCAAGCTGGAGAGTGCTGTGTGCAGCTTTCATTCACGACTTGATTTATGAACAAAACTACAACAGAGTTAGTGCTTCATATTTTTTAAACTCTTTCATAAATTAAATATTCTGTAGCTCCTATGCAGTTTCACGTGTTTGGGATCTTCTACTTTTGCTTAAAGTGTGCATACTATGATTTTTTTTCTCAAGCTATAGTTTAATGGTCGATAAAAAATTTTTATGAAGTTCTTTTGCATCAAATCCCTCTCACATAAAGCAGTTTCAGCAGTTTTATTCTTGACCTTTTCAGTACCTTCCAGAATGAGTCGTGTCAGGGATCTGTCCCTTTAAGAAAACTAGCTGGAGCTGGCTACGGACATGTTTTTATTTTATTTTACCGTCTCTTTTTTTAAAAGGTACGGTGAACATGGGGCCTTCTACAGATTTCCTTCCAGCACGGGCAAGAGTCTTCCTCTCTTCTACATCTACGACTCCTACCTGACTCCACCCGAGTCCTGGTTGGAATTCCTAACCTCCACCGGCTCCCACAGCGTCCGCGGTTCCGCCTACGACTCGGTCTTCATTGCTCTGATCGTGGAGGAGCGTCACAAGCACGACATCCTCGCAGGTGGCTTTGACGGCATGTACACTTACTTTGCCTCGAACGGCTTCTCCTTTGGCTCCTCCCACCAGAACTGGAAGGCCATCAAGGAGTTCTGTGACGGGAACAACCTCCTTTTCATCCCCAGCGTGGGCCCCGGGTACATCGACACCAGCATCCGGCCGTGGAACAACCACAACACACGCAACAGGGTGAACGGTCGCTACTACGAGACGGCCCAGCAGGCGGCGCTCAACGTGCGGCCAGAGATGGTCACCATCACATCCTTTAACGAATGGCACGAGGGGACGCAGATAGAGAGGGCGATGCCCAAAAAGACAGCCACCCGCGTGTACTTGGACTATCAGCCACACGGACCTGATCACTACCTGGATCTGACCCGCACCTGGGCTGAGCAGTTCAATAAAGAGAAGGAGCAGTGGTTGATGTGAGCTTTCTGGATACTCGTGGACATTTCACGAGATGGGAGGAGGTGAAATGGTGCTCTCACTGGAGATCGGACTGAACCCCTTTAAAATGAGAACTCTGAAAGTTCTGCAAAGTCTGATCTCTGTTCCAACAGATATAAAAGCCGATCAGACAGGAAACCAGACGTGATGCACTTTGAAAGTTTGAGAACGAGACGTTACGTTGTTTTTGAACTTGCACCTGTCAGGAAATCTGTTCTCATTTGCATGATTTTATTCTCATTATCTCTCACTTTAATTTGATTTCCTGCAGATGATTTAGCTGAAAATGACTCCGACCTCACACTTACACATTAAACTAATGATTCAGCCAGTCAGTCTGGGTTTTATGTTTAGGGGAAGAAAAGAAAAACATGTGGGCAGGTGAAATTTCCATCTTCCAGCTGGCTGCTTGGCAACGGTACATTACTCTTCTTACCCAAGAAGCTTCAAGTCAGTAATAGTTTAGCGATGTGCTGAACAGCGACTTTTAATTAAAACCAAATCAAATGTTTCCTATCAGTTTTGGGCGAAGTGACAGGAAGTAAAGCAAAGTTAATTAAAACTTATTTTCCAAAACTTCTCCCATTTTCCTGATTTCTACATTTTGCTCACAGATGCGTTTGAACCCCCAAAAAGCCAATGACTTTGTCTCATCTCAAAATAACAGCCATCTATTTAAATCGGCCTCTCGACTGAAGTTAGAATAAACGGAACAGAGTTTTAACTGCATCTTTAAAGTGACAATGTGTAGTTTTTTCCATTAATCTCAGGAAATATGTTGTTTATTCATTTAGCAGACGCTTTTTTCCAAAGCGACTTACAATTTATAACCTATAGGGCATGTTGTGATCTGTGCGGGAAACCGGAGTTCCCGGAGGAAACCCACACATGCATGGGGAGAACACGCAACTCCACACAGAAAGGCCGCAGCCGAGCAGAGTTTCGAACCTGCAACCTTCGTGCTGCGAGGCAACAGTGCTAACCACTGTGCCACTATGCAGCCAAATATCCATCCATGTTGTAGTAAATGACTTAAAATATGCCTAGTTGTTGAAAAATATTGGCAGTTTCATGACACACAACCATAAAAATCTGTTTTAAAATACATGGGTGCGGGTTTAAGTCTCTGGGCGACACCATATTGGACGCCATGTTTCCTTCCACGGAAGCCCGTGGGGACAAAACACATTTACTGATTAGTAACAAATGGTTACAAAACTTTCACCATTAATAAACATTATTGTTTTAAACATTTCCTCTTCACTCGTTGCCAGTGATGAAAGAAAATCTGGAGGTTGCACTTCCAGGGATTATGACCCTGATTGCCATCCGTTGGTAACGTCTTATTTGAACACAAAAATAATGCTTGCTTTCAGTGATTTAGGTATGTAATGCCCCCTATTGCCAGGGAAACTACACACTGTCACTTTAAATAACAAACTCACTAATTACTTCAATACATTTGCTGTGGTCTCTAGTATAAATGAATGCCTGAGTCGATCTGTGTGTGGGAAAAAGCTCTGGCGCTCCTGTTTCAGAGGTAGACTTTAGTCGGTGGAGAGTTGAGCAGAATACGGGAGGATTTGGAGTCTTTTTTCCGGGTATTTGGACATCTCGCCTGATTAGATAACAGCAACACGACTCTACCATTGACTCTGCTTCACAGCGTTGTTTTATCTCCATAAATAACACAAGCTTGGAAGAGTTCTGCTGTGTGGAGTTGCTAATGCTAACAGTTTGCTAAAAGTAGCTGATATGTTCTCTGCTGTTTCTTAGACGCTAAACCCAACGGCGTAAATTTAGCATGGACGGAGGTGACATGTCCCCACTATCATCCAGTGATGATCAAATAGTCTCCACCAATAATTTGACCGCCTCCCCTAAAAAACAACAAACCATTCAATGTCTCGTAACCCTAGAGGTGCAGAAAGGATCAAATGACGTTCTCTGACATCCTACTTCCGTAACGCATATAGCTAATGTGACTGGCTGCACGTGCGGTCACGGGAGATGGACGTCAGACAAACTACAGCACCAAAGCTCGAAGGAAAACGTTACAGTTGTATGCGAGACTCCTGTGTTTGAAATGCGACATGAGTGACACATGGGGCCAAAAGCGAGCGAGTGTAACCAAGTGTCCTGAGAGGATGGTAGACGTGCAAATCCCCACCAATGCCAAGAGCCAATCTACACCAATGCCAAGAGCCAATCTACACCAATGGCTAAGCAGACAACAGTCCTCCCCATCCAGAGTCAAGATGGGTGGGCCCATGAATGCTAACTTGACATTGTGACACGCTAATGACACATGCTTCTCTAATCTGAGCCCTTTTCCATCTATTTTCCATCAGCGGCTAAAGCAGGAAATAGGAGTAGAAGACTGTTGTCACATTCAGTGTTACGTCCCCGACAGGTGTAAAAATGTGAAGGATGGGGTAACATAAGAATGGACAGTGGATATTAAAAAGGGTTTTATTTTAACAAAAAGGTTTTACAAACGTGCAAACAGATGACGACAGTGCATTATAAAAATAATGCTAAACAAACAGAACTCTCTAAAACTCTGAAAAAGGTTAACATTACACAGCAAATTATCAACTATAAAACACCTGGTTAAAACTTGTATTAAAAGCTTAACCAAACAGAAGGTGTTTTAAAATCCTGAAGTTGATAAAAGTTCCAAAACAATCCACTGACTAAAAACACCTGGTAAAAACAGATTTTAACCCTTTGATGCATGAATTATGAAATCTTCAACCATGATTTTTTAAACAATTTTTTTCATTCATTTTTAGGTGCAAATGAAACAAATTTCAACAAATATCTTTTGTAATGTTCTGTTAATTTACAAATAATTTATTACATGTCCACCTCAGTGGACAGCGTGCATTCTGAACATGAAATATGTTGGCTTGGCTTACTGAAGTCCAGATGGAGGGACTCAAATGCAATAAAGTCTTCAACAGCTGTGCTTAATAGCAAAAATAAATAAATAACAATTTTGAATACCTGTCCACTGTAGTGACCATTATGCATCAAAAGGTTAAAAAGCTTTACCACAATGAAGGTGTTTAAAACCGAGGTCAGTAAAATTGCCACAAAGTTAACCTTAAAACCAAACTGCAAAAAAGATCCCACTGGATCATCCAAAACCTTCTTACTAAGAGTTAAAAACCACCCCAAAGTTTAAAACTCATCCACATGAATCTAAACGAAAGAGGTTGAAACCAAACCAAACCAAACCAAACCAAACCAAACCAAACCAAACCAAACCAAAAACCAGGAGGACAGCAGAACCCCTGCACTGCTGCCTCCCAGACTGAAGAAGGCACAGCCTTTTTATGCAGGTGTTGGCAATCAAGGAAGATGCAGCTCAGCTGTGCTCCTCAGCAGCCCGGGAGAGAGGAGGAGGAGGGGCGGTGTCAGGCTGTTTCACCAGAGCTGGGTGATCCTGGCTCCTGCTCTTCCCTGGCCAGACTGGCAACCGTAACATTCAGGCCCTGTCCACACGTAGCCGGGGATCTGCCAAAACGTAGGTATTTTTCTACGTTTTGGCCTGTCATCCACACGAAAACAGAGTTTTTTTCACACAAAAACGGATCTTTTTAACAACTCCGGCCAAAGTGAAGATCTGCGGTTTCTCCGTTTTGGGTGTCTGCGTGTGGACGGACAAAACCGGAGTTTTAAGGTCCGCAACGTCACTTTCCACGACAAAAAATGCTGACATCACGTGTGCGACCTGTGTTTACACTAGCCGACAGCATGGATGCCCTCAGAGCTGCGCTCGCTTTATCAATTGTCCAAGCGCTTTTTGCTTGTTTGTTTTTGCAAGCGGAATTACTGCTCCTTGCGGAAGACCACAGACGAAGGACGAGGTTAAGAACGGGGGAAGTACTGCCGCCTACAGGTCTGGCATGTCCTTAACAACGTATTTATCCAGGTACGTGTGGACAGTTTTTTTTTAAAACGAGGTGGTGTGGATGCAAGTTTTTGGAGGGGCGGATATTCGTTTTTAAAAAAAAACCCCGGCTACGTGTGGACTAGGCCTCAGTCTGCATGTGAAACTCAAAGTGATCGAGCAGATTTCAAATCCAACAAGGAAAACATGGTTTCTGTGTGAACTTGGTCTTTAAAAGCTAAAGACGTTTGTATAAAATGCTCCTAGGAAACTCATTAGTAAGTAAAATCCAATCCTGATTGAATAAAAACAAACATCTCAGACGGATTCATGCAGGATTGAGACAAAAACTTTTATTCCAACTAAATCAGAAACATTACAATCCATTAAACAAGCTGCATCACATGGTAGACAAACATGAGCATAAAAACAATCAAATCATTTAACTTTTAATATATCTGAAAAAAAGATCTGATTAGTCAGAAGATAAAAACAGAAATCTGACTTTTACTGTCTGGCATCAAATAAAACAACTTCTTGATTTGATTCATTACAGCTTGAATCCGTTAAAAAACCAAAAATAAACTCTTATAATTTATAAAACAATACAAGTATAGGCAAAAAAAACTCAAACAGTTCCTGGTACTTACATATATGAATAAATGGAGACACCGTTAAATAAACAACAACAAAATGACCTCTTAAAAAGCACCTGACCCGATGACAGCCACCATCTGTGGCGTCGGACCCGACTTCTTTCCGAGATTGCGCTTTTCCCGGGGTGGGTAGATTCACCGATTCTCGTTCTCCCATCGTGTTCCCGGGTCAAAGCCGGTTGTGCGTCTCAGCGTGTGTGTTAGAGTGTGGAGAGTTTAAAGGTCACTCCTCCCCCGGGTCCTCTGACAGTCCGAATTTACGCTCCAACAAGTCGAGCGTAGAAGCAAGAGCACTGAAACCAGAATTAGGGTCACTTGTTTGTTAAAGCTAGTCCTCTTCGGGTGGGGGGGGGGTAGTGGAGCTCAGAGTCAGAGACAAAAATAAACAATGTGACGGATGACTAGGGGACTGTAACGACCCCGAGCAGCCATTTGGGATAACTGTAATTAGAAATGCCCAGATTCATCACAGTAGGCGCTCCATACACCGATGCTGTCTCAGCAGAACAATAACACCGGCAGGTGTTTAATGCTGATGTGCAGCTGTGGTGGAATTAAAGCTACAGGCTCTAGATGACTTCATCTGAAGCTCGTGTGTTCGCTTCAAGAGCTAAACGTTTGATACGGATGGATTTAGGCCTCAGAGGTCACCTTCCAGAGGAAAGTAAGAAACAAACAATGCAGAGCATCACTTTTAATCCAAGGAGGAGGAAAAAACAAAACCTGATGAGGAAATTTGCAACTTCCTAACTAAGCTGACTGCACTGCGATGTCATGCTTTTGCTTCATGTACACACACACACACACACACACACACACACACACACACACACACACACACACACACACAAATGTTTCTCTTCTGCTCAGTCAGCGGCACAGAGAAGCCGGGGGCAGCACCCGTAAATTAGCCGCTAGCACAAGCTCCGTTGGTCTGACCGAGGCGGTGCAGAGCAGGAAAAAATGTCAGAGCGACTTCAGCTGAAACCACAGCTCAGACTGCATCTGACAAATACTTTATGTTTAACAATAAATATGCCTTAAATAGATTTAAGCCACTGGAGTGAATTTCTGTTAAAGTTACAATTAACAATTTTCCCATCCCGAAGGTGAACAGCCTCTGTTCAGAGAAACAGAGATTACAGGGCTGATGAGCTAACAGCTAGAATGAGTCCAGCTGATATTAAATGAGGCATGAAGTAAAAAGGTCCACACAGTAAAATATTATTATTTACAAGTAGGGCTGCACGATATTAGGAAAACCTGCGATGTTCGATAACAGTGATAAATATTGCGATGATGATATTACTTGCGATAAATAAAAACTTAACTCGGGAACAAAAATAATCAAAAACAAAGACATAAAAATGAGAAATGCAAAAGATGTGAGGAAAGGGAAAAAGAAAATGAACAAGAAAAGCAGAATCAGCAGAAAGAGCCAACGAAGCTAACTCAGGTGTTTGCTAACCATTAAAATTAGGTGCCGTCCGCCTATAGGGGGCGGGCATCTGACCTATGAGAACCCACCCAGTTGGCCAAATGGGTGAAGAGCTCTATTTGATTTGTTAAAAAAACATCATGCTTCCATTTGATTGACAGAATGTATTATATGTAGCAAACATTTGAGCTGACCATTCATTGCGACATTTATCTGTTCTTTTCGATATGCATATTGTGCATGCTGATATCGCGATAACGATATATTTACGATATATTGTACAACCCTACTTACAAGTCAGGGCTATCAAAATTATCGAAATTTCTGACTCTTATCGAGATAATTTTTCCCCATCAACTAATTTGATAATAAAAAAATGAAAAGATGTGTGTAGGTTGGCAACATTCATGTCCCTGTAAGAAGCTGTACCACCTTGAGTCACGTAAAATTGTGACAGCCCCCTCTAGTGGACAACTTTTGTTTCTGCACATACCTGTAGTTATCGTCCACTTATCGTTATCGAGGTAAAATCCTCAATATGTTGTGATATTGATTTGAGGCCATATCGCCCTGCCCTATTACAATTCCAGTAGCAACAAAGCCAGGTCACAATCAGTGTGTGATTTTGTAGCCTTCTTTAGCTCCCTGAAACCAGTGTAGGCCGCGTCCATGTTCACTCTGGTTTTAGCTCTTTGCTTTGCCTACAAATGACTTTTCTTTTTACTTCCCGACTCCACCATGACGCCAACAATAAGCAAAATCTTCCTGTTCTTTTTAATTAAAGTCGGCGAACTGAAAAAGCAAACTGCTGTTCTCTATTAGCTACCGGCACATTGCCATAAAGCAGGTAGAGACCTACTAGTTTCTGCTCAGCATTAGTTTGGAAGCAATAGTGATACGATTTTATATTTATATTTGAATTCATACAGACAGCCATCTTTGGAGTTCCAGCACCTTCCCGCTGCAGACTTTTTCTCCACGCTCCTAAAATCAGCTCTCGCTGACTTTTAGAAGACAAGAGCGGGACTTTGAGAGTTAGAGTGTTTCAGGAAAGAGCAGTGCATGATCTAAACCTGAAAATATAAATTAATGCTCTCAAATCAACAGAAGATGCTCTTGATTAGAATGCCGGATAGGGATGTTTTAAAGTTTGATACAAAAAAAGCTGCATGAATAATTGTTACATTTAGAAAACTGGAGTCATTTTAAGATGGCAGCCATCCACTTGGTCTAGCTCATCAGTCCTGTGGCATTGAATCTCAGTTTCTCTGAAATGAGGCTGTTCAGGAAACCGCCTAGAGCAGTTTTGACGCAATTATACCTCTTACACAGAAACTTACTTCAAAGTGGCCACACTATCCCTTTAATCGGTGCAGAAACAGGACTTACCAGCCGGGTCTGATGATGCGGTATTTTCCAAGGACCGACAAATCGATCACCGTTGATCCGAGGCGGCTCTGGTCCCCTATGGGTCCACCATCCACCACCACAGCCAACTTCGGCCAGAGCTCCTGGAACTCCTTCAGCAGGAAAACAGCTGGTCTGATATTCAGCAGATATCCACTCTACGGTACTCAGACGCGTTGCCTGGTTAGGACACTTACTTGGACTTCCACCGTGCTGGTTTGTGAGCTGATGTTGGCGCTGGTGAGTGCTAGCGGTTCCCCACACATCTGGCAAAGGCGCCTCATGAAGGCGTGATCGGGAATGCGAACACCTACGAGCTGAAGGGTCTTTAGATAAAATAATCCACTCGCTGGCTTTCATGAGAATGTTATTAGAAAGAGAGAGACTTACTGAAGTGAAGGGGTTAAGGTTTGTGTTCAGAGCTTCAGACCTCTCAAACACCAGCGTGACGGGACCGGGCAGCAAGTCATCCAACAGCTCCCCCTTCACCTTCACCTTACAGTACCTGTTCCCGCAAATAAGACCGCGTCAACGGAGAAATAGGAGGGCAGCGAGGTAAGCTGTTGACAGAAATGTGTTCGACTCGAGTAAAATCACAGATGACTGCATCAAAAACAAAGTGGTGTTTTGAATTTATTTTTGTATGTTTTGAAAAAGAAAAACTGAAATGGGTTATAGGCAACATGAGCTGTATGATTTGTTTAAGAATACTGTGCAAAACTCTTGATATTTGACACATTACACATTGATTGCACATGTAGTTTCTGTAAGTACTACCACACAAATCTCCAGTAATTTAGTTCTAACATGAAGGTTCAACAAGCCTCAAAAATTAGAGATGCACCGATACCGATATTCGATATCAACAACACTGTTCTGGCCGATAACCGATATACTGACATTAATGCTTCTAAAAGCATCAGATTTTGTATAGAAGTTGAATGTGCATTATTATGCACACACACACACCACACATATTTACTCTTCTGAGATGATTACAATCACTTTCACATGACTAAACCCAGCCCCCACAATGCGGGTGAGAAATTGAAGCCAACGCGGAAGTGACAAAAATTGCAGTTCCACCCTCATCCGCTGGGGGCTGGTATCAGAAGCGAGCAAATCCTCATTGACTCCCATGTTAAAAATACCATTTTCACAGCAGAAATAAACATGTTTACAGCCTGGTACCAAAACATGTTATTTGTTTAAATTATCTAATTTACACTCATGACAACTCTGAGGGGGGTGAATTTTTTTCTCACTCTTCTGTTTAAGTGTATTAAAAGCTTAAAATTCTGTATAATTAATGAGCATCAGACCCACGTGACCACAGAGCTAGCTCTGTGGAAAGGCCTCAGTAGAGCCTCGGTCTGGCTTGGAAACTGCTCCGGGATTTTGAGTCTCTGTGTTTGTATATTCTTTTTTGGATATTTTCTGTGCAATTGCTGTACAAAATGACTTGCTGTGGCATTAATTGCACTAATAGAGCATCCAATGAGTCTCCACTTCATTTTTTTTTGGTAAGTACAGGGAGTGCAGAATTATTAGGCAAATGAGTATTTTGTCCACATCATCCTCTTCATGCATGTTGTCTTACTCCAAGCTGTATAGGCTCGAAAGCCTACTACCAATTAAGCATATTAGGTGATGTAAATCTCTGTAATGAGAAGGGGTGTGGTCTAATGACATCAACACCCTATATCAGGTGTGCATAATTATTAGGCAACTTCCTTTCCTTTGGCAAAATGGGTCAAAAGAAGGACTTGACAGGCTCAGAAAGGTCAAAAATAGTGAGATATCTTGCAGAGGGATGCAGCAGTCTTAAAATTGCAAAGCTTCTGAAGCGTGATCATCGAACAATCAAGCGTTTCATTCAAAATAGTCAACAGGGTCGCAAGAAGCGTGTGGACAAACCAAGGCGCAAAATAACTGCCCATGAACCAAGAAACGTCGAGCATGCAGCTGCCAAGATCCCACTTGCCACCAGTTTGGCCATATTTCAGAGCTGCAACATCACTGGGGTGCCCAAAAGCACAAGGTGTGCAATATTCAGAGACATGGCAAAGGTAAGAAAGGTTGAAAGACGACCACCGCTGAACAAGACACACGAGCTGAAACGTCAAGACTGGGCCAAGAAATATCTCAAGGCTGATTTTTCTAAGGTTTTATGGACTGATGAAATGAGAGTGAGTCTTGATGGGCAAGATGGATGGGGCCATGGCTGGATTGGTAAAGGGCAGAGAGCTCTAGTCCGACTCAGACGCCAGCAAGGTGGAGGTGGAGTACTGGTTTGGGCTGGTATCATCAAAGATGAGCTTGTGGGGCCTTTTCGGGTTGAGGATGGAGTCAAGCTCAACTTCCAGTCCTACTGCCAGTTTCTGGAAGACACCCTCTTCAAGCAGTGGTACAGGAAGAAGTCTGCATCCTTCAAGAAAAACATGATGTTCATGCAGGACAATGCTCAATCACACGCGTCCAAGTACTCCACAGCGTGGCTGGCAAGAAAGGGTATAAAAGAGGAAAAACTAATGACATGGCCTCCTTGTTCACCTGATCTGAACCCCATTGAGAACCTGTGGTCCATCATCAAATGTGAGATTTACAAGGAGGGAAAACGGTACACCTCTCTGAACAGTGTCTGGGAGGCTGTGGTTGCTGCTGCACGCAATGTTGATGGTGAACAGATCAAAACACTGACAGAATCCATGGATGGCAGGCTTCTGAGTGTCCTTGCAAAGAAAAGCGGCTATAACGGCCACTGATTTGTTTTTGTATTGTTTTTGAATGTCAGAAATGTATATTTGGGAATGTGGAGATGTTATATTGGTTTCACTGGTAAAAATAAATAATTGAAATGGGTATACATTTGTTTTTTGTTAAGTTGCCTAATAATTATGCACAGTAATAGTCACCTGCACATACAGATATCCCCCTAAAATAGCTAAAACTAAAAACTACTTCCAAAAACATTCAGCTTTGATATTAGTGAGTTGTTTGGGTTCATTGAGAACATGGTTGTTGTTCAATAATAAAATTATTCCTCAAAAATACAACTTGCCTAATAATTCTGCACTCCCTGTAAAATTATATTTATGTATTTTAGGTCACTGCCGAGCTGAGCTTAGATTTTAACATGTACTGTTTAACCATGAAACTTAAATGTAATGGGGTAAAACCCAGTGCATTTAACATAATGCTGCACTTTAGAAAATGGGTTGAAATATAACATGTTGGTGGAGCTGGGTTCCGACTATCGGCTTGTGGAGCTCTCGGGAGACCGATGTTTTCCACCCGGTTCTCCCCTCCCCGCAGCTCGGTGCATCTCTGTCTGATCGCGGCTTCTGTCTGCTGCGCGGGCTGTCGGCTTGTGGAGCTCTGGGATGGAAACCTTTCCACCCGGTTCTCCCCAGCAGCAGCTCTGCGCATCTCAGATCGCAGCGGCGCTTGTCTGCTGTGCAGCTGCCGGCTTGTGGAGTTCTCGGGAGACCTCTGTGTTCCACCCGGTTTTACCCAGCGGTCAGCCCGTCGTATCTCTGACTCAGAAGCTCTGGTGTTGTGCACAGTTAACCCCGGTTGTAGCTAGCTAGGTTGCTACCTCCGTTAGCTTAGCTCCCACCCCATTGAGAACCTGAGATGATTACAATCACTGTCACATGACTAAACCAAGCCTCCACAATGCGGGTGAGAAATTGTTAGTAATAGCTAGTTCGACTGGGTGTCGTCAGTTTATCCCAGCCTTACAGCCCCACCTTCAGCTCCACCTCTCTTCCCTTTTGTGGAATTGACTGGGCTTGACGGAACCTGTGACACGGTCAAAATGGCGGTGGTGGCCACCTCCCATTTTTCTTCAAAAACATGTTATTGGAGTCTATGGAAACCCATTTTCCAATATATATATATATATATATATATATATATATATATATATATATATATATATATATATATATATGTGTGTATATATATATATATATATATATATTTTTTTTTTATATATATATATATTTATATGTCAATGGACTAAACACACCACCCTTCCCTCTGAAACTGATAAACAAATAGAAACAAGATGGAAAAACTATCAGTTGTTAATATTGGCCCAGTTTTATTTATGGGACCAATATGCAAAAAAATGTCTAACATCTGCTGATACTGATGTTGATGCAGATATATTGTGCGTCCCTATCAAAAATCCAACCAAATTATTAAAGATCAAGGTTAGAAACAGGAATATTTGTCAATAAATGCCCTTCCTCCAACATGCCTCCATCTAAAAGGCTAGGTTATCCAGAGTTATCTCTGTAGTTATGCTGCTATAGGCTTAGACTGCTGGAGGACACACTGACCACTTATCCCCCCCCCACCCCCCGTGTCCTTCTGGCTGTGAAGCAAACAGAATTATACATACTGACCACTTTCCACACTCGGCTGCTTTCTTCTACAATCTGCTCTTTAACTGTATTATTTCCTGCAATTTCAGCTGTTAACTTTATTTTTTCTCTAAGTGTTTTTCTCCCCAGAAGAAGCTACAATGATGTTCTGCTGAGCTGTGGTGGCCTCATGGACGGGGCCATCGTCTAGCACACTGCTGCTGACCACTTAAACATTCTCCTTCTCCTGATAATAACACTTTACTTTCCTTGACGTTGAATGTGCTACTACTAGTTTACCCGTTTAATTAGATCCACTGGTATAAATACAATAGTTTTCCCTCACCAAATAAAATACTAAGAAATCACAATGTAACCATAGAAACACTGTGTATGTGTGTGTGTGTGTGTGTGTGTGTGTGTGTGTGCGTGCGTGCGTGTGTCTGCTCTGTCTTCTCAATCCCCAGTGAGTCGTGGCGGATGGCTGCTTATACTGCGCCAGGATCCTCCGGAGGTTTCTTCCTGTCAAAAGGGAGTTTTCCTCTCTACTGTCGCTGCATGCTTGCTTAGTATGAGGATTGCTGTAAAGTCACTGACTAGTGTCGATGCAATTTGATGGGTTCCTTATACAGGAAACTATTTTTCTGATTGGCTTAATGAACTGGGGTCTCATTTATCAAACACTGTGTAGAATCCTTACTAAAACCGTACTCAATAAACTGTCTGCTTGACCCTTACCAATCTGGGTTCAAAAAGGGCCACTCCACTGAAACTGCTCTGTTAGCAGTGACTGAATCCTTAAAGGAAACTAGAGCGACTGGCAAATCCTCAGTGCTTATCCTGCCCGACTTATCGGCAGCATTTGACACTGTCAACCATGGCTTCCTTTTGTCCACACTCTCTACCATGGGCATCACAGAGAAAGCACATGCCTGGTTTGAATCGTACCTCACAGGACGATCATTCAGTGTATCTTGGCTTGGACAATCCTCTACCGTGCACCATCTTGCCACAGGAGTCCCCCAGGGCTCAGTACTAGGACCTCTTCTCTTTGCCATATACACCACCTCACTGGGTGAGATCATTCGATCACATGGCTTCTCCTACCACTGCTGTGCAGACGACACCCAGCTCTATCTGTCATTTCCACCGGACGACCACATTGTCTCTGCACGAATATCAAAGTGTCTCTCTGATATATCAAAATGGATGAAATCCCACCATCTCCAACTCAACCTCTCTAAAACTGATCTACTTGTCATCCCAGCAAAACCATCCATACAGCACAATATCTCAATCCAAACTGACTTCCTATCTCTGGCTCCTTCAAAGGCAGTTCGAAATCTGGGTGTTGTGATTGATGAACACCTGACCTTTAAAGATCATGTTGCCTCTGCTGCTCGTTCATGCCGCTTTGTGCTGTATAACATACAAAAGATCAGACCATACCTAACACAACATGCCACCCAGCTCCTGGTGCAATCTACTGTCATCTTCCGCCTCGATTACTGCAATGCCCTTCTAACTGGTCTTCCAGCCTGTACTGTGAGACCTCTTCAAATGGTCCAGAACGCAGCGGCGCGGCTGGCCTTCAATCAGCCAAAAAGAGCACACGTCACCCCTCTGTTCATTGAGCTCCACTGGCTACCGCTAGCAGCACGCATCAAATTCAAATTGCTAACACTAGCATACAAAGTCCGAGATGGTATGGCTCCCATCTACCTGAATCCTCTTGCAGAGGCTTACGTCTCGGCCCGGCCGCTCTGGTCATCACAGGATTGTCGGCAAGCAGTGCCTACACCACGCTCAGGACAATCCAGACTCTTCTCATGTATCGTTCCACAAATGTGGGATGACCTTCCAAGCACTACCAGAACAGCAGCTTCCTTTTCAGTTTTCAAGAAACTCCTGAAGACCCTGCTCTTCAGAGAACATCTTCTTAACTGGCACCCTCCCTGCACCCGTCCCCCCTCTCTACTGTCCACTCCTTGTTCCCTACTCTCCATGACTGATGTCAAAGTTGTTGTTGTTGTTATTGTTGTTGTTAGCCTCAAGGGCAACATGCCGATTATCACTTGTAAGTCGCTTTGGACAAAAGCGTCTGCTAAATACATAAACATAAACATACTTAAGGTCAGCAAAAAAAAGTACTTATGCCAAGTAGGTTTGTGATCTATCAAACATGGAGTACGCACAGCTGCACGCAATCTCCGCTTCATAAATCAGAGACTAACGAGAATGTTTCTCAGCCGCATTTTGGTCACATCCCGCCCTCACCACGCCCACTTATTGCCATAAATAGTCTATGCAAAGCGCATTGTGGACCTCATGCATATACATAAGCCGGCTTGTTGTAGCATTTCGATTGCGAACGCAGGTCATGTTTTGTTTTAGCCTGTGCAGCACTTAAGGCAGCTCCCATGCTGCGTTTTAAACATGCTATATAAATAAACTATGGTATGGTATTCTGGCAACAAAGGTCAGTAGGGTCTGAGTGACATCTCATTAAACATATAAAAGGTGATTTTAGCTCATATTGGCTCAAGAAAATGATTTTAAAATATAAAAAAGTTGCATAATGTCCCTTTAAGTGAGCCTCTTCTTTTCGCCTTGAGTCTCTAGAGAATCCCGACATGCATCTAATTGAAAGAGAATAGAAAAACGAGAACTTACTTGTAGATTTCCTGGATTTCTCCAACACAAATAGCCAGCGGTTTCACTCCGTTTCTTTCTTTTAGATTGTAGATTTTCTGGACTGCTTCAGAATTCTGGGCCAGGCATGCCAGGCCGTAGATGGTGTCAGTTGGCACAGCAACAACATGACCATCCTTCAGAGCCTTCACTGTGCAAGACAAGATCTCAGCGCCATCTGCAGTTTAGGGAAGAAAAAAAAATCAAGGGGTCATAAAACGCAGAATATGTAAAATCAGAAGGTGAAGTGCAAATAAGAGATGACCAACACCACCAGGCTTTAAAATAAAGCGCTTATAATTCAGAGTTTCATTAATATAAATAGCTTTTCCTGCATGTGTGTTTGAAGGATTTTGAGAAGGAAAAAAAAAATAGAAGAAAAGCAAAGACGTCAAATGGGATCTTAAATGTTCGGCATCCTTCAGCACTTATACTTAATAAAGTCAGGCACATCCTCGGGCAGCCCGCTGCTGCTGCAGAATTTTATTTAAATGTAGTTTGCTAATAACATCTGCATGATAAACTCTAAAATAACTTTATTTAGGTGCCTGACATAACACTGTGCAGTGCACAAAGTTAAGACTTAACAGTTAAATTCTCAGTCTTCGTCTTCGTCTTCCTCCGCTTATCCGGGTCCGGGTCGCGGGGGCAGCATCCCAATTAGGGAGCTCCAGGCCGTCCTCTCCCCGGCCTTGTCCACCAGCTCCTCCGGCAGGACCCCAAGGCGTTCCCGGACCAGATTGGAGATGTAACCTCTCCAACGTGTCCTGGGTCGACCCGCGGGCCTTCTGCCGGCAGGACATGCCCGAAACACCTCCCCGGGGAGGCGTCCAGGAGGCATCCTGACCAGATGCCCAAACCACCTCAACTGGCTCCTTTCGATCCGGAGGAGCAGCGGTTCTACTCCGAGTCCCTCCCGAATGTCCGAGCTCCTCACCCTATCTCTAAGGCTGAGCCCAGCCACCCTACGGAGGAAACTCATTTCGGCCGCTTGTATTCGCGATCTCGTTCTTTCGGTCATTACCCAAAGCTCATGACCATAGGTGAGGATTGGGACGTAGATCGACCGGTAAATCGAGAGCCTGGCTTTCTGGCTCAGCTCCCTCTTCCCCACGACAGATCGGCTCAGCGTACGCATCACTGCAGACGCCGAACCAATCCGCCTGTCGATCTCCCGATCCCTCCTACCCTCACTCGTGAACAAGACCCCGAGATACTTAAACTCCTCCACTTGAGGTAGGACCTCTCCCCCGACCCGGAGGTGGCAAGCCACCCTTTTCCGGTCGAGACATTTTAGCATGAAAATAAGATTTAAAAAATGTCTAGAAATCCAGTGCTGTGCCCAAACGCATTCATTGAATGATCGTTGGTTTATCATGCAGCTGCCCAGGGATGTGCCTGACTTTATTAGTATAAGTGCTAAAGGATGCGGAACATTTAAGATCCCGTTTGAAGTCTTTGCTTTTCTTCTTCTTTTTTCCTTCTCAAAATCCTTCAATCCTTCACTTAGTTCAGAAAATGTTAATAATGAACTAAAAATTAACTAGTTTGTTTAAAATGTATGAACTGTTCTTTAAACTGGTTCGTTTTAAAACGAACTTCCCCAACACTGTAGAAATCAACCATGAAAATCGGCAGTTCATTTTGGCCATTGACTGACCGTGTCTCCAAGATATCGGAATTGTATCGGCAATAGAAAAAAAAATATCGGTCTTAATATACCGCATTTTCAGTCTTGAGCTCTTTAGTAAACACGTCATTAGACTTTTTTGGGGGGGGTGAAACTAAACTTGTTAAATTTGTGTCTATAGATATCAACATACGGTAGGTTTAAAACTGGCTCATCCTTTGGTGTCTTTAACTTTTCTCAGTTTAAATTTAAACATTTAGTTTTACGAAAAAGGGATATTTCTGGTTGTGAAATGACACGAGGAAACATAACTGTACCTGTTTGGAGCTCCTGGTGAGTCGTCGACCCGTTGGAGGTCGACGGCAACAAATGAAATAATTTGGTTTTGAGTTCTTTACACATTTTGGCTCCGAGTCGACAGACCACGGCAGAACCGTTAGCTCGTCTGAAACTCGTTGATTTAACAACGAAAAAGCGAGCAGGATTCATAAAACACAATTTACAGACAGAGAAACTGTTCCCCACAGAGCAGAAGCATGTTTTTGTTGGACGTAATGACAGAGTTCTTCCGGGTTTACGCTCACAAAAGTGACGCAACATTTCTTAAAGGGGCAGCAGCTCAAAAAGAGGGCAGACAACCTGCTCGTGAATAACTGGTACTTATTAGATTCGGGACAAAAAAAAAAAACATAATGTTTGGTCTTAATTTTAAATCAGGGGTGTCCAAACATTATGAGTTTCAAACATGCTAAAGTTAATTGTTATTCATTCATGGTATTTTTTTATTTGTTAGGCTAAACCATCAACATTAATATTAACCAATAATAAATGACCTGCACTTGTATAGCACTTTGCTGAGTCAGAGTTCTCCAAAGTGTCTTACACAACACTACTTGGGGCAGCAGTAGCTCAGGAGGTAGAGTGGGTTGTCCAGTAAGTGGAAGGTTGCTGGTTTGATCCTGCCTTGGACAGGATACTCAACCCTGGCTGCTGGTGGCGGTCGGAGGGACTGGTGGTGCCTGTGCCTGGAGGCCTCGCCTATGTTGGTGAGCCCCAGGGCAGCTATGGCTACATTGTAGCTCATGTGTTAGTGAATGGATGATTGATACACCGCAGTGTAAAGTGTTTTGGAGTCCTCTGAATAGCACTATACAAGTGTGGGTATATTTCACTCGTTCACACACACATTCACACACTGGTGGTGGTGATGAGCTACATCGTAACCACAGCCACCCTGGGGCACAGACAGACGCTAGGCTTCCGAACAGTGCCACCAGTCCCTCTGACCAGCACCATCAGGTAAGAAGGGAAAAGTGTCTTGCTCAATGACCCATCGGTTACGGGGCGGGCACTTAACTCTTCAGCCACCTTCGCCCAATCGACCTAAAATATTGGTAAAAATCTAACCATAAAAATGTTACAAAACCTACACCAGCTGTCAACTGAAGGAACAAAATTTCACCATTCTGTAAATGCAAGTGGGGGCCACACAAATTCACTCCATGGAACACACATTGGCCCCCTGCCCCCACATTGGACTTGTTTGAAAGAATATTCATGGAAAGATGATGTGGCTTGCAGTCTTTTGTTTAGCTTTAAGCATTTTCAGGTCCAAGCAACTAAAGAATAAGAAGATAGTCAATTAAAATGCAAAAAAAAAAAAAACAAAATAATAATAATAATAAATAAATAAATAACTGCTAAGTTTCATTAAAATAAATCAAAAAATTTTCAAAAGCGAGATATTTGCTTGACTTTTTAACATAAAAAGTACAATTGTCTACACTTAGCTATTAGCTAATTAATTCATGCTTTGGTTTCTTCTGTTGCAGCAGCCTAAATAGGAGCATGTCATTCCCCTGTGATCACTTCAAAATGAAAACTGGACACACATATCTTCATGTTTTAGATATTTCCTTCCTCAAACACATCTTACCTGTTAATCACCCCGATTCAAATCAGGTGTGCTGGAGGAGAAGAACATCTCAAACAAGCATAAAGGTCCTTGAGGAGCAAGACACAAGTGACCTACAGCTATGGCTTCTGAGACAGGTAAGAACCTAAATTATACTTTTATACAATCATTTTAGTTTATTGTGTCTTTGAAACAGCTACAGGTGAAACAGAGACACCGCAGACCCAAGAAGCCACATTTTCCTTGGAACAGGTGAGCTGACATAACAATGAGTCTAACAGAAGCTGTTTTGTTGGTAGTAACGTGACCCAACTCCATCAGAAGGTAGACCAAATCGAAGACCGACTTGTCACCCTTTCTCAGAACATAACTCTGTGCAAATCAGTCCTCAGTGACTTAGAAGCTCTGAGTGATGTTTTAGTGGTGAGTGCTCTTATCCACTAAATCCTTTTTATTGGAATATTTTCATTTCTCACTTTTTTTCCTGTTTTGCTCTGCAGAGAAAATCCATTCAAGATGTGTCCATAATGCCACAGGACCAAACTGAGGAGCCACCATCACAAACCCTACTGTGATTTATCCGAATAAACTGTATTATGGCAAATAATTCAATGTAAGAAGTCCAAATACTCAGGAAAGTTTAGTGACAATGTTTTATTGGTATTATATTGCTCTCAATTCATAAAGTTATTCATCACATTGTACAAAACAAGCATAAACATTTCACATTACACATTCTTTTAAAAAGATCCTCAACATTTTCTCACTTTTTAGATGTTTGACATTTCTTTGGAAGTATTTCTTTGCTTCCAAAGAAATGTTGCCATCTGTGATTTTACCATCGTTGCCATTTTCGGGTTCAACTTGGACCACGAGTTAAAGACCAATGATTAAATACTGGCAGCAGAGAGTTTCACTTCCATTGAAGACAGAAGTTGACAAATGATCCACAATTAAGCGATAGGCTGCAACGTTAATGTCAGTTGCGATTAAACACGCTTGCCTGCAAAGTCTAGAACGAGGAAAATCTGTGTACATTTGACCCAGAAAAAAAATCTTCGAACCATTAGCAAACTACTTCCTCACAACTTCAGTTTGTTACCTCAAACAAGACTACGTATGAAAAAGCTTCGGATTCTGGACTGGAAACTCATCGGAGCTCAGTGTGTGAGTCTGGATCAAAGGGAAAGGCGGGAATAACTGGTCTTGGGGTTGAACTTTAAATTGCATAGATGTATACAACATTACATATGAGTGTGTTGAGGATGCAGCTTACAGTAAATTCTGGAGTGTTTAAATAGTCCAATTTATTACTGATCAACATTTCTGCTTCGGCAGTGAAGGTTTTGAAACGTGGAGCCTTAAACTGCGCTAAAGTCTTAAGCCATCTATTTCTTCTGCTTTTAAGAACTAGTACCTTTTTAAAGGTGGTCTAAGTTCTTCAGGCTTTCTGGTGGTGGTTCATAGGAATTCTTCAGCTGCGGGTTACGTATTTTCTTGTACCTGGCCATTTTAAGAGAAATAATTGATCTATGGTGCATTCAAGAGCAGAAAAGGCACAAACACAAGGAATGATGCAGTGTTGTCTACGTGAGCGATTAGATCTACAGGCACTTGGTTACAAGTAAAATGTTGCAAAGAAAAAAGCTTAATAGCTGCCTCCATGAAATAAAATCAGTCAACGATTACTATTAAGTGCAGATTTTAATGAAAAATAAGTCAAAATGTAGGCATTGGGTGAATGTTTAACTTGGTGAAAACGTGAACAAATTTAATAAGCTTTATAAGGTCTTTAGCACTTGTAAGATGCCCACAGGTTTGCTTTTTAACTCCATGAAGATGTGTCAAGTGGTCAGGTCTGAACTGGAACTGATCTGGAAAACTCAAATCTTCAGAAAGCCTGAAGAACTCAATCTCAAAGCCACAAGAAAAACCATTTAAAGAGCAAGTCACTCCAAATCTACATTTTTTTGCTGATCAACTGTTGAGTGTCTGATCGTGCTGTTGGCAAATGTATTCAATAATTCAGCATTTTAGTTCTTCTTGGTTAAAATTTAAATATTCTGCCTAAAACTGTCAGTGTTGTGCCGTTGTCAAGTAAAAACTCTGCACAGCATTTGAATTTAGGTCTGCCATCGCTATTGGCCAAGAGGTACACTATGATGTTAGAGGGTACATTATGTCACAATGTCGTGTGTGTGTGTATTTGTTAGTGGCTCCGCCCTCTTGGTCTGCTAGGCAACAGCATTTGTTGCATTTTTCAAACAGGAAGTGGGAGTTGAGTAAGAATCTGGTAGGGGGTGACTTGCTCTTTAAAAAGGAGGCGTGGCTCCAGACTGCGTCGTACGCTCATCTTGATTCAAACGCCTCAACTGGACAACAAACCAAACCTGGCGAATCAGAAGGAAATTTAAGCCTTTCTGCCTCCGATTTATTTGTTGCTGGAGATGAGTGAAAATGCGAACGGACACGCTGATGTCTGAGGGAGAGACGGTCAAGGTGAAAGTCGTAAGGCCAAGAAGCTTCAGGAAATAATTTACTCTGTCATTGCATCGTGTCCCATGTGAAACAATACTGCTAAATTACACTGACCAGGAAGCGACGTGTTAAATAAACCTTCCTACAACTGGGACTGTACAGGAGCCCAGCTGCTTAGAAAACTGTAATAAAGCAATAGCGCTGACTCTTCTACACAAACATGACAGAAGGGAGAATACCAGGGGGAGATTTATCAACTCTAAACTCTGAGTTAGTAATTCAAAATTCTATACAAAAATACAAATCCTCAAATCTACAAGTTTACACTAAAATGTATTTACACCGTCTCCTGGACACCAGCTTTAAATGCTACTTTACAGCAGTCGTGTACAAAAGGCTTGCAGTGGCGCCCCACCTCAAACGGTCTGACGACTCTTTACAGGGTAAGTGTGCAAAAACTAGGGGAGAGTGCAGCAAAACGTAGGGCTACTGCAAATGAGGGCCTTCTGAGAGGGGGAATAAATGACTGGGATCAGTTTAGTGACTTGATGAATTCCTGAGTGGGTCATGACCCTAAAGGTTATGGGATGTTGGCGGTAGCCGTTTACTGCTCTTGTGGATCTTGCAAACAAATGATTTAAAAATAAAAACGCAGTAACCCCCCCAAAAAACAAAAAACTTTAAAATACAAGTGACTGGAATAAATTATTATATTACTTTTCTGCTATCCTAAAAGAATAACAATAAAATCAAACATTTAAATAAATGAACACTTAAGTTAGTTTAAATTAAAGGCAACACACACACACACACACACACACACACACACACACACACACACACACACACACACACACACACACACACACACACACACACACACACACACACACACACACACATGCACACGCACACACACAGGTTCTTTTCTCAATTCTCCGGTAGAAAACGTCACATTTTTGACTAAATCAGTCTTCCAGAAAAACCCCAAAATAAAGGTAAAGAAATAATTTCCTACTACAGAAGAGCCGAACGAGGGCTTGCGTGGCCAACCGTGTTACACTTCCTCTGGGAGCTAAAAGGGAATTTAGAGCAGATTTCTCCAACATACGCTGTGGTATTAGCGGCATGCACTATGAAACCAGTTAAAAGGCTCAGTTGGAGTAGAAAACAGGTTGTTAGCATCATGTAGGAGGCCGTTTTAACCAGGCTAGATCACCATGGTAACAAACACTCAACTTCTAACTCCGTCTAAACCACTTGATATACAAATAAACTGTTTTGTTCGCTGATTCTTTTGATGGATTGAAACCTGTCATTAAGATCAATGTTTGGATTAAAACAAAGTTTGTGCTGAGCCAACTTAAACCAATAATGTTTAACCAGCTTCATAGTACCCCCCCCCTTATCTACAGTACAACGATATACAGACATGTTTTTGTTTCTCCTGCTCTGGTGCCTAACCCCAAAGACAGGAAATCATACAATATCAGTGCTTGGACAACACACTCGCTTCACTCAGTTATTGAGAATGTATATGAATAGATTTAATATATACAGACTTGTTTTCCACTGCAGTCGTTTGCATTAAAGCTGCCAAATCTCATCACGATAACAAATCCTGTTTCTACAAACCGTTACTCTGATGAGACTCGACTCAAGAGTTACTGATCTTTCCGATGTGTGTGCCTTTATATATATATATATATATATATATACACATACATATATATGTGAATTTGACAGGATGCACTGCAGGAAGAGAGGGACCTGTGCACGTCGCGAGAAAAGGCATCGCTTTGGTGAGTGATGCATGGTGTGAGTGAAACATGAACAGAAGGTGGTTGCTATTACTTTAAGGATCGCCGTCGGACGCCATGTTGAAGTCGTCTGCAACCAGCAGCAGCGCCTCGATGTTGGCGGCTGTTTCGGGGCTCTGTATGGAGAGGAAGTCCGAGACGTCCATGCTGGCTAACCCGTCGGGCGTGGGCAGGTTGGAGGCGGAGCTGCTCACTATCGCAGAGAACGGCTGAGCTGCGGTGGAGGAGGAAGAAGGAGGGGGGGTTTCTGGCCTCACCTCACCCACCTTTGAGGAAGACTTAGGGAGGCAGCATGAGGAAGATGAAGGAGCAGCCGGATGTTGTGGGGGCTCGGACGAGGGTGCAGGAGGGGGCTCCGAAGGTAGCTGCTGTGTTGGGGCTGAAATAACGGAGGTACTCGTTGCTTTCTTGTCTTTAGCGGAGTCTCTGCAGGCACACTGGCACTGGCAGGATTCCTCCTGTTTGATGATGATGACGGGAAGGCTGAGGCCGATCTGCTGGACGGAGTTTCCTGAAACACAAACAACCCGATCTCAGCTCCGATACGTCGTTCATAGGACTAGAAGATGTTGGCAGTCCTAAATGTTGCAGTGCCGTGTATCAATTCACCAATTTACTATGGATTTGATCCCGTTAAAGCGATAAAAACTCCACTAAAATGGCTTATTAATGATTTATGTAAATCAGTTTTTAAATAAATACAAAGTATGAAGAACACAGTGTGCCATTTTGTTCTGTTTCTTTGCTAAAAATTAGCTTATTTTGTCTCTTAGGCAAAATAAAGTTTGTGTGGTTTGTTTTGTTTGCCTTTTGTTCGTTATTTTTCATTCTGTTCTTTTTCTGGTTTACTTTTGAGAAAACACAGACAGAGCGCTTGCACACCAACAAAAACTAATTATTAGAAACAAAATTCAAACTTTTACGTTCAGGTATTCATGACTCACTGTGCTCAAGTAACATTATCTCAAACTGCTTTTTACTATTAGATGTTTTTGTGTCAAAGCGTTCATGTCTGAACGCTGCTTAGCTGAGATGATTAGCTGAACCCCTTCGTTTACACCGCTTCTTCCTGGGTATCTACAGCTGACAAACATACAGATTGGATACATTTTATACCTTCTGTCCTGCTTAAAGTAACAGAATTGTGGAGCAGGTAGGTGCCCTATAGAGGGTGATCCAAAATCAAGTGAGAACCTTCATCAGCACCTGTAGGGGGCACTCTTAAACTGCTTTATGGCTGTTAGTTGTAATGCTAGCAGTTAGCATTTTCAGTTTTCCGATAGTAAAAAAACACAAGAAGAAGAAAAGGAAGTTTGCTTTTTTGTTGGCATCATGGCGGAGCCCGTAAGTAAAAGTAAGAGAGTGATGTCTTTGGAGGTGAAGCAAAGAGCTAAAACAAGGGTGAACATCATCGCGGCCTACACTAGTTTGAGGGAGCTAAAGGAGGCTACAAAATCATGGACTGATAGTGACCTGGCTTTGTTGCTACTGGACTTGTAAGTAATATATTTTTGTCCAACAGTGTGGATCTTTTTACTTTGTGGATAATTTTAGTATTAGTTGGCTCCTGTTATTGTTAGCGCTAGCTACAGCGGGTTTGTTTACGACAGTTGTAATTCTACTTCCAACCAGTAGTGCAGAGGAGCAGGAAACTGCTGTGTTACTTTGAAGAAACAATGGTGTTACGCTGGTTCTATTTGTTTCTAATGTGTGTAGTTTTTATTGTGAACTGAAAAAATGTTTTCTTTCTAGCTAGGGACATATTAAATCAGTTAAGTTACTTAAGTGAATCGGTTTAAAAGTAAATTACTACTAAGTGACAATATTCTATAATTTATTAGCTGTTTCTGGAAAGATTTTCACAGTTTGAAAAGAAATGCAAAAACTAAATAAAACTGGTTCCTAAACTCTGGCTTACCAGCATTCCCTCCAACTGGTATGGCTGTAGTAAAAAAAACCTTTTCTACTTTTGGAGCTCCTTGGTGCATCTGCCAACAAACAAGCAATAATCAGATGAATGACAACAACATTTCCACGACAATTCTAGAATTATATTTGCTAAACACACACATATTTTCATTTTTGCCTGATTTTACTAACGGACTAAAATTGTAACAAACGTAAAAATTCTTGTCAGAAACGGCGAATGTAGGCACGACTCACTGCTTGCTCGGAGTTCTGCTGGCCGTTTGCACTGCTCAGGATCCACTGGAGGTTCTGGTCGGACATTACCAAGCTAGGCTGCAGCACGTTTGGGGTCGATGCGATGGTGACGGTGGCAGGGGGTGTAGCCAGACCAGGGCCGGTGTTAGTGACAGGATTGTTGGCCAAAGGCACAGGCTGTGCCACTGCTGCTACACCATCAGTTGAGATGACTGCAGCAGGAGCAGCAGGGTTCGGTGCTGCGGGCGTCGGTGCAGGCGCCACTGATGGATGAACAGGGATGGGTGGTGGTAGAGGAGTGTTCTGTGTTGCACTTTCTGACTGCAGGAATGGGGGTGGTAGTGCCACATAGTGCTGCTGGCTGACATGGTTTGGTGCTTGGACAGGAGCCTGAGGCACATCTGAGATCTGCTGAGACCCACTTAGCGGTATGAAAGGGGGAGTCTGCGTGGAGCTGGCGGTAACGGTAACAGGAGCAGAAGTGGGAGCCTGTGAGGAAGAGTTCTCGCCGTGCTCGGCTGAAGGCTCCATGACAGCAGCGTTGTGGGAGGATGAGGAGGTAGGATTGACAGAGAAAGAGATGACAGGCGAGGCATCGGTCACTCCGGGCTGACTGGAGGTTTCCAAGTTGAAGGTTTCTGAAAGGCTCTCTGAGGGAAAAATAAACACATAAAAGCTCCATCGGGACAAAAACGTCCAGTAACAGCAAAAACGAGGTTTTCTCACGGTTAGGATGGGCATCGTCCTGGCTGATGCTATTTTCAGGACTCTGGAACATGAGTTCGAAGATTTTCACAGGGGTCACGTTGTTGAGGTCCAAGTTTTGAGTCTGTAATTAAGTCAAATTTAAGAACAAGGATTAGTTAAATGTGTCCCTGTTAAAGAACTAAAATGTACCATCATGCTTTTACCACTTTAATGCATAAGACATTAAATATTAATGAGTCAAAAACGATGCTAACGTTATGGATGTTCTCTCGTAGCTCTGAGTCGGTCGAGATGAGACTCAGGTCACTGAGGCACAGCGAGTGATTAGCATCCTGTAAATAAACAAATCACAGTCAAAACAACAACGCCAGATCAGTAGTTGAGCCAACTAAAGAGGGAAAAGATGTGTAATATAAGTTAATGCTACATTTTACTCAGTAAACTTTACAAGAATACTGCAGTAATAACAGATCAGAACCGTAGGATGTCTACTGAGAACAGAAAATCATAATTTTTATAAACATTGTGGTATCAAAGAGTCTTAGACACCATGTGCTTCAAATCAGAAATGTTATATTTCAGTGGTGCCTAGTCCTTGTCATGGAAGTGTGCTACCCAGCATGTTTGAGTTGTTTCCCTGCTACAAAACACCTGATTCAATGGTTGAATCATCTTTTCTGCAGCTCATAAAGCCCGTTAATCACCTGCTGATTAAAACCAGGTGTGTTGGAGCAGAAAAACCTCTAAAACATGCTGCACAGAGGTCCTCCAGGACCAGGATTGGGCAGAATTTAATTACTAGAACCCGTTTTCAAAGTTTAGCACTCTTATTTACAACTACAACAGATCACACGACAGGAAGAAGACAGAGTTAGAAGATGATACGATATGGAGCTTTATAGCATTGTATTAAAAAAATAATATAAAATAACTTGAACCATTTAATGATTGGAATCATAAATGGGGATTTTCCCCAAGAACAGGGGTCGGCAACCTGTTCCCATCAAACAGCCATTATTACCCGTTTCCCACAGTAAAGAAAACACTGGGAGCCACAGCAGCTGCGGCGTTGTGGGCGGGGCCTACCCTCAGACAGCAGAGAGCTGCTTTAACCAATCACAACAGGTGACAGCAGCCAGTACCGGTCGCTCGTGTACGTCAAAGTTATCTTTCATAAGACGATAATCAATAAAACGATTTATATAAAGATGATCCAGAAGTTGTAGCCCGTCTCTGCCTACAATATTTTGATATTTTTCACCCTGTTGGTGGTTTTACTGAGCAGGTGCCACTTTTGTCATACGTTTCTTTTTAAAACATGTTTAGACTGTTCAGAATACAAATCCAGGCTCTGTCACGTTTGATTGTTGGAATTAAACTTTGTAGGTGGGGAAGGTCAGAAAAGGATCCGATCATTTTGTTTTTCCCTCATTTACAGCGACGGATATAAAGGCGCAGTGCGCCTGGCTCTGGTGTTAACCAAGTTAAATTATATCTCTTTGCAACTATTTTCACAAGAAAACAGAACAGTTAAAAGCAGGGCTTGCGTTGACCGGATAGTTCCCGTATGTGACTATTTATTTTGACGGAGAAAGAATAGAAAGAATTACCCCGACGCAAGCAGACGAACTGACATTTTATTCTACGCACATCGCAGATGTAGCTAAATCACTCAAGAAAAGATTCCCATCTGAACATCTGAGCTGGACACTGCTCAGCGCAGCTCACTGTGAGCGCGTATGTACGGTGCACAGCGAGCTGAAGATGTGGAGAGGGGCTTGGAGCGCGTCGCAGAACCAGAGCGCATGCGGGAAGCTTCATCCGACTGAAGAGAGACTTGTCACTTAGAAAATGTTCCCTGATTATGAAACTTTGGCTGAATAGCGCTTGTTCCTGTCTCCAATGTGGTGACGCATCCATGAGCCTGTCTGAGGAGAGTCCCAGAATCTCACATCCTCTTCAGCTCAGAAAGCGCCTATATGATTACGCACAAGCGTGACCCGTCAACCCGGTCTCACAGTTAGACCGGGTTGGAACTGTTCAGGTTTACGCAGACAATCTTTACATATAGAATCGGCTTACAGATGTAAAATTAATGCAGTAAAATATAAAGCATTTTATTTAAATATCCATTCATTATTTTACAAGCACAGAGAGCCGCATCAGATGGATGGAAGAGCCGCAGGTTGCCGACCCCCGCCCAAGAAGAATAAGATGCACCTATATTTAGTAAAAACTATAAATACAATATCTGACTCTTAATATCGCGGCCGTTTCCACATAGGCCCAGATACGTTCCATCTAGTCGTAAAGCAGGATGCGTGTGTGTCAAACATAAACACACATTGTGTCTAAAAACCTGCAAGTGGATTAACTCAATAACAGCTGGTGGATAATAGGAAGAACACACTCTTGCTGCTTCGAAAACAATTAAACCATCTGTGGGAAGCAAATGTCCCACATTCTTAGACGCTGCTGCGCCATGACTCACTTCGGAGTGTGGATGGGTGAGGGTGATGGTGAAGGGCTGATCCTTGTCGTGGCCTCGGATGTGACTCTTCAGACTGTACTGGCTGCTGAACGTCTTCTCACAGCCGTCGCTGGGACAGTTGAACGGCTTCTCCCCTGAGAAGGAGAAGAACGTCACAGGAAAACAGCTAAATACCTCAAGTTCTATCCTCCGCGTTCTCGCTAACACTGATCTGAGCTAAACGGGCCAAAACGACATACCCGTGTGTGTCCGCACGTGCGTTTTGAGATGATGACTAGCAGCAAAGGCCTTCCCACAGCCATCGTGGTCACAACTGAAAGAAAAAGAAGAGTCAGAATAACTTAGCACGAACTCCATCCACACAGTGGGTTTGATCATTATTCTGGAGAAGGGTGAAGGATTTCACGACCACGTGTGCACACACTGGAGAACAGGCCGTTTCCACTGCCTTTGAGCATCTATTAGTATTCCATTCCTTTCTACTTTAGTCAGGAGGGCGTTAAAGCAGGTGTTATAATGGAAATGCTCACCGAAATGGCTTCTCCCCAGTGTGAGTGCGAATGTGCTTCCTCAAGTCGCTGAGTGTGGTAAAGTACTTTGTGCATCCCTCTGATTCGCAGTTGAATGTCTTGCCTGTGTGAAGTCTCTGGTGTGCCTTTAGCCTGCAGAGGCAATCAAGTGTGTTTCATTACCCTCGCCCCAAAGACTTGAAGGAAACAAAGTAAACGCAGCAAACGTGTTTAGTATTTTGTTTTTTTAAATGTTCATCACTCAGATAGAAAAAAAAACAGCCTCTAAAAATATGATAAACAGAAATAACAGCTGATCAGAGACTAACAACACAGTTAAGAGGTAGTGTGAGAGCACAATCGTTGCAACGATCCTCCACCCCAGCATGGCATTAGACGGCTACCTGGAGTTACAGAGCAGTGATGCTACTGGTGCAACGCCATTATACATGCGACATGTCGTGTCATAGCAACTAGACCAATACAGCGCTGGTCTGGTACGATTCCCGCCGAAACCTAAATGTGTTTTGGGTAAGGGGCTTGGGAACTCCATCAGAGCTGTCATGGTCGTAGTATTTAACTTTATTTATCACTGAACTCATCTTTGAGTAGACGAAGAAAAAAAATACAAGATACAACTCCCTGAAGTAATAACGTTCAACTCTTCCTTGACAAATCCTTTAAAAAAAACAAAGTGTTTGTGCTATTTTAATATTCAAAATGAAAGGTTCCTCTTTTTAATTATGCTGAGTGACTAAAATAACAGACTAGAATACTAGAAAAACTAATTACTAACTTAAGTCAGTGACAGGATTAAGAACTTACAAGCCAACATCAGAATATTCCCTCAAAATATAAAAGCAATTCTAGACACTTAATATTTCCTTAATTTAGGTTTCAGAATCATTTCCTTTAAATCTACAGAGGAAGATACAATGACATGAAGATGTTTTAGAATAAGAATGACGCCCAGTGTTCTCCTTTCTGATCACAGACCTCAAGTCCAGAACAAACCCCTCTACTAGAGCCCTGCACTGGAGCCCTAGGCCCTCGGGTCGGCCCGGCCCCGACGGCCCGAGGGCCGGGCTTCGGGCCAACGACTGTGTAATTACCTCGGACACGGGCAGGGCGCCTTTATTTTTAATCGAATTCATAAAAAATAACTGAAACACGAACGCAGCAGCACCTGCCTGCTTCTCACGCTCTGGCACCCGTTAGCTCAGTTGAGGTCTGTGTGGTTTATAAACGCGCCTATATAAACAAATTCTCTAACTGCTGATTGGAACATGTGCCCCTATTCTAATACGCCATTTTATGTCCACTTTGATGTGTCAGAAACATTCGTTTATTCTCATGAAAACGACAGCATTCTGTTTTTCTGAGAATAAATTTGCTCTGCAGTTAAAAAAAATGCAGCATTCACTGCTGTTTTTTTTTCTAACTGGAGAGCGCATTTTCAGAGCGGCAGGTTAAATATACAAACGCTATATTAATTGGGGGCGTTTATTTATTAATCTGCCGCTCTGAAAATGCGCTCTGCAGTTAGAAAATTAGAATGCTGCTTGTTTTTCTAATTACACAAGAGAGCATTTTCAGAGCAGATTAAATTTACAAACGCATCCAATTAATATGGTGCTCGTAAATTTCATCTGCCGCTCAGAAAAATATGCTCCGTTAGAAAAAAAAGCTGCATTGATGCCGTTTTTCTTTCTTTTTTTTTTTTTACCGCAGAACGCTTCCCACAGATAATTAGAATGCTGAGCATTCTATCACGCTAAAACATAATGAAAGGTTAAAAAAAAAAAGTCGTCTCGGGTCGGGCCAGAGAACCCCGAAAACCTTTTCGGACCGGGTCGGGCTGGGGCTCCACCCCCTCGGGCCAGGCCGGACACAGGCTCAGATTTTAGGCCCGTGCAGGGCTACACCCTCTACCTTTTTATTTTAACGCATGAACAAAGCTGCAGTTAAGAGCCAGAGAGATTATGCAGCAACTGGTAGGTCTAAACTCTAACCACATCTACCCAAACAACTTCAGATGAGTTCTGAAGTTCTGGATCACGACGGTCCTGGAGAGGCTGTTATTGGTCTACTTAAGTAGATAAGTGGGCACCTTTCGGGATCTGACAGAGCCCGAGTTAATGGTGCCATCATCTACAATTTTCAGAAAGCCCATTCTGAGGAGCACCAAGCAGGTAAGACGTGAAACGCTCCAGAAAATAAAGTGAATGCCTCCACTACTGATAGGATTGTTGCCCATCAACCAGACAGACAGACCAGTTACTGAAACTAAAAGGCATTGCATTACTTTGGGACTATAATATAAATAACAGGTAAAGCACAAGTACAAGAAAATAACATTGTAAGGACAAAGAATGGTCGTGTTTAGGAGCATACAGAATCTTGGTCTTCCATAGAAAAACACCCACTGTGACACGGGGACAGGGATTCTCTAGGAGACGTTAGAATCATACCTGTGCTCAGAAGAGAGGAAGAAAAGGGAAACAAAAAGAAATGGAGTACAGTTAAAGGCATGGCAGAGGATGTTTCTGAATTTCAGGAAAGAACCGCCCTCTCCACGTTTTGAAAAAACGCACAAGAGAGAGAACGCCCAGTTATCCTCGTGCACGCTGTTTACAAGTAGCTGCCAGCCTTGCAGACAACTTCTTCTAGCGGTAATCTGAAATTAATCCCTCCAAATAGCGTGCTGAACTTTAGCTTACACGTCGAGCAGAAAACCGGTGATGGGTGCGTTTGTGGGGAGCCCAACCTTCGCTTTGCGCAGGAAGTGAAAACTACCCAGCAACAAGCACGTACCACGATGGCCTTGCGTGAATGGTTCACCAGAATGATTGACAGTTATGTGGACTAATGGTACAGATGATCCACCCAAAAGAAAAAGATCCTTTGCTAAGTTCAAAAGAGCAAAACTAGCTAAACTTGCTAATTGTTTTCATCATCTGTAACGTCTGAAACCAGCTTAAAGCCACTCATGAATTTTCATCCAAAGTCAATTATGCTTAACTTTTTTTTTAAATCCAGATGGTTACACTCCAGACAGTCTAATCCTCTGGCTGAACAACAGCCGCTGCTGGATGGTTTAAAACGTTTGGACCAGTTTATCTTAACTCATCAGTCTGACAAACTTCTCTAAAATCTGGACGACTGAGGTCTCAGCTCCCATCCACCCATATCCACTAATAGTTTAGCTGAGACAACCCACCTTCTGGTAGAAGATATTCTTTACTTGTAATTCCTCCTTCAATTAATTTCAATTTGTCCCCAATTCTGAATTTAATTATTTTTAGTTAACACTAAAAATCTTAAATTCATCCTCTGTTCTCACGTCCAAAAACCTCTAATTCAGATCTCAGCAATTCTACCCGTTTAAAATCACAAGACAACATGGCGGTCATAACCACAACTGGGTGTTTTTTTAACAGATTACACTTTAATCCTGAGATTATTTACAAAAAGTGACAGAGCAAACTGGACATCCTGCAGGGTTTCCCTTACATAGGCGTAGCCGTGGCGGCCCGCCGCGGCTGAAATCTTACCGCCACGCCTACAAGATCCCAAGTTTTATTTTTTTTTTTTTTTGCGCTGTTTCCCGAAGAAGCAGCGGGAACTACTATGTTGTCGCTTGTGATCACAGCCGGCGGGCAGCAAGGAGGAGCAGGCAGAGCAAGGTGCAGTTACAGCATAAGTTACTGAGTTTAAAATTAGAAAGGTAGCAGTGGATATACATAATGCTTGTTGGTTTACTTGTTTCAATAGCATTAAGATAAACGAGTGTTGACGATCTTGACAAGGTTTCCTCCAGTGCTTATTAGGCCAGATTTTCCTCCCCCCACCAGGCTAAGCATCACTTATTCATGTAAAATTTATTTATTTTTTCATGTCTGACTTTAACCTCATCTAATACTGTATTACGGCGAGAGCGCAACTGCGACAACTTAAGATCGATGTGTGAGCAGCCTGAGAGGTCGGGTGTTTTTATCTGAACCCTTAAAACCTCCAGCAGGCTACGCTGCACTATTGACGTGTTAGCGCTCGGCGCTAACAACTTAGCGACGTGACATGTCTCGGAGAAAGCGTAAAAACACGTTGGACACTTCTTCTGAAGCGGGAAAATAACGCTTCTCTTAAGCAGAGCACAACGTTGCCCCGGCTCGTTCACGGCCGAGCGGGTACCGGACTGAGCTCGATAACATTAACCCAGCACAGCCACTGGGTCGTTGGAGCTGCCCCGTGACTGCCTGATGGAAAACCAGCGGGTTTCATCAGACTCGTAAAGTTTCTTGTTTTTGCTGGGGACCCCCTGTATTTTACCGCTCCCTCCTGCAGTCTTCCCCTATTACAATTTAAAATGATTCTGTAAACTCCGTGTATCAATAGAAAAAATCTCTGCCTCTGCCAGCTGCAGTAAATGTAGTCTCCAAATAATAAATAAGAGGTGCATTCATCCGTGTATCTCCTTTGATCCGCATTAGTGATATTTTCAGCACCAAAACAGTGAAGCAAAGAAAGATTCCTGAGTTTGTTAGTAATTTTATTAATTAGGTGCATCTGACCTGTTCTATTTTTCTCTGAAATGAGATCAAATCAGTGCTTCTATGGGTTGTCTCCAATCTGCACTGGAAATTTTTACTTTATTTAGAGACTTGTCATAATCCCCCCCCCCCCCCGCCACAGCTGGAAAAATTCCTAGGGGAAACACTGTCCTGAGAAAGGGGGCTTCCAGAACAATGTTGAAAACCAGAACCACAGCTGCACCTGCCACATTACTGTTAAACAGAAACACTACGAGGGGATTAGAAAGCTCACCTGTATAGAGTGTTAAAGGCCTTTTCACAGCCTTGCACGTCGCACTCGAAAGGCTTCTCCTTGGTGTGAACCCGAACGTGGATTTTCAGACTATATGAGGTGAGAAAGGCCTTTCCGCAGCCTTGTTGATTACACACAAATGTGTACTCGCCACGGTGCGTCTTCTGGTGCGTACGCAGATTTCCTGCTGTGCTGTACGTCCTTGTGCAGCCTTCAAATGTGCACTGATAGCGCTTTACCTAAAGAAAAAACACAACAAAACAGAAAATAGGTCAAATTTAAAACAACCCCATCAAATAAAAATAAATCATGGGCTAAACAGGTTGTTGGTGGAGCTCAGAGGTAATCAGCCTTGATGTATGATGAGACAAAAGGCGTCAGTGCGACCTTTCGGAGGGGACTCGGTGACTCAGCCACATGTCAGCATTCGAAGTTGTTGAGCATAAACGACAGCAAAGATGACTACCCCCCCCCCCCCCCACACACACACACACACACACAAACACACACTGCAATTCACTCTATTCAATTCTGTTTCACAGCACTGATGTCCGGCGCTCTGTGGCAGTTTCCCCGCTCGCCTCTCGCACAAACACCCCAGGGCAGTGAGAATAATGGCAGCCTATTCACCTCTTAGACAAAAGCTATCGCTCAGTGAAAACACAAAGCCAGGAGGAAGCTCGTGGATGGTCTTCTTCTCTTTCAGCTGACATGACCCTAACTTATTCTTCTTAATACTGTCTGAGCAGCCAAAACACAACACCACATGAAAGCAAGAAAAATGAGATTACAACACGCTTAATGAATCAGTGAAGAACATCCTACAATGCTAATGCAACCAGTGTTCTCACAAAATCCCCAAGAGCCTTCTGGTAGTGCATCGTAGCTCTTACACTGACATAATATCACAGCTGTTCAAGCTTTTATTCCTACAAACTCTGAGTGATGGGCAGTCGAAAGCCTTTTATTTTTGTTATTAGTATGTGGGAAGGGCATTTGTTAAGCAAATATCCTCGCGGGATGCCAGTTTAAGCGGGCAGCTCAGACTTGTTCTCATCTCCCACAAAATAGAGTCTTTTACACCATCAGTTTGATCAGCGTGACAGCGTTGCAAGCTCTTGCCTCCCACGTGCAAAAAGGATAACCATGCTGTTATGCAATAATTAGGTAAATCAGCATGACTGCATTAATAACACTGTGCTCAATGTTGAACTTTCAGAGAGGTGTCTGGTGTTTCTATCCTCTTTTGTACCTGTAGAAAAGGAGGCTGAACTTTTTTGTTAATTCGACAGGAGCCCTATTGACCCTTCGCACCGACGTCACCTAATCATGTGGGTCCACCATGGTGGACGGCAAAAGCATGTAAACAGTGAGCGACACGAGTACTAAACAGAGGAAAAAGTAGAGCCTGAAATTGTGTCTGCGATCAAAACAAAAACAAAACTCCTCCAGCGTTCCTTCAACTAGTTCATGCCCAGTTCAGTTATCAGAAAAAGTAGCTCATCTAGCGGGGGCGCACAGAGAGCGGTATGTTAACTAACTTACCAACGTTAGCTTACGTTCTCTCTGCAGCTGTTCACCGATGTAAACATGTTGCTGACTTTGCCTAAATTCACCCCTCTGGATTTATAACTTTATGTTATAAACAGCGTTTCACTTTACACCAAAGCTGATTTTTAAAAAGCCCGGATCCCTACCAGCTTCTGTTGCTGGTGGTGTTACCGGGTTCAGCTGCTGCTCTCACACCGCAATGAGAAGATCTCTGAGCGCCGACGCGCATATAAATAAATAACGTAATTTTAACACACGTAATCATACATCGGAGCTTTAATATTGTTAATAATTATCTCACTTTACACAACAGTGGACGGAGCGCAGCCTCCGTGGTGAAATACCCATCCATCAGGATTATCAATAACTTGTATAAACACATCACATCTATCCCTGTCCCCGTCTTCCTCGTGAAATAAATTAATGTTAATCTTACCCGATAAAAACACGTTCGCTGCAAATCTGAGGGCTGCTAGTCCGCTTGATTGATTGATCGCTGCAGTTCATCTCCGTCCTCAGTCTCCATCAAAGTTATTAATAAAACAAAACGAGTTGAGTTTGCATCCTTGTCTCTTAGTGCAGCCGACCACGCAGCAAGCTAAAACCATTTTACTGTCAAATCAACTAAATAAAAGCGATAAAAGGCTACAAACTGGCTTGTTTTGACTACCTTCACTGGAATTTCTATGGGTGTAAACTGTCTTTTTGCCATCCATCATGGCGAAGGGGGCGGGCACATGAGTGGCGTGACGTCACCTGCAAAGGGTCAATACAGCTTTATTTTTGTTCTGCTATTAAAAAAAATAGCAGCTTAATCTCCAAAGGTTTAAGGCAATGGTTGAGACTGCATTCAGAGTCTGATGGTCTGAAGCCAAGAGACTTAAAACTGATATGGTTTTGGGCCAAATATCAGGGCACCTGCTTAGCCCAATGTTACTAAGTAATTTGAGATCTATATGTGCAGGCTAATTGGACATTTGTACGTCTTTGACCCTTGCACAGTGACATCTGTGCATAGACCCGAGGGACGTGGACAAAACAGACAATCAATTGGCTTTTCTACTTAATGAGCAAACAAAACAATAAAGCACCTTATTCAACAAGTAGAAGGTAATTCTGTTGGAAACGCTTTTGCTACAATATGCATCACAACCTGTATGGAAATTTGAATTGTCAGGAAAATCTATAAAGTTTGCCCTTTTGTTGATCCATTAGCTTTAGTGACTGGGAGAGCTTGCACAAACCAACTACTGCTACATAGACTCACAACAATCCAGGACTCTGTAACCCAACAACCATATTATACGTTTCATCAGTACCTTTGAATTAAAGGATACGCACAAGCTTACCTCTCTCTGTTTGGTCTCTGGACACTCCGAGTGCAACGTGAGTGTAGCCCCCTCGATGTTACGTGGCATTGGCGTGGAGCCTGGATTTATCGTGAACTGGATCTGATCCGGAGAAATTGTATGGTGCACATAACCCTGCAACATCCCATCAGGATCAGCCATAAAGGCCAGAGGCCCCTCCTCCTCATCAGCATCCCCCTCCCCTTCTGTCAGAAAGGTGACTCCATCTTCATCCCCACCACAGTGACCCTCCTCTTCTCCTTCCTCATCCAGTCGAATGGGGTCACGCTCAATCAGCACCGTGGTGCGGTCGTACACTCGACCGGACGAGGAAGAAGGTTCAGCAATCAGATCTCCATCCTTGTCAAAGTGGTTCTTGTCATCTTCTTCTTCTTCGTCTTCTCGCTCCAGGTGATCCACCGCCACCTCAAAGTACATGGACGCCTCCGTTTGAGGGCCATTCTCACTCATGGTCCCCCGGTGCCTACCCTTCTTTTGCAAGGACTGCACACCCTCACTTTAAAAATCACAACCTGCAAAGTAAATTGGCCCAAGTTAGTTTTGGGAAGAGAGTTGGCTTAAATAACTTAAACTACGATTTAGAAACGCCAAAAGTTTAAATTCAACTGGACAAACACTGAAGTCAGACTTCGAACCTGTTCACCGCGACGATATTTGCTGATCTAATGAATGCCATTCACTCAGAACAAAAGTTATTTACATAAAATCCCTGCTCGAATACACAAAGTATGTTTGTCTATCCTTGCTTCCTAAAACGCACTTTTGACAGCCAAATATACCTGTAGGAAAACGAACTAAAATGAATTGTCAGTTTAATAATAAGAAGAAAATGCATACAGTGATCCCTTACTTTTAAAGGACAACGTAGCCTCGTTTAGAGAAACTAATGCAACTTTATCTGGAACTTTCCAAAGTCAATGAAGTAACGAATCAAGAAGGTTGGACTCAAACCCAATCTCAGACGCCTGATCCGACAACAAAACTCGTCCTGTTAGCTCTCACACGTCATTTGTGTCTGAATAAAAGATGCTACACTTTTGACAGTAATGTCACCCAACTTTTCCATTTAACCATCATCGACACACGGCTAGCATTTCACTATAGCTCAATAACACGAAGGTCTCACCAGAAAGTCAAGCGCTGCCAAGGCTTTAAGTCCAGGCTGGAAAGTTACTAAAGATTAATTGAAAATATAGAAACTTTTAACTAAATGTCACAGACTGTATACAGAGCACAAACACCGTATTAGTAGACTCTGACAGAAGCTAAAACTAATCTGATATTTCAGATTACTATAACGTCCCTCGGTTAACCGTTTAGCGTCTTTCGAATTATTTAGCCTTCTTGGCTATATTGAGAAACAAGTCATATTTTTGTGTTTAACTAGTTAGTTAAAATGACCAAAATAAACGTTAGCTTGTTAGAATTGCGCAACCTGCGAACTACCACACATTTCCCTACATGTTAGCAACAATTTCGCTCGTTGCTAAGCTAACTGCTAGCAGCGCTAATGTCGACAGTTGACATCCGCCGTGCAGCAGGACAGCAGTTTTCACGCTTAAAAATAATAAAAACACGCACGGAAACCAAAGTAAACAGGCTAAAAGAAAATGACATTAAATATTTACCTTTGTTTAAATGTATGTTTCCTAAGCTCTTGTAAGCAATTTCTTATCTCCTCCCAACAGTGGGATACCATACGTCACAGATTATAGCTATTCGTGATGAATTATGGGAAATTAAAAATACCAATATTTATAATAGGACTAAAACAATATTAAACACCAAAGGCATTACATTGTTAAAATTATTCATGAGACTGAGGGGTTTAAACGTTTAATATGAGTAAATTTATAAAAAAAATATTGACAAATCTTTTTCTGACAGATTTTCTATAAAAACATTCTAATAGAATTTATTCTTTAAATAAAATTCACAAACATTTAAATGTTCAGCTTCTACATGTGCTCAATAACATACAACACTCTGTGCATGATCAAGTAAATAAAAATGTTTGTGAACTAATATCAAATTATCTCACAATTAAGACATTACACAATTACATGGTTACAGTTCTCGTCAAATACTGGGCTTTGTGGATTTTAGTGTTCGTCTTCATTACTCCATCTACGAAGAGCCGTGGTTCAGGAAATGCTGAAAGAACTCTTGAGTCTTCCTCTTTTCTGCAAGATCCTGTTTCGAAGGTGACCTCAGAATCAAGGAGGCAAAAATGGTGGCTGTGCACGGACAGACATTTAATATTAATACTGTAGAGGTTTAGAAATGTGCCGAAATATTTGGCCAAATATGCATAACTTATATATTTTTATTTCTACTTTCATGTTTGTCAGTTTCACTACTCTTGCTCAACATGCTTAGCCTAGTGAACTAGATCAAATTCTTGCTTTGCAAAGTTTAAATAATACATTTATTTAGTCTGGCTTGCCAGGCTACAACATGCTGACACAAGTCTAAAACTGGGAAACGAACAGGAAATAAGCCAGAGCAACCTTTTTTTTTTCAATCATCTTACCCAGAATGCTGACATCTAATCGATTGCTAGCTGAATTCTTCAACAATTCACGAAGAAAGGCAGCTAAATAGTTGAACACGTTTTTATGGCACTGAGGTAGCATGGAAATAATCTGAAGAAAAAACACAACCATATTCACAAAACAGTTATTTGAAATGATAATTTCTTGTGTTGCAAAAAATTCCAGTAAATCCATCCAGGCTGATTTCCTTACTTTCTCACACTGGCTGGGGTTGGAGCAGCATTCGAGGCACTGCGGGTAAATGGAGAATGGAACCACGGGCTCGGGGAGGGCGTCGAGGAAGAGCAGCAAGGCTTCTGCTACTGAGTGGTTACTGCCCGCTGCAGGTTTGCACAAAGTCAAGGCAGACACAGTCTGGCGGTTTCAAAACATCAGCTGCTGCTCTGTTTTCATTCAAAGTTAAAACAGAAAAATTGGGAGTCTGAACAACAACTGAACAATGCAAGAACCAATTGTTGCAACTTCCTGAAATATTGCTAAGTGATCCGTTTTCATTGTTTGTTATAATGGAGAAGTGTTGAAGGATACGGAGGGAATCTGGCATCCCTGAATCAAGACAATTCCTTATTTCAGCAAATTCACTTCGAAGACCTGGCTGTTGAAATAAGTCTTCCTGTAAACACAAAACAAAAAATCACAACTTTTTATTCCTTAAAAGCAGCTTTCCGGACTTTTTCCTCTTTCAGAAATGATGCATCATGTCTTAGAAATCTGTAAAAGTGATAGTCTTACCCTGTACTGTGATAATGGAGGAAATATCTCACTTTTTTTTTTTGTTAAGCCCACCCCAGTCCCGTAGAGTCCCATACAATTTGAACTGAGCACCATTTAGCATTGGCCAATTGCGTTAGACATTCGAAAGTACCTAGACTGGTGCAGTTGGCGACATTTGTTGTGGACGAGTAAGTCTTCATAATATATATTTATAAGAATAAACAACATATATAATTGTAAAACAATGTGTTTTGGTTCTGTTGGCCGGCTAACCCCGGGTCCACGTTGGCAGCATGTTTTTCTTCATAGACGTGATCTCCTTTTTCTTCTTTTTGTTTTAATGGTGGATAAAGTCTCGAGGGATTTGGTGATTTTGTGAGTCCAGCGAGGATGTCAGAAATGCCGTGTGGAGTGAAGCGCCTTGAAAAACGTCCCGCTATCGTTCTACGCTGCTGATGCCCCCAGTGTGAACATGGGGTAAGAGTGTAAGCTCACATAAGAGACGTTGCCATAATCACGGAAGAAAAAAAGTGGCAAAAAGTGCAAAAAATCTTTCCACCTTTAGATGGTGCCATCTGAGTAAAAAAATCTTGATTTCTGCTTTAAAGAGAAAAGCCATAAGAAAATAATACAAGTGCAGCCTAGTGAACTACACCAAATTCTTGCTTTGCAAAGTTTGGTGTAGGAACGATCCACTGGAACCTCCGCAGCCCCTAGCAGCATTCTGGCTGGCCAATCACAGCTCTCTATAGTGATTTCAAACTGATACAGTGCTGTGACAGGTCAACAATGGTGGGCCAATCACAGTGCTCTATCGGCTTTGTGGGCCAATCAGGGCCTTCTATTCGTCTGGTGGGCGGGATGATGCGACAAAGTGAAACAATATGGCAACAGCTCGTTTGAAATGGCTTTTATATCAGTTTTGAACTATTGGACTTGGGCTTTGATAGAATCAAGAGCAGATAGCTGCATTTAAGTCCTTTATTTAGAAAAAGGATGTTTTTTCCCCTTCTTCAACAGCAGACTGCCTTGTTTACTGACATCCTTCGCAGTGAGCACGTCACGTTGTTCATTGTCCAGTAGCATGTGGACATCGTTTGAAAAACAATGGTAGAACACCCCCCCCCCCCCCCCCAACAACGAGAACCGTCAATGAAGCGTTGCCAGACTAAATTACAGATCCTGCTAAAAAAATTAGCATATTGTGATAAAGTTAATTATTTCCTGTAATGTACTGATAAACATTAGACTTTCATATATATTAGATTCATTACACACAACTGAAGTAGTTCAAGCCTTTTATTGTTTCTAATATTGATGATTTTGGCATACAGCTCATGAAAACCCAAGATTCCTATCTCAAAAAATTAGCATATCATGAAAAGGTTCTCTAAACGAGTTATTAACCTAATCATCTGAATCAACTAATTAACGCTAAACACCTGCAAAAGATTCCTGAGGCTTTTAAAAACTCCCAGCCTGGTTCATTACTCAAAACCGCAATCATGGGTAGGACTGCCGACCTGACTGCTGTCCAGAAGGCCATCATTGACACCCTCAAGCAAGAGGGTAAGACACAGAAAGAAATTTCTTAATGAATAGGCTGTTCCCAAAGTGCTGTAGCAAGGCACCTCAGTGGGAAGTCTGTGGGAAGGAAAAAGTGTGGCAGAAAACGCTGCACAACGAGAAGAGGTGACCGGACTCTGAGGACGATTATGGAGAAGGACCGATTCCAGACCTTGGGCGACCTGCGGAAGCAGTGGACTGAGTCTGGAGCAGAAACATCCAGAGCCACCGTGTACAGGCGTGTGCAGGAAATGGGCTACAGGTGCCACATTCCCCAGGTCAAGCCACTTTTGAACCAGAAACAGCGGCAGAAGCGCCTGACCTGGGCTACAGAGAAGCAGCACTGGACTGTTGCTCAGTGGTCCAAAGTACTTTTTTCGGATGAAAGCAAATTTTGCATGTCATTCAGAAATCAAGGTGCCAGAGTCTGGAGGAAGACTTGGCAGAGGGGAATGCCAAAATGCCTGAAGTCCTGTGTCAATTACCCCACAGTCAGTGATGGTCTGGGGTGCCATGTCAGCTGCTGGTGTTGGTCTACCGTGTTTTATCAAGGGCAGGGTCAATGCAGCTAGCTATCATGAGATTTTGGAGCACTTCATGCTTCCATCTGCTGAAAAGCTTTATGGAGATGAAGATTTCATTTTTCAGCACGACCTGGCACCTGCTCACAGTGCCAAAACCACTGGTAAATGGTTTACTGACCATGGTATTACTGTGCTCAATTGGCCTGCCAACTCTCCTGACCTGAACCCCATAGAGAATCTGTGGGATACTGTGAAGAGAAAGTTGAGAGACGCAAGAACCAACACTCTGGAGGAGCTTAAGGCTGCTATCGAAGCATCCTGGGCCTCCATGACACCTCAGCACTGCCACAGGCTGATCGCCTCCATGCCACGCCGCACTGAAGCAGTCATTCCTGCAACAGGATTCCCGACCAAGTATTGAGTGCATAACTGAACATAATTATTTGAAGGTTGACTTCTTTTGTATTAAAAACACATTTCTTTTATTGGTCTGATGAAATATGCAAAATTTTTTTAGATAAGAAATTTGGGTTTTCATGAGCTGTACGCCAAAATCATCAATATTAGAAACAATAAAAGGCTTGAACTACTTCAGTTGTGTGTAATGGATCTAATATTATATGAAAGTCTAATGTTTATCAGTACATTACAAACAATAATGAACTTTATCATAATGTGCAAATTTTTTGAGAAGGACCTGTATATATATTTGTTTAGTCTGGCTTGCCAGGCTAATACAAGCAACGTTTTCAATAAAAAAAACATTTAATGCTCAAGCTGTTAAGTTTTTAAATAAAAATATCTAAATAAAGTAGAACAGTAACATTTAAATTTGGCAACTTTTTACATTAAAGTTTTATTTAAAAAAAATATTGTTATATATTTTAAAAGTATTTTTTTCCTCTGTTTCTTTATTATTCTAACATACAAAAAATATGCTCAACAATAAACGCCGTAATTCACTACAGCTTTGTATTGCCAGCAAATATTCAGTATTAATTCACTGAAATGGCAGAAGGACTGGTTTTATTGATCCGGAACCACTGATGGAGCATCATCACCACATTTCTTACTTGTTTGACTGCATTGCGAAACAAATGATCCACCATCATCCAAAGTTCTTTAGGAATGTCAAGAGGCTTTTCAGTAGATTCTGCAAAGTCAGCTGCAGACTTCTCAGCCTGATGTTGAGCACAAATATGGCAAAAAGAGACAGTTTAATTAAAACACACAACACTCAAAAAATGCTATTTGAGACGGCAACAAATGGAGAAAACCGCACTCACAAGCTGAAGTAGAGTTTCTTGTGGCATGTCTCGAATGGGTTCCCTCATGTGACACAAAGAATAAATAGAGGAACCGTAACAGCTTGGCAGATAGTTCCCAGTTACGGAGATGAAATAGTCTTTGCCCCGCTCTAGATGGAGCACCAGGATGTCTTCAATCACTTGCTTGCCACAGTTGAGATCTGGTGCTGTTGTGCGGTTTACAAAAACCTCCAGATCAATGTCGGCAGAACCACCTGGACAATTCAAACGCTCAGAATTAGGGGGTGATGGCTGTTTAAACTCACCGTCATGAAGCTGTTGGAACAAAATTTCTGTTTTTAAGACAAGAAAAGTCGAACTGAAATCTTGGTTAAACAATCACAGTCAGCTCAGAGCTGAGGACTGTTCACGTTTCTCACGCTGAGCGATGAAGCCTTTGGGGGGGTTGGCTGTGAGCCAAGGTTTGGAGTACGTGGCCTCATTTGGCTTCCGGATAAACTCGAATTGACACGGGACCTGCCCATCGTTAAACAGCTTTAACGTCTCTGCCTGGTGTTCCATGAACTTCACGTCCTTGAAATGGAACTGAGAGGAAACAGAATCAGGAAAAAGGATTAAAAGGTGATCTTATTGTATCCTCTAAATATCGGTATTATCAATACAACATTTGAGACAGTTTGAACAAATTATATTAAAAGGGCCCAATGGGAAGGTAGATAGCCGCGTTTCCACTATAAGAGTTCCAGGACATTTCTGGACGAGGGGAAGGTGACGGGAAAATATGAGAGCTCAGTCCTCTCGTCGTGCCTTCATACCAAATGGGCTCTTTCAGGACTTTGCTAAGACGTCAGTATATTGCGACTGTCTCGGCTGCGAGTGACGTCATAGATCAGGGCCAAAGGGCGTCCACAGACATTAAAGCCCAGACCGCACTGCGAGTTTGTCAGCTGTCGCAGAGGATTGCTCACATCACACTGTACGGTCGAAGATTTCAACGACCCAATCTGCACAATGTCTCGCTCCAGCAGGACACGTTACGTCACAAGTGCACCCCCCAGAAAGCATACGTCACTGAAAGCCAACAGCTAACCCAAACCACAATGCTGAAAACAGGAAAATGTGCTGCCGTTAACATTTTTTTTATTAGTCTCCAAACCTGACCTCCAAAAAAAAAAAAAAAAGAGTGGTTAGCTTGTTCTTGCGTGTAGCTTCCACTGGTGCTAATTCTACTCTCGTATTGTACTCCTGTCACTAGCGATTTGCGTCAATCCCTGGGTGTATTTCCATTGGTCGATTGCAGACGGGAGTTGTAGGTTTTCAAGCAGTGCTTGAAGACCGTTTGAGGCCGACTTTGGTCATGAGCGTGTTCAATAAGCTGTCGCAGAGCCGGTGACAATGGATGGCCAGAGACTTCATAATCATCCTCATAGTCAGTTGCTTTGTCACGATTCTGGTCACGATGAGGCATTTGTGTAGGACGGTAGAAAAACGCAGTGTGGTCCGAGTTTAAAAGAGTTCATTTTGGTCCAGGTACGCCGCAATTTAATCTATTGAGGAGACGGGGAGGGCGATTTAAAAAACAGCGTTCAATGACCAAAGAAAAGCAAGTGTTTACGACTCTCTGTAGATCACAAGTCACCAAACATTTGTGTTGTGGGAACTTTTCTGCCACATTTTTCTGCACTAGAGTGCAACAATTTTTAAGCCACATTAATGCTTCTTTTTTATTTTATTTCAATAAGTTGCTTCAACAGCAACTCTTCCAATTTTACAAATTCCAGATGTTTGGCGACCCCTGTACAACCAATCACCATGAGTCCCGCCCAGCGTCTCTGCTGAGCCTTCTCTAAGTACATGCCCCAGTGAAAACAGGCCTACACACGCTTCCTGTTACGCTCCAGACTACGAGATGGGGAACCATACCTCTCGCTTTGATAAGGTTACAGATGGAATACACTCATTTTCCATTTTGTCTATATTCCGAACAATCTCTTCAAAGGTCTTCTTATAGGTTACATTGTTTATCCTCTTGATCTGAAGCAACACAAACAAAAGACGTCAGCAGAAAGTAAACAGAAATCTGTTATGTGATGAGAAATAAATCATTTTCAGGTAAGAGAATCAACAAAAACGTAGTTAAACACGGAACAAGTGAAGAAAATAAAGGATTTACCCCAATGACGAGCAAAGAGCTGACAGGTTTGTGGTCACTGGTCCTCAGATCCATGTGACTCCGGTAATGTCGCTGCTTTATGTTCTTCCCTTTCCACAGGATGCGGTCGCACCACGCAGGGATGCGACATTTTTCACTAAACGCAGAAGAACCAATAAACAATCATCTCAAACGGTTTTTGTTACTGAATTCAAAGTTTGAATTGTTAATTTGTGACCGCTCAGCTGATACAGATTAGAGCCCGTCTGAGTAGAATGAAAAACCTTTGACTGAAAACTCGGATGAATATTTTATATAAGATGGAATGAAATGCTTTTAAAAGAGAAACATTTCTGGGGTGAATTTAATAGTCCCCCCCCCAAATGCCACTTTTATCCCTCAATCAAATAAACATTGATTTTAAACCCCACAACAAATATTTTTAGTAAAAATAAAATTGCTGCATTTGCAGGCGGCGTTACCTCGTGTCCCAGTCGTCAGAGTTGGTGTCGTATTTGTAGGTGGGCTGAAAATCAATCGCTCCTTCCTCAAAGCCGTTGAACACAGCCTCTTCATCGATCTGTCTCTTGAGCTGAGGATCACACGTGGCTCATGAACATCACCACTCACAAGGACAAATAAACACACACGACTATTAAACCAGAATGAAAAGGGAAACCACCTGATCATTTTTGTGCAACGTCTTAAAATCCTTTTTGATGATCAGCTCTTTCACGCTGTCCACCTCAAGGTCACTAATTCTGTAGTTCAGGTCCCCGATCCATAAAACCACACTGATCAAGGAAGTAGAAGTGAGAGCATAAACAGATTAAATAACGCCTCCGGTAACTAAACGAGTGTTGCAGCATCTCTGTAACACTTCATCTCAAACAGAAATCTCATAATATGAATAAATTATAACAGCCAACTGTTTTACAAGGAATACACAACAAAATCTTAGGCACGGGTAACAAATACAGTTTAAGTATTGCAACCTTTTTTAACAATTGAGTAGTGATGTAAAAAATATCAGTATACTGAAATTTAGATATATTTTGTTAAAATACTGAATCAATATTTAAAACATAATAATACACTTTCTATAGCGCCTTCAAACAAAGCTCTGAAAAACATTCATACCTAAAATGACAACACAAGGCAGGGGATAAGAATAAACATAAGCATGTAAAGAACAAATTAAAATCAACAACAGACATGAGTAAAAATACTAAGATGTATAACCTAGGCAAACATTTTACTGCATTTGTTTTTTGTGGTGCAATTCAAACTCCTACCACTAGGTGGCAGCAGGTTTACCGCCTTAATTCTGACGGAACTACGAAATCTCACAATAACACTGGATCTTGGTCTTGGAAGTGTTTTGTCTGAGTTTCCTATTCAATTAAGTTTTGAAAACCGCAAATATTGTCTGCAGTTTAGTATCTCGTATCGTCTCTCCTGTATTATATTTATCGTTCCACCAAATTCTTGCAAGTACACATGCCTACTGTTGAGTTTGAATCTTTACTGCCACGTTTGACCCATGTGTATCTAATTTACTGGGAGTTTAGCTTCCCAGACGCTCTTCTTCTGATGACCTCCTACAGTGGACGGCACTGGAACGATGCCGGAAGTAAATAAGCCGATGGGTCACACGTAAGCTTCTTATAGTTGAAATTGCATCGCTGCAGTACTTTTACTTTGAAAATTACTGGTGATTTTACACTGAAACAGTGTGTGACTTCCTGTCTAGCCCTGTGTTAACTGCGGAAATTGACACATCCCAGAAGCGGCTCGCGGCAAAATAGTACCCGATCCTATTTTTTGCGGAAGCAATGTGACAATTCTGGAACGCCCCTGGAAACTGCTGTGTCGCTGCTGGTTTTGAAACAGTCCACAGAATATAACAGATTCTATTTGAAGCAGTGCCGTTCTGCACCACTGATGCCTTCAGTGAGAAACCAGGGTACAACGTAAAATGGTGAAAAATGCTAAAAAGATCAAGAAAGTTACACGATTACATGGGTATGCAGGAGGTTTTTCAGGTCAAGTCACTGGGTGTTTCTCAATGCCAAGGAACCTTGCCTTGATGTCTTGGCCCCGCCCCGGTTGCCTAGGAGATACGTCTTCGGGAGCCGCCAAGACGTGTTCCAATCGGTTCCAATGTCCATGTTCTACCGAGGCGTGTGTTCTCCGTTTGTTAGCCGTTTAGCTAGCTGAGCAAGAGGTGTCTTGTAGCCTAGCCTTGGTCAAAAATTACCCACAATACACCTCAGTATTTTCAAAATGATGGCGGATCAGAAGCCGGCAGCTACTTTGGGGACAGTTTTCAAGTTTTTAAGTAAGTCAGCTAATTTAAAATGTTTCTTTTAGATCCAAAGAAGTTATCAATGGTTGGTTAGTTGCTTAGTAGTTGCAGCTTTGGTGGCTAGCGGGTAGTAACTCGCTTATATTTTTTATTTAATAAACAAATATGCAATTTAAAAAGTAAAAGCTCGTTATACATTTATATTGAAACTAATACGTATAAAATATAACATTATCTCCCATGTCACGTGATGTTACGTGACTGCTGTGGAAGCCGCGGTCACGTAATTCAAGTCTGTTCCATTTAACCGTTTTCTCTGACCAAGGAAGAACAGTGTCCTTGCAAGCAAGGCGCCTGGCCTCGCAAGACATCGCCTCGCAAGGCAAGGCGCCTTGACTAGGGATGTCCCGATCCGATCACATGATCGGAAATCGGCCCCGATCACGTGGTTTCAGACGATCGGGACTTGGGCTTTACTTCCCGATCCGGACTCGGAGACTAGGTTCAAATTACAGGAGAGCAACTTGGTTCTCCTTAAAGGTTGTCAGGCTCCCCTGATGTCCTTAACTTACACACCCAGAAGGAGCACAAAAGGGATCCAGCTTCTAACTTTATTATATTATCTACATGGACTCAAGAGTAGAGGGGATTCTTTAGAGCAGAGATGCAGAGTGCAGCAGGCAGACCTCTGATTATTCATCAACTCCAGCTGCGTTCTGCACACGGCCACAGTAACATTTTCTAAGTTTCGAAGTGGCGTCACCCAAAAATATATAATTAACACACAGTCATTCGTGTCCGTTAATTTTCTCTCTGGTAAGTTCCGTCTGTATTTGAGCATGACGTGCGGACGCGCTGCAGCGCGTCACTGGCGCAGTCGGGCAGCGCGGCGCACACTCCGCTTTTTTTGCGGTCAATAGATAAATTTGATCTGCTAGTTAAAACGTTACTTGTGAGGTGAAAAAGAAGGAAGCAGGCAGGAGTGTTTCCGGAGGACTGGGAGATGCAGGAAGATCAGAGACAGACAGGACAAGAAGACAGGAAAATAAAAACCAAGAAAACAAAACAAAGTTCTTAAAAAAATAAAATGTAGGTAGATTGATCCCACTACACGTTTGTACCTGTATAAAGCAATAATTTAACAGCATGTAGTATTTATATAGTTGATACAATTCAGATCATCTTCAAAACTCCGTCCCAGGGACGTATCTAAGCCTTTTGGGGGCCGAGGCAAATTAGACCCCTGCCAGGTATTTTAAGTTGAAGTGCCATCTGGTTTTATATTTGACTTTTTATATTTGCAATAAAGTCCAAAATTGAAGAATTTATGTTATTTATTACTTGATTGTTCAAGCTACCTCACAGAAGTGATCTGTTGTTAAAAATTAAAATAAAACTGTAATTAAATAAAAAATAAGGAACATTCTGGAACTGTTTCTTCCTTTTCTTATTTTTTTATGTATCAAAAGTATCGGATCGGGACTCGGTATCAGCAGATTCTCAAAAACAAATGACTGACTCGAGGGCAAATAAACCTGATTGGGACATCCCCCCTAGCCTTGACATTGAGAAACACCCACTGAAAGCACTATAATATACATGAGTTACTCTATTAAAACATTAATAAAATCTCATTGGCACTTGTGTGTAGTACTTAGCTCCTCCACTAGAAGATTCAAATAAGATTAGATTCAGCAAGTTTCTGGGAAAGAACCATGTTCATTTAAGATGTCTTAGAAAGTTAGAAATCGGTGCATCAATTATATAATTGGTTCTTTAGGCATGTTGTGGGTATTTTTCCTCTCCACTATCGCTACATGCTTGTTTTGTAAAGGACTGCTGACACAAGTCAGTGACTAGATGCAATCTGCTGGGTTTCCTGAGATAGGAAACTTAACTGATATAATAAACTGAATTCAATGCAGTGATAAGTGAGTTTAATGGGAATGTTTACATTGTAAAGTGTCTTGAGGTGACTCTTGTTGTGAATTGGTGCTATAAACTGAATTTAACTGCATAAGAGGGTTGAATCATATCCCAAGCAAACTTTATTTATAAAGCCTTTAATAAAAACCACACTGGAACAAACTGCTTTCATACACTCAATGATTCAAATAGGGCTGAAACGATTCCTCGAGTACCTCGAATAATTCGAGTACAAAAAATCCTCGAGTCAAATTCTCTGCCTCGAGGATTCGTTTAATTCATATTTAATTAATTCATGGCTTTGCAATCGCCCGGGGTCATGTTTCACCCGGACTGAAATAAGTGACGCACATGCCCACTGGACTGAATGCACACGCGAGTAGAATGTAACTTAACTTTCTCTTAAGCCATGGCGGACAACTTGGACCCTGGTGGAGTGTGAAAAAGACACAAAATGTCAAAGTTGTGGAACCATTTTTCACGTCGTAAGGTGTTAAACGTAGTCCAGTGAAAATACTGTAAAATGGATTTAGCCTACCACAACACCACATTCCTCGATGCTGCAGCACCTGTAAATGTCACTTCTGCAAGCGGACTCGGAGCCTCTACAAGATAATGCATTTTAGCCTGTATTTCTATATATTCTGCGGACACTGTGCAACTTTTTCGTTTGTAGCACTCAAGTTTCAGCTCACACCGTACGTCTGGTAGCAACACGTCGGACTTAAAATGTGCTAAAAAATAGCAGTTTTTACACAATATGTCGGACTTTTTATTGTGTTGTTATTGATATTTGTTGTCCCTCAGGATTGCTGCAGGAGGACACGGGTATTTATGAGAGTGGTGGAGGAAAACGAAAGAAAGTAAATAAATGTTTTGTGATCAGTATAATTTGACATAACCACGGCAAACATGCTTTCTCGACAATCCTTATTGTGTGAGAAAAAAAGTGTAGAAATTAAAACGGACGTGTGTTAATAGGGAAACAGCCGGCGAGCTGTTTGCACATGCGCCGTGAGCGGTTCTGGTTCTGTTTGGGCCGCAGCTGCTCGCAGCGCTACTTCAACAGTTATCCTCCTAGTTTTTGTCTGGCTTGTAGGCTAGCAGATTCTCGCACGAGGGGAAAATCGGCTCAGGTTGTTCACTTATTTTTTGCACAGGCATTTGTTTACTGTGAAGTTGAGGTGCTGAAGTTTTGCAAACTAATTTTGAATAAAACTTGAATAACTGGCAATTGCGTGCTCATTTTAAGAGGTCTTTCATATTTTATAACATGCTATTTGATATAATGGTTTACAAACACAAAAGGGTAATTTATTAGAGTACTCGATTAATCGAAAAAAAGATTCGATAGAGTACTCGATTACAAAAATATTCGATAGCTGCAGCCCTAGACTCAAACCCAATGTTTTATTTGTTAATGCATCACAATACAACCCAAAAACGTTGAATGATAGTTAAGCATCAACCTGCTCAGCCCTAGAGTCAAAAGCAATAAGGATAAAGTGGTACATACTTGTGCTTCATGATAGTGAGTGGTGGCTGGGTAAGGTCGTATGGCCGAAACAACAGACGGCTGCAAATATCCTTGTAGTCCTGATTGCGTCTCTCGTATTCTTCGACGTGGGCGGCAAGGTGGGAGTTGACCACACAGATGGTGGAGTTGTGGAAGCGAAAACGGATCGCAACAGCACCCTTGTTTCCCTGTCAAGGACAGAGAGAAAAATCCTGTCAGTGTTAATCTGATCCTGCAGGCAAAAGGAGAGGATGAAAGGTAGACTTGCAAGAGTAGCAAACTACGGTTTCTCTAAAACTCACATTTCCAGCTGATCCTTAGTATGGATAAAAAAAAAACAGCAAGGAAGTGTAGAGCTGACACTGGTAATCAGGCAGCCATCTAACGAATCTACACTGACGGCTGCTAAGCAAGACAAGCCATCCTATAGATGTACAGTCTGGCCGTGACCCACTGAAGCAACCCAGTCGTGGGTCAGACTATTGTCTTTCAAGCTGTCTTTGTACTAGGGTTGTTATGGTAACCGGTGTAGCAGTAAACCCGGTAAAAATGTTGACAATAATAATAACCGTCTTGTTTTTAAAAAACTATATTATCTCGGTGGGTTTACCGTGGCTGCGGTGTTGGCGCGGTGACCCTTACCAGCCACCGTATCATCTGCTGAAGTTGCCGGCGGCACATGCGCGCTTTGTTGTTTACAACCAAAACTTTCTTGAAGCTAAAGCTGAAATAATGGCCGAAGGAGGAGACGGAAGCGTGCAGGACATTTATTATCCCTCAAAGAAGACAAAGTGGGAAGTACGGGCATATTTTGGATATTTGAAGAATGCCGAGGGACAGTTGATAGAAGACGGCTATCCTGTTTGCAGCACGTGCAGAAAAAGTGTCTGTGAAAGGCAGCAACGCTTCAAATCTCATGACACATCTGCGTGACCATCACCCACAACTCTACAGTCAACGCAAGGCAAGCTAACGTTAGCGTTTTAGCCAAAATGCGTGATCCGAGGATTTGGGTTGAGGGAGAATGCAACGAGTCGCTGTATAAAGCAGCTGCAGCGCCGCTACCTGCATATAAACCGTGTCGCGGACACCCCCATGTTGAAATGACGCTATGCATTACGGGGCTCCCAGGGGCAGATAAGAGTTGGTCTCTCTCCGAGAATAATTATGAATTTAACAATGATTACTGCCTGATGACATTTTCCCAAATCTGCAAAGCTCACTGGAAGGACACAAACCGAGGACAATATTTTCCTGATATAGGGTCTATTACTCAAGTAAGGGTAAAAAAGTATCTGATTAGAAGGCTACTTGAGTACTGAGTATCATCTGATCTAATATTTTTAAAATGATGACATCAAACAGACAAAAAATAAGAAATTATGGGCAAATATTAGTATTTTAAAGACTAAAGGGGAAAATGTAAACAAATAAACAACATATTTACAAAATAACACATTTTAGGCAAAATTTAGACACAAACTGAGGACAATATTTTCCTGACATACAGGGTTTATTTAGTTGTCTGAAAATGTAACACGTTTAAAAAAATACCGCGATAATACCGAAAACCGTGATAATTTTGGTCACAATGACTGTGAGGTTAAATTTTCACACAGTGACAACCCTACTCTGTATGCAACTGGACAGCACCAGGACCAGTCAGAGCAAGGAATCACGAGACATACTTATCCATCAGTCAATGTGGAAGTCCACCAAATACATCCTTTATCCAAATACAGGACTTTAGTACATCTAGCTGCTCAAGTCTCAAAGAAAAGCCAAAGTCTGAATTGTCCAAAGTTGATGCCAAAGCAGTTTCATGCAAGCGCCGCTCTTGAAACGACACCATCTTTGTAGTTTTTCCTCCATCTCTGCTCTGGTTCTAAGCCCGCCCAACGAACAGAGCGCTGTGATTGGTCAGACACAAAAGCTGCTGATGGAGCGCAGCTGGACTGACCTGCTGTCGTTTGTCTAGATTTGAGTTACTAAAAACGCTACAAAACCAGAAAATTACACTCTGATCAACTGTGTGGACCCATTAGTGTTTTAAATGTATCTTACCAGTGAAACATAAACGTACTTGACTGCTATACATAAAAGAAGCCTCGTAAAAACAGTCCTCACCATCCTTCCCATGATGCCCGTGCCCACAGTCTCAGCCTCCAGATCAGAGATGTACTCGGCATGCTCCTCCTTCACATAGAAGATCAGCATGATGCCGACCAGACGCACCAGCTTCACCTGAATCAGCAGCAGAGGGCAGATTTTCACATTTTACTCGATCGGTTTCTTCAACAGACAACCAGATCAGTCACACTGGTATATGTCTAAATAAAACCTGTGTTGAATTGTTTGTCCAGCTTGTGGGAGTAGATTTCCACAAACATTCAGCCTATGAACTGCACTCGGTGTGAACGGCGGTCCAATAGCAGCCGTAAGAAAACCGGGCTGCACCTGTTCTGCGCTCGGTGATCGACGGGTAACACGTAGACATATTTTACAAGCTTGCGTTGACTTACCATTACTCTGCAAAAGTTTGCGCCATGAAGCCTGATTTATACAGCAAGTTTTGCGCTCACACGCAGACGTATTGACGGAGACATTTTTTTCCATGTATGCTTCTCCACTGGTTTGTCAGCGTTGTGTAGCAATTCTCCACCAGAACAGCAGAGGGCGCAGCTCTTTTCTGGGGTCTCCTGCAATCAATGCAGTCACGTCTAGCGTGCTTACATTGTGTTTATTTCAGACACTTAGTGTTTCCCGCTGGCGAATAAGACTCTACATCTCCCAAACGGTGAAGTGTGAGAGACTGAAAATGAGCGACAGTGATAGACGACCGCAGCAATTAATAAAATCGGCCATAGCAGCACCACGAATAAATTCAAGCAAAACTTAAAAAAAAAAAAAACGACTAAAAGCGGGGACCCGTTAGCTCAAGCGTCAAACTCCGCTCCCACAACCCAAACACTTCCCCACAGGCACTTGATGCTACCGCCATAACACTTAAAACCACAGCTTTGATGATCTTGTGAGATTTCAATACGGAAATGATGGCTCGTTCATTTCTATGAAGCAATTTAGTTTTTTGAGTTTGTGAAGTTCAGGCTGTCAACGAAAATACAAATCTTGCCAAAAACAAGCACACAGATAAGGAAGGAAATTGGGGAAGTTGAGCAGAAAGCGTCAGCACTCTGAGAAAAGGGAAGAACAACAAAAACAGAAGAAAAAGCCCGACAGCTGGTCGAACTAGCATGAATAACCAAAGGATTTCATCAGACTGGTTTTCAGGATGAAAATGAGCTCAACTTTCCACGTGAAGACAAGTAAGACGTTATTTATAACATCAAAAGAAAACCTGAAGAAAACAAAAGCCTTACTAAGGCATATTTGGCTCCTTCGTGCAAAGCGTCAGACACGGCCTTCGTCCACTCGGGCTCTTTGGGCGTGTCGCTGAAGAAAAACGCCTCTTTGCTGAGGTCGAGTTCCTGAAAACTACAGGAATAAAAACACAAACATCTTACCATGAGTTTGAATCTAACTCACCAAACTGCAGCTGTGCTAAAAAAAAATGGTTTCACTCCTTCAAACCTAAATAATGAAGGGATGAGTGGGCTTGCATGGCTGAAAGCTGTGGTGGGCAAGCTCTTTGCTTCAACAGTTGCAGACATCCGTCAGGAGTTCGAGCAGCAACAGTATGTCTTTGTAATGGGATTACATGGGAAGCTAGGCCTGAGCAGGGTGAATCGGACTTACCCTACGCAGTATATGTCAGGAGGGCTAGGGTTGCAGCTCAGCCAAGGACGGAGGCTTTCCTTTGGTGGCTGTCCGTTCACGTTGTACGTACCAAGAAAAAAGCTGAACCCAAACAAGGAAACAAACAAAAAAAAATTCAAATTTTAATTAAAGGGGGCATATTATGACTTTTTAAAATTAAGTTATAATAGTTATATGGCTCATATCAAAGATATCCCTCTCACATAAAAAATATCAGCAGTTTTATTCTTGACATTTTTAGTGCCTTCCAGAATAAGTCGTTTCAGGACTCAGGCACTTTCAGAAAACAAGCTGGAGCTGGCAGTGCCCCGCATCCCGCACTCAGGCTGCTATAAGCTAAGAAGCTCTGATATCCAGAAGGAGCTCACGGTAAAGCCGTTGCTCATCAAGCAGCAGTTCTCTCCACATTATAGGTGGTTCTGATCTACTTTCCCCTTTGTGACATCACAAACAGGGACTTTTTGAAACGGTTTGTTCTAGACACATAATTCCTAAACCAAAACACTGACAGAAAACAGATGAAAGGATTTCTTTCCCGTTTGGAATGTTTTAGAGGCAGCAAAGACCTACAATGCAGCATAAAAAGGATGCAAAAGGGGAGTTTTGCATTATACAGTCAGGTCCATAAATATTGGGACATCGACACAATGCTAACATTTTTGGCTCTATACACCACCACAATGGATATCAAATGAAACGAACATGATGTGCTTTAACTGCAGACTGTCAGCTTTTATTTGAGGGTATTTACATCCAAATCAGGTCAACGGTGTAGGAATTACAACAGTTTGCATATGTGTCTCCCACTTGTTAAGGGACCAAAAGTAATGGGACAATTGGCTTCTCAGCTGTTCCATGGCCAGGTGTGTGTTATTCCCTCATTATCCCAATTACAATGAGCAGATAAAAGGTCCAGAGTTCATTTCAAGTGTGCTATTCGCATTTGAAATCTGATGCTGTCAACTGTCAAGATGAGATCCAAAGAGCTGTCACTATCAGTGAAGCAAGCCATCATTAGGCTGAAGAAACAAAAGAAACCTAACAGAGAGATAGCAAAAACATTAGGTGTGGCCAAAACAACAGTTTGGAACATTCTCAAAAAGAAGGAACGCACCGGTGAGCTCAGCAACACCAAAAGACCCGGAAGACCACAGAAAACAACTGTGGTGGATGACCGATGAATCCTTTCCCTGGTGAAGAAAACACCCTTCACACTAGTTGGCCAGATCAAGAACACTCTCCAGGAGGTAGGTGTATCTGTGTCAAAGTCAACAATCAAGAGAAGACTCCACCAGTGTGAATACAGAGGGTTCACCACAAGATGTAAACCATTGGTGAGTCCCAAAAACAAGAAGGCCAGATTAGAGTTTGCCAAACTACATCTAAAAAAGCCTTCACAGTTCTGGAACAACATCCTATGGACAGATGAGACCAAGATCAACTTGTGCCAGAGTGATGGGAAGAGAAGAGTCTGGAGACGGAAGCATACCACCTCATCAGTGAAGCATGGTGCTGGAAGTGTCATGGCGTGGGCATGTATGGCTGCCAGTGGAACTGGTTCTCTTGTATTTATTGATGATGTGACTGCTGACAAAAGCAGCACAATGAATTCTGACGTGTTTCAGGCAATATAATATGCTCATATTCAGCCAAATGCCTCAGAAAACACCCTTCACAACAGTTTGCATGGACGGCGCTTCACAGTGCAGATGGACAATGACCCAAAGCATACTGCAAAAGCAACCAAAGAGTGTTTGAAGGGAAAGAAGTGGACTGTTTTGCAATGGTCAAGTCAATCACCTGACCTGAATCCGATTGAGCGTGCGTTTCACTTGCTGAAGACAAAACTGAAGGGAAAACGCCCCAGGAACAAGCAGGAACTGAAGACTGTTGCAGTAGAGGCCTGGCAGAGCATCACCAGGGATGAAACCCAACATCTGGTGATGTCTATGTGTTCCAGACTTCAGGCTGTCATTGACTGCAAAGGATTTGCAGCCAAGTATTGAAATGTATAAGTTTGATTTATGGTTCTTATTCTGTCCCATTACTTTTGGTCCCTTAACAAGTGGGAGGCACAAATGCAAACTGTTGTAATTCCTACACCTTTCACCTGATTTGGATGTAAATACCCTCAAATAAAAGCTGACAGCCTGCAGTTAAAGCACATCTTGTTGGTTTCATTTGATATCCATTGTGGTGGTGTATAGAGCTCCGGACCCCACGTGACTCTCAGTTAGTAGACGCCATATTGGCAGGTAAAAGAAGCTAAACAAACACGGATCTTAACCGTGAACGTGATCAGCTTGGATTTTACTTCGTCGGAGTTTACTTCACACTTTAAAACCGAAGAAATCGTTTTATATAGTCAGACATTAAATAGACTAAACATCTCCGACCCCTACCGTGTCCCTGGGATACTTTTTAAAAACGCCAGAAGCTGTCGGAGCGGACTTCTTACTGGACCTGGCCGGCGGAGGAGCTGGCTCAGGCGGCTGGGGAGAGGGAAGTCTGGGCCTCTCAACGCTACTGCCCCCGTAACCCGACTCCGGATATGCGGATGAAAATGGATGGACAAATAACAGATTTACATGTAAGTAGTTTAAATAGAGTGCTGTGCTGTTTGAATGTATAAACTGAACGCCAAGAGAAATCACTAGTTTGATTTTTTTCCGTGAATAAAATAAATATGTCAGGCAGGAGCGTCTCAGGATCTGTCTGGGAGCTGTCTCGGCGAGACAGATAATAGCAATCCAAAGTGCTTTTTATGTGTGATCTGACAATTGATCAACCATTGCTTAAAAATTAAATACAGCTTAGCCGGTTAATTGCTGTGATCATAAAACACGTACATGGCAGCACGCAGAAATCACGAGGCAACGTTTTACGTGACGTTTACTTGTTACTGTGAGTAATAAGACAGAAAAAGCCACGCCAAAATAAGTTTAGGAAGCCCACTAAGAATCGTAATAAAAGCATTTAAAATAAATACCATATACAGTTGAGGAAACGTTGGTTTAAGTACCTGATATGAAGCGGTCGCTGCATAAGTGAAAACCTTTACTCTCGGGATCCCACAGCTTCATTTCAGCCCGGTCACTAGCGCGTTTTACTACAATCATCCAACGTTTGCGGCGCTCCGGATCTTGGGGAATCCTGTAGATGGCTCATTCCTTATGTCGTCCGTGTCTGTTCTGCATCCTGGGGCACAACAGGAATCTACCATATTTCCCATTTGATTGAGTTTTCTGACAATAACAAATAGTCCAGCTGCCGGCTTCTGCCTGCCAAGATGGCGCCGTTTCGATTTGAACTGTTGCATGCCGGGAGAAGTGACGTCAACTCCCGGAGCTCTATAGAGCCAAAAATGTTAGCATTGTGTCGATGTCCCAATATTTATGGACCTGACTGTACATCCCTTTTAATGATTTGCTCTTTAGAAAATGAATAAAAATGGCACTCTGCTTAAATATAACATGCAGGCTCATAATTAGAGACGTTCAGTGTGTTCACCTCACTTATTAAATAATTTGATTAATAGAAAAAGCTAATTTTCTATATCATTTATAAATGGGGAACTGGCAATTTAAGTCATTTTCTTTGTTTGCACGGTTTTCTCATGCATGAACGCTACACAGAAATGGTTTGCATTTGTTCTTTTGGTCTCACCACAGCAGGTCAGGTTAGAAACACACGTTGACGTGCTGCACTCTGCAGTATCAGCACTGCATCAAAAACAGACGTGTTAGCTTGAGCTGATTCTCAGTTTTCTGCCACCATTCTGTGACATCTCAATCAAAAGACTGTTTCAGATCCAAAACTGAAGACATCACCACTGAAACTAGAAAAAAAATGAACAAATGTGGAAGAGAAAGAGAAAACGTGACAAACGAAGAACTGTGTGGTTAAGTAACACAATTTAAACAACACAAAGCACAAAGACAAGGTGGGAAAAACCAACATGTTCTCGACCGACCACTCAGCAGACCCACTAAACCTGATCTTATTTGGGATCCAGCAGGAGAGCCGCACCTCTTTCCATTTCCATCTCAGCTGAGACTTGTGCTACAGGCTTCCTTCCATTCAACAACCCACATCTGACTCAAGCAGCCACTGTGTGCATCTGCATGTGCTAACAACCAGCATGAAGTTGGATGTTTTCTGCTGGTTCCACATCTTCTACTCTACTGGCCCTGGCCTCCATTAACCTTTAATCTGCTGCTTTCCTTCAGTGGGATTATTTTATAGTCTCTCACCTTAAAAAATATAAAACAAGACTGACCAGATTTCAAAACATTTTTAGCCCATTTTTTAATCAATTTATTTAATTTAGTAGCACAGATCTACCAGCAGGAGGCAGTGTTAAAAAGGATAAAGATATAAAGAGCCTAAGAGACATCTAAGTCACTTTGCTTCACTGAGAGAGCCCCAACCTGACCGCAGTGTGGTAACAAAGTTAGTCGGTGTGGCTCAGACACATAAGTCCACAAGTGTCGACTCATTCTGCAGTAGCACATTGAAGACCAAAACTGCACTCTGGGTTTTTACTGAAACTATTTTACAGATTTTCATTTTCCAACAGAGCATCACCAAAAGCAACCGGTGAGTACGAACATCCCCGATTCACCCCCACGTTTGGAGTTTTGGGCGGAAACTTTGTGGTGAAAAAAATAAAAAGATGCTTTTGTTTTCATAGTTTAAAATCCTCCCGGCGCATTCTGGGACTGGAAATGTGTTCAGATAAAACTGGACAAAGATCAGGCAACAGTTCTTTAACATATATCATAAACCAAATGATCCAACCTGAAATCCTCCAGATACGTGTAAAGGTCCTCGTTTTTCAGAAGCTCACATCTGATCAGGTTGTCTCGAAGGCCAAACTGAGGCATGGTCAGAATCTGGGCTTTGTTGGATGTGGTGTGACTGGAGGCGCGCACCAGATCATCCCGCTCCTCTCGACTGTAGATGCTCTGACTGTAAGGGAGGGCGGAACGGTTAACCGGGAGAAGAATGTAGATTCGAAAGACAAGCTGAAGTTCCTGCTGGAAAAAAGATTGTCGTCATCCTCCTTTGATTACTCAAACCAAACCTTTAATCTGACTGAGGAGATTGTTGGTTTTGGATTTGGGCTTTTAACGACAGGGTGGAGACACACCTGCTGCAGCTGCACAGAAAAGAGTTTTCTCTCCGTAGAAAACACAAAAGAACACAGCTCTGATTGTTTCTGCATTTACGCAAAGTCAAAGTATAAACATTAGCATTTACTTCACTCTTCCAACGTCAACCATCCCTTTCTACATAAGAGTGAAACAAGAAATAAAAGTCCTTACCTCTCTGGATTGGAATACACTTTAGACTTCTGTGCAGCACTGCTAGAACCTTTTGCCTTTTCTAGAGATTTCTCTAAAAAAGAGATGAGATGGAGATAAAAAGGTTCATTTCAAGACCAAAACTGGTAAATATGTAACAAATTAGCAGAGGTGGAAAGAGTACTAACATTTCCTACTTAAGTACCAATACTTTGATAATTTTTTACTCAAGTACAAGTACTTGCCTAAATTTTTACTCAAGTAAAAGTAAAAAGTATCACACACACACACACACACACACACACACACACACACACACACACACACACACACACACACACACACACACACACACACACACACACACACACACACACACACACACAATGACTAATTTAACTACATTGAACTGCTTTTGTAATAATTTAATCTCTTATTCTGGAGTAAAATAAATAAACAAGCTAAATCATCACACATGTGTGGCATCAAGAAGCAACTTCTGAGTTCAAACACAGGGATGGAGCACAATGTTTACACCTGAACAGTATCAGGATGTTTTAACTCAAAGAGGCCTGCAGGTCTTCTGTTTGATGAGCAAACCGCTGAGAATCCGCTTGTTATGAGCGCCAGACGTTATTTTGCCGCTTCCGTGCGGAGCGGCAGGGAAACACATTTCAAACACGGAACCGAGTCTCGCTATCGAACCGAGCAGAATTCTGATGACGTCACACCGGTGCGCGAAGGTGCGGGTTCAACCCACAGGAGAGGAGGGAGAGAGGAGGTGAACAGCGAGTGGATCACGGGGACTGAACAGATGATTTTGAGCAAATGTGAACCCACCCACACGGTTTAGACGCGGCGCTCGTGCAGGCGTCTCTTTCTGTTCCGACGCTGCTACACACAATGTTTTTAATTTATTAAGCCTACAATTTATTTTGACTCAGTAACGGATATGATTTCAAATGTAGCGAATTACAAATCTTTTTTAAAAACGTACTCAAGTAAAAGTAAAAGTACAGATTTTAAAAACGACTTAAAAAGTATAAATATACAAAAAAGCTACTCAATTACAGTAACGTGAGTAAATGTAATTTGTTACTTTCCACCTCTGCAAATTAGTTTCCTCTGTATGTAACAGTATGGTTTCCTCTGACTATTGCAACTCCCTCATGTCCTTCACATCCCAAATCTCAAATATTCACCACCAACTCCACGCTACTAGAGGTCTTCAATCAGAAGTTGATCCCATCCTGACAACTACAAGTCATTTATTCTCAAGTTTCAGTCTCCCCTCTGCAACGGAGATATCAAATTTCATTAGGGAATCTAAATCATCCACCTGTCAGCTTGACCCTCTCCCCACAGTGCTACTTAAAGCTTGTCTTCCATCATTGGTTCCTCTCATATCTACTATCATATACTCTTCCCTCAGTACCGGAGTTGTTCCTACAGCATTAAAAACTGCCATTATCACTCTGATTCTCAAAAAGCCCGATGCGGATCCCACCAACTTCGTCCTATATCTAAATTACCATTTATCTCCAAAACCCTTGAAAAAATTGTTGCTTCTCAGCTTCACTCTTACCTCAATTCTCATAGTCTATAACAATTCCAATCTGGTTTCAGACCCCAACACAGCACGGAGACAGCACTGGTAAAAATCACTAATGATCTTCTAATGGCAGCAACGATTTTGGAAAATAATATAATTGCGAATTTTTTTCTTCAATATTGCAATTGCGATTTAATTCACAATTATTTTCTCAAGGGGCTTTTCTCAAGATGGCCTGAGTAGGGCTGAATGATTAATTGCATATGCAATTAAATTGCAATGTGACAAAAGACAAATCTTGTATTTGTATAAAGACAACATCTTGTATTTGAAGGTGCAATGCTTTGCAGCCAGGAGCACATCCCTTGAAGGAGAATAGGTATTAGCATCAACTGTGAAAATTTATTTGCAGGAAAGAAGTGTGTCCCATTTATTGAAGTCTTTTGTGTTTAGAGTTTTTGACGTCTTGTCCATGCAGAGCTCCCGTAGTTCAGCTACATTCACAGCTGCTAGCCAAAACTCAGTTTTCTAGCTTTACTAAAATATCTGTCTGTACTTATTTGATTAATGGCAGTTTTTACTTTTTATTAGACTCCAAATGTAATAATTTGGCACGTTCTTAATTCGTAATTTGTAAGAATCTATTCAGCGATAATAGCATTAGCATCCCTATGGGTTTTTCAATGTATATTAGCATTGTGCTAACCACTCGCTGCCAGTATTAACGCAGACTTTGTGATTAGAAAATCTTCTTTTGACACATTGCAATTTAATTGCATATGCAATTAATCATTCAGCCCTACTCAGGCCATCTCTCCATTCTAGTTCTACTAGATCTCAGTGTTGCATTTGACACCATTTCTCATGACATACTTCTCAAAAGATTAGCATCTATCGGCATTAGTCACACACCCCTAGCCTGGTTCACCTCATACATATCGGATCGTATTCAGTTCATTCAACTTCAATCTCACTCTTCTAGTCCATCCCCGGTTACAGCAGGGGTTCCCCAAGGCTCGGTTCTAGGCCCTCTCTTAGTCTTATTCATCATCTATTTGCTCCCCCTTGGTTACATTTTCTGCAAATACAATGTCGATTTTCACTGTTATGCTGATGACACCCAGCTGTACATTTCCTCCAATCCAAATGCATCCCTTCCACTAATCTCCCTCTTTAACTGTCTATCTGATATTAGATCTTGGCTCTCTCATAATCTACTTAAACCAAACCGCAATAAAACTGAACTCCTACTCATTGGCACAGCTTCTTTTTTTAAAAATTCTCCCATTTTCTCTATCAATATAGATGATTCCACAGTCCACCCATCTTTACAGGCAAAATGTCTTGGTGTCATACTAGATGGTACACTTTCATTCCAATCTCACATTAACCATGCTATTCAGGTAGCATATTTCCATCTTCGCAATATCAACAGACCTAGACTTTAGAATGTTTCGAATTTTTATGTATCTCATTTGTTCTTATTGTTCTATCAACTTCTGTTGTTTTTATTGTTTTTATCTTTGTTTAATTGTAAGGCGACCTTGGGTTTGAGAAAGGCACCATCAAATAAAATGTGTTATTATTATTATTATTATAAATTGGAATAAAAATTATGCATAATGAAACAAACAAGTCCATGTCAACAATGCAAAGTCAGGACTCTATCTTTGGCTAACTGAGGTCTTTTTTGCACTTGGTAACAGTGAGTACATCTTAAGTAGCTGGACTTTAAAGACCGAGTGTGAGGTTGGAGGCAGCTTGGGGCCTGTGTCCGGCAGCACACACAGATGGCTCCACTGAAAGTGGGAAACAAGCATTTCAGGTGCAAATCTTAAGTTCACAAAGGAATTCACAGACTACCACCTTAATCTGACCCATAAGAACCCAAAAGAAGACGACGCAGTAACTGAACACGATTCTAGCTAACCAACTAAAACCATACCAGCCTCTCAGAAATGTGGCGACAACACACATTTGTGTACTGATTTGACTGTGTGCACATGGCAACAGACACACACCCACACACACAAATGATGCTGTTTAATCAGAAGTTTTTATTGCTATATGTGTGCAAAGTCACAACATTAGGAAATTGCTGCGGTATTTTGGTGCAGAAGGTAAGATGGAAAAGCCAGACTAAATAAATGTATTATTTAGTCTGGCTACGCTCCATTGACGGCTCTCGGTTGTGGGGCGGGTTCTACCGTTGTCTTTCAAATGATCTCCGGATTCCACTGGACAATGAATGTGACATACTCTTGTTTCACTCTGTTGCATCATCCCACCCACCAGGCATATAGAGTGCCCTGATTGGCCCACAAAGCAGATAAAGCTCTGTGATTTGTTCACTAAGCAGATAGAGGTTCCAGCGGAGCGTTGCTAGACCAAACTTTGCAAAGCAAGAATTTGGTCTAGTTCACTAGGCTAGTATATTGGCTCATGTGATACATAAAAATTGATAAATATCAGCTGACACTGGTTTATTCCTGGAATCTATGCAATCACCCATGTCAAAATGGGAGACATGATCCTAAAATATGGTTTAAAAAGAATGAATGTTTCAGTGAAGGCACCAGATGTGCTTTACATAACAGGTTGGCTTGGGGACCTGCGTCTGTTGATTATGTCAGACTACGGCAATTAAACTAGGACAAATTGGTTTAATTGGTTTTGCCATTGAGCAGCAGCAGCTCAGGAGGTAGAATGCGCTGTAAAGCAACTGGAAAGTTGGAGGTTCAATCCTGGCTCCCACCAGAGAATACTGCTGTTGTGTCTTTGGGCAAGACACGTTACCTGCCTTGCATGCTGGTGGTGGTCGGAGGGACCGGTTGAGACAGTGTTCGGCAGTCTCGCTTCCGTCAGCGTGCCCCAGGGCAGCTGTAGCTACATTGTAGCTAATCATCACCAGCGTTTGAATGTGTGTGTGTGTGAAAGGATGGACGACTGATTGTGTTGTGAAGTGCCTCGGGGGGTTGTAGAACTCTAAGAAGGCACTATACAAAATACAGGCCACTTACCATTCTGTGCATTACCAACAAGTGCAATCCAACACTTTTTTGTTTAATGAAGAAACTATGCTTTTCTGAAGCAAAAACCAATTAGAAATAACGAGTAAGACAAAGATCCATTCAACAACCTGACCGAAACTTTGCTCCTGGTGCGGTAAAGTCCAGCCCGTCATCTAAGTGAGAAAACTTTCAGCAAACTGTGAAGTTCACTTATTACTGCTGTAGTTTAAAATTAGACATCACAATGTAGAAACAGACACCCCACAAGGACAACCAAACCGAAAAAAGTACTCCTCAATGGCACATAAGGAAAAAAGCTGATGAAGAACATACCAGCTTTTGGTATAACGGACTACATCCTAGGTTCTATAAAGGTACTATTTATCTGTTATTACATGGATTACTTCACATCTCTGCATTTGAGCAGCTAAACTTATTTTAAACCACAACGGCGGAAAGTTGCATGAAGTCTAGCTGCTGCTTCACACGCCCATGTGACTTTATCAGCGGTTCAATCAGTCAGTCAGCAAAAACTGTCCATTTTATCAGCTCTGCGCGCTCAGTATTAAAACATTCACGTGTATTTTTCACTACAACTGCACAAAGTTCAACGTTACACAACTCCCCACGACTCACAACCTGGCATTTTATTAGCTAAACTGCGCTTTTCCATTGCTGTGGCCGACGGACCTTCAGGGGATGAATAAATAAGACTGGTTTGATTAACCGGTAAAGCAGACAGGAATGAACAGTCAGCTAGAGACGAAGAAGAAAAGTTTGGAGGAGTTTAGCTAAGATTCTAACTTAGCTAAGAGCTCAAATATGAACGCACTGCTATGAAAAAAAAGAAAGGAGATAAAATCGGAAAATGTATGTACGTTTTCTAAATGTTATTAAATAAATATTCCATTAAAATGTGTGCATCAACAGGTGTGTCCCCACTGCGATTTAATAAACATCCATAGCCGCTAGACACGGACGTATGAAACTAAAGCGTCTGTATTATTAAGGAACAATTGTTAAACATAAATGCAGCTCCGAAGACATAAATTAAACGACACGGTTCCGTTTAACTAGTCCAGAAAAGTCCCCAGCTAATTATGCTAAATGTAGCTCTATTTATTAGCTTTAGCCAGAGAAGCTAGCTAATCTCAGCACTCCGCTCCCTCCGCGTTTTCCACTTCCTGCGCCTCTCCCTGACCAGCTAAGCACCGTAGGAATGGATTTCATACCAGAGTCTCTCATCACGCCAGACATCTCCATGCTGCGCTTCCACGTATTCTGTGCAGAAGATCTGCGTCGTTTCAGACCTGCCCATGCTAATGCTACGATAGGGGGAGTTTCACCGCCGAGCCAAGCTTCCTGCTGCAGGAGCACTCTGGAAATACCTCATTACGCCGATGTCACGTTAGGAATCCATGCTGGTGAAGGAAAACGTGTGAGGAGCATAGAAAGCGATGCACCATCTAACCAGCCTACTCAGGTCACGGTACAATGGCGCGCAGCTGTGTGCGGTCATTTGTGTTTGTTTTGCATAAACAACAAACCAGCATGGCTCGTCATGCAAAAACACAGTTTCCTCATGAAAGACACCAGTGAACAGAAAGTACACAAACGCATTGTGCACTTGATTATTCTCACAGTTCACTCAAATAAAAATACAAACAGATGTTAGATTTCAGCAGTGACAGAAAAGCACCCATTAATAACTCAGCTGCAGGTTGAACCTGTTGCACTTACAGGAAGTGCTATTCTGAAATTTCACAGCTTTTATGAAGCAACGCCAAAACAGTATGCCACATCACGCTGCTCTGATGCTAGAAGGCCTGCAGCAGTTTCATATTTTACAGTCCCATTGAGACACCGGCAGTGAGGTTTTTCAAATAATAACAGTAAAGAAAGCGCTGACTGACCTATTTTCTGGTGCTGGTTGTTTTTATTAGGTTTGCCCAGGGGCGCAATGGCTTGTTTTACAGCTTTTTGGCTTGTGGTGGATTTCTTGTACTTGTTGATCCACACAAATCTAGGTACCTGTGTGGGAAACCTGCAAACATCTGAAGAGGAGTTGAAGAAATTAGACTTCAGCCATCGGAGAAAGCTTTCTGCTATGAAGCTAGTGAGCGAGCTTCTGGGGAATGTGACACATCCAGCACAGTTTCTCAACCTTTCAAATACCTTTCTCTTTTGTTCTTATTTATCTTATGTTTACTTGTATGATGTAAACACGTTTACATGTTCAGAACATGTGCACCAACAAAACTTAATGTGTGTGACGTAAGCGTGTGTCTGAGATGTCTACCTCCTTTATGAGAGCTGTCTTTCATGCAAATGCAATGGCAATTTTGTTGTCTACATGTACAATATCAATAAAACAATCTTTCAAATGTCCAATTTGTTAAGAACAGTGGTGCCTCCAAGGATTTGCCAGGAATTTTCCACGGGGTAGCCAGGGGGGCCATGGCCACCCCTTGGAAAATTACTGGCAAGCCCTCTGATCCGCCCCCTAGAGAAGACCCACCCACCTTAATAAACCATTCATATTCACACAAAACATTATTTCTGTATTAGGATACAAAGGCAAAAGCCAAAAAATAAATATGTAACTATGAGCAAATAATCTGAATTTAAATAGATGTAGTTGAGGCTCACCCATCTAAAAAGAAGTATAAATACCAATAGCTTCTGTGCATAATTTGTCAAGACCACAACAGGCTAAATGAACTGTGCTAAAATGCAAAATAATACAATTTGTAACAATAATTAAAACAAAATTTTCTAATGTATTTTTTTCTGAATGTTTCTCAAAGTTGAGGGAAATGTGATGGATGCTTATTGTTTTTTAAAGAGCAAGTAACGTCTAAATTAACTTTTTTTTTTGCTGATGAACTGTATAAATGAGTGTCTAATTGTGTTTTAAATGTGTGTATTCATTATTTTAGCATTTTGGTGTATTTTCTTTAAAAATTCTGCCTAAATACCACAGTATAGCGCCACCTTCAGCTTAAAACATAGAATTTGAGTCATTTTGAATAAATTTTAGCCAATGGCTAAAGAGTAAGATGTAAACCAGTAGAGTACTACGTAGCAGCTCTGTGTCAAAGTTATAAAAGCATCGAGCGTGAAAAAGAGAAGGGAAGTCCGACATGATCGGCCTACCAATAATTACATCGATATTGGAAATTAAGAGTCAGACAATATTGGTATATCAGTTATTGGTTAAAAAAAAAAGCCAATATCGAAAAGCCCTTAAAAAAACTGTAAAGGAGGAACGTAATGCATCACCACAGGTGAAACACTCCCAGCGTTACCGGGACTAAATTGGTGTGCCACCCCAAACATTTGACTGGCCCCCTCATGAAAAGCTTTTGGGGGCACCACTGGTTCAGAATAACCCAAAGCAGAATGTAAACAACCAGTTCAATATAAGTAAGGAGCAGGAAGTCTTCTTGTTTCCTAAACAGCAGCAGTGAGACACTAACAGAATGAAATAGCACAGATTGGCTGCATTTCAACCTACCACTCCACGCTTTGTTGACTTCACCAAGAAAAAGGCGCGAGTGAGACCCAAAAGGAAGTTTGAGCTCTAACTCTTCGTCCTTGTAGCTTATTCTCACTCTGGTGTCTGCACCTACAATCAGATAACGAGTTGGTTTCTCGTGAGGCGGACTAGTTGTGTATCCAATTACGACTGAACTGGGATAGAAAGGAGGTCAGCTCACCCACAACGACAAGCTGCTCTGGTGAGGAAACTGAAAAGAGTGCAGACTGAGGGTTATGTTGCATCAGAGAAGTTATTGTCTTGTTTTAAAGGACAATAACTGCTGTAAATATCTACAAATGCAGAGCTTCATTCACTTAAGTTACAGGAAATTTTCCAAATGCTGTTTACCTTCAACAACAGCAAAATCAAGAGAGATGGGTATAATCTCCTGAAGTGATACGTCATCAGCTGTGATAGCCATTCGTCGGTGGGCATAAATGAAGATTCTGCAATTTAGAGAAACACTTTATAGTCTTTGCTCTGAATTTGTATTTATCTGAAGTGCCTGTGCACATTAAATAATATCTGGGCATAGTAAATAAAAGAGAAAAACATGTAAAACTCCGGACAAGGTTGTTTTCATCTCCCCTTTCCACATTATATGTAAGCAAATGTCAGGAAGCTCTGTTACTTTGCATAAGCAGTCAAAACGTACGCATGTTCCTTTCCAGATTCCACCAATCCCAGCAGCCGGCTCTCCGGGATATCGTCAAAGAAGACGTCACACTGAACAGCATGTTGACAGATCACTTAAGGAAATGATAAAATAGATCTTTGTCATCATAAATGTTGGGAAAACCTAAATTTGCAGTTTTGGCTTGCTTTTAGCACCCCCTAGTGTCCGTTTTAAACCACTGTCGTAAAAACAAAACTGAAACTCTCCTCCTCGCTGTGAACTTGTGTTTTTAACACTTAATCTATTGGCTGAAATGTCTCCTTGGCCTTTATTAGTTTCTGCAGAAATGATTCATCACTAAATCAAACAAATCAGCGGTGTACACGATCTAAAACATGCATGAATCATGTCTCTGAGCTCTCACGATTCAGAAAACTCCCCATGTTGACTCTTGTTTGACTCCCATTGTGGTCAGACTTTTTTATTTTTAAGCTTCCTCAGATAAATGTTTTCTTTGTCTCTTCTGAGGCAAATCGGGATGCCCCAGCGTGCATAGGCGTCATTTTAACCGGGGACGCCGGGGACATGTCCCCGGCAAAATTTGTGATTGGCAGCTGTGTCCCCCCCACTTTCAAAAACGCCTGCAGATGAGGATTTTTGTTTTACCAGCTCAGATCTTATACCAGGGGTCGGCAACCTATTCCCATCAAAGAGCCATTATTACCCGTTTCCCACAGTAATTTTAGACGGACCTTAATAAGCAGTGACTTAAGTGAAGCAGGCAGGTCGCGCTAGAAAATTTAGTTTAAAAAGACGTCATAAATGTGTTCCCCCGTCATTTTTATTTATAAAATATGAAGTAAAAACTCACAATTTAATTTACATTCATTCGTCATTAATATGTAGTCTACACCCGTGCGTTAAGTGGACCATCTTCCAGTAAAAGCAAAGCATCCAGCCCACCTCTCCAAATGCGTAAAATGTGCATCAGCCGCTAGTTAGGCGCGTCGCGCGCACCGTTAGCTGATCGGCCCAGACAAGAGCAGAGCAAATAGAGAAAGAATAGAGGATAATTGTGTCTGGATGTGGATGGAGATTACATTTTACAGCAGCCTGATCATCATTTAAATACGTAAACCATCACCTGTCTTCTAGTCCACGCTATCAGCATTATTTTAATTGGTGTGTGTGTGTGTGTGTGTGTGTGTGTGTGTGTGTGTGTGTGTGTGTGTGTGTGTGTGTGTGTGTGTGTTTGTTTGTTTTCCACTTCAAACACTGGTCTAACCAACCTGACCAGCGTGTCCAGTAACACATTAATGTTAGAATTAAACAGTTTCACTTCATGTAGGCTAGGAACGTTTCACCTGCCGTGGCCCGACCGCTTCTGCTCCACATTAACTTTGTGCGTGATCAAATGTCTCTACGCGTCATGCGTCTCCATATTAGAGACGGAAACAAGCGCTGTTCAGCCAAAGTTTCATAATTTCATAAAAAGAACATTTTTCCAAGTGACACATCCCTCAGAGAGACCGGGTTTCCAGACCGCTTCAGTGGGAGGAAATCTTGTCGCATGTGGTTCTGCACTGCGCTGCGAACCCCAGATCTTCAGCTCACTGTGCACCGTGGGCGCTCCGAGCCGCGCTGAACACATGTCCAGTATAAAGCTCTGATGTTCTGATGGGAATATTTTACCTCCGCGATGTGCATTAACGATTAAAATGTCAGCTCATCCATGCGCATCAGTGTGCGTCGGGGTAATTCTTTCAAACCAAGCAACATCCTTGAGTTCATCTGTCAAAATAAACAGTCGAATGGAAATATCTGTAACCTGCCGTTTAACTGTTTTGCCTTCCTGTGAAGATTGTTGCAAAGAGAAACAATTAAACTTGATTAACCCCAGAGCCACCCAGAGAACCAGAGTGCATGCGGGAAGGTTCCTCCCACTGAAGCGAGTGTTTTCCAAACCCGGTCTCTCAGAGAGACTTGTCACTTAGAAAATGTTCCCTGATGATGAAACTTTGGCTGAATAGTGCTTGTTCCTGTCTCCAATGTGGCGACACATCCAGGAGCCGTCTGAGGAGAATCCCAGAATCTCACATCCTCGTCAGCTCAGAAAGCGCCTATATGATTACGCACAAGCGTGACGCGCCAACCCGGTCTCACAGTAAGACCGGGTTGGACCTGTTCAGGTTTACGCAGACAATCTTTACATTTAGAATTGGCATACAGATGTAAAATTAATGCAGTAAAATATAAAGCATTTTATTTAAATATCCATTCATTATTTTATAAGCACAGAGAGCCGCATCAGATGGATGGAAGAGCCGCATGCGGCTCCAGAGCCGCGGGGTGCCGACCCCTGTGCTAGCCTACTTTATTGTCCCCAGCAATTTTTAAACCCCACTCAAGTGTATAGTTATTGTCCCCAGCAATTCTGAAAACAAACTGACGCCCTTGCCAGCGTGTCAGGAAATGACGATCAGGGACAAACTGCTGACACAGCGTCCCAGAGTGTCGGTATCCGATGCCGGTGGTGAGACGGACATTAGTGAACTACTTAAACTTCCCCTCACCCCAATCTTAACCTTAAGGTCACAGTTTATGGACCTTAAGATTAGGACTGGGGTGAGGGGAAGGTTAAATAGTCAAATAATGTCCGCGTGACCGTGCGCGTCAAACAGTGATGCCAGCGGAGCCACGTAACCCAGCTTGTCCTTGCTCGTCGTCTCCTGACGCGCTGGGGCATCCCAAATCGTCACATATTGAGGTTTGGTCACACGTGTCATATTTTGACGCCTTGGGTGTGAGAATGCCACACACCTGACTTAAATTAATGAGTGATCAACAGGCATCTGCAGCACTTGGTGTCCTACCGAGGATGCAAATCAGGTGTGCTGAAGCAGAGACATGGAAAACATACAGGTCAGTGTGCCGAGGACCAGGGTTGGGAAACAGTGGCTTAGTGAGCCTTTATAATACATTATTTAATTATTGGGGGGCAAATTTAACTTCATTTAAACACTCAGTAGAATTGCTATGCTGCTATTACATTAAGATTCCAAGAAATAATTAGTTTTAAGCTCTGTTGGTGGTTTCTTCCTGTTAGAGGGTGTTTTCCTCTCCACTGTTGCCTCATGCTTGTTTACTACTGCTGAAAAGTCTCTGACTCCGTGTTGGGTTTCCTTACATAGGAAACTTTCATCTAATTGACACAATGAACTGAACTCAATTGAAATGTTTACTTTGTGAAGTGCTATGAGAGGACTTCTGTGATTTGGCGCTGTACATAAACAGAATAAAGTGATGTTTCATAAAATCATTCATATTTTGCAACACCAACACAGTTTTACCACGAAATAAGCATTTATGTTTTTCAAACTAATTTTATTTTATTCTAAATCTTCTGTCTGATTTTTATTCTTTATTCTCACTCCAAAATCTGGAAGTAAGCTGATGAAACTGAGTTGCCACCTTGTGGAGGATATGTGTTACTAGAGCTCTATGAATAGGCTACTTTAGGTGGTGGTTGCTGACCAAACCCGTTTTTTTGCAGTAAATTCTGCAAACTTTGAAAGTTCTTCCTGGACCAAAAAAGTAGGTAAAGGGTTAGGGTTAACCAGCCAGCCAACCAGGCCTCCACCTGGACTCTGCTTCAGCAGAAATGATTATTTATTAGTTTTTTTACTTTGAATCTGGTCATAAACCAAGGCAAAGGATACTACCACGCAGTTTTCTTCCCTCTCCAAAGTTTCTTGGATTGCGACCGACTGATCCATGCTGGAAGCTTGAGACAGTTAGAGCAGACCTCCTCCACCCCTAAAAATAGAATAAATAAATAAAAATAAAAATCCCAGCGGAGGAGTTCCGACTGACCCAGTTGCTTCTCCTTCACTAAGTACGCTGCAGCAGCCGGAGGAGCGGCCCAGCATGCTCTACGCGGATCGACATTTTCCCCTTCGGTCCAGATGTTTTTTCTTGCTTCTTTCCCTGCTGATCCAGCCAGACTCGCGCGCGTGCTGCCACGCACTCATCTGGATCGCTCGTGCTAAACGGAGTGACGTCATAGCGGGCGCCGTCGGTCAGAGACCGGGCAGGGGCGCCTCCAGAAATTTTTGATAGGGGTGGCCAGATGGGGCCAAAGACATTTTTGGGGTGGCACACCAAATTGGTCCTTGTGGTAACTCCGGGAGAGTTTAGCCTGTGGCAATGAGTTGTATTGCTTCTTTATTTGTTTTTATTTAAAAAAAAAACAGTATGTATCCAAAAACTTTAACTTCAATTTTACAAACACAGACATTTCAGGAAAATAAAATTCAGTTATTTAAAATGTTATTTCACATTTTATTTTAAAATGTATTTTTTGAGTTTAATTCACCTGCTGCTGTGTTCACAAAAAACTATGGAGATAAAACCTTTTTTTTTCAGGGATGCATGGATTGCCATAAAGAGTGACCTTGTGATACCGATACCGGTAAAAATTACCGATACCAATGCAGTTGCTTGAAAATGGCTTCACTGTAACTTGTCATTTCTGTTCACCTAATATATTAGTTTTGTGATGATTTCTAATAATATATTTTACTTTTTATCTACCAGTATTTTCCTGTGTAAAGCAGAGAAGAAATCTGTATTCCAAATCACTGCATTTTTTTTGTGTGGTAGAAGTATCGGTTTCGGTAATCGGTATCGGCAAGTACCCAGACCCAAGTATCGGCATGGTATCGGTTTGCAAAAAAGGGTATCGTTGCATCCCTACTTTTTTTTAATGGCGAGCTGCAGAAACATGTGTAATTTTTATTGTCTGATTATTTCTTTACTCAATTGTATTATTTAAATTTTTTTTTTCAATTATGTCTTGAATAAAACAGATCAATTTATGGTTTGACTGAACATTAATATTATTTATTCACACTGGCTTTTCCTGGGGGTGGGGGTGGGGGGGCAATGTAGCTGGGAGTTTGGAATGGATTTGTGACCCAAAAGGACTAGTTTTTTATTCAATGTTGTGTTATTCACATGTAAAATTCTGTTTTTATAACTCAGAAGTTCAATTCTAACTTAATTACATTTGAATGGGTATGAATTCTCACCACTGAGATAAATAATAATAAAAAAGATCTCATAATTATGAGGTGGTATCTCATAATTAAAAAATGTATGTGACTATGGTATAATTATGAGATAGCTAAATTATAATTATGAGATTGTCATGAAGTGGAGTTGGTTGCAATCGGACCCAATTGCAGGTGAGACCAATAAACACTTGAGAGGGAAGACAAGCAGACAGTGACAGAGATTTTATCTAACAATATGAGATAGTATCTCCTAAGCATTACTGAGCTATCTCATAATTATGAGATACTCGCCACTGATTTAAAAAAGATGTAATTATGAGATAGTATCTCATAATAATGAGTTTAAGATTTTTTAATCAAAGTGGTGGGAATGAGCTTCCATAATAATGGGCATTCATAAGTAGCAAAAGATTTTAGATTATGATGCAACTGTTTGGGGCTGAAGGGTAATTCCACCTAAAAAAAATTTTTTTGATCCAGTCTAGGTAATTTTTGAATGGACCAGATCTACTGTGGTCCCGTTCCCATGAAAACATAAAAACAAATAAACAAAACCACTAAAATGTCCCTTTATGGAAGTTTTGATGATATAGGAATAGAATTACATTTAAGTAGAATTAGAGTTTCACAAAATCAGTTCAATTTTTACTTTAGAATAACTGATTACATCTAAATATTGTAGTTTTTTATTTTTTAATAGAGCTGATCCAAAATCGTCCAGGTGGCAACATTTCAGTAGTTAGTATGCATCGTGAAAAAAAAAATCACATTTACACCAATGGAGGAAGGATTGTCCTGCAACAAAAGTGACTTGTGTTGAAAAGCACCTTACCAGTGGTCATAATGTTATGGCTAAATAACCAACAAAAACAAATCTGTAAAATGTATACAACAGGAGATTTCAACAGGTTTATAGGATTTATTTTTTGTACTGTACACAAAGTGAGAATAAATTGACAATTATTTTACTTAATTTATGACTGACATGACACTAATTTACCATAAAATATACCTGGAAAACTACACAGTATAGACAGTAAATTCAGGAAGCCGAGAGTACTGAATTGCATGTTGCACAGAGGCTTCCTGTTGCTGTTTGTGTTACAAATAAGAGTTAAATCTGCACACATTCAATGGTAATTGTGTGGTTGCATCTGCAGAAACTGAACAATTTTACGGTTATTTTATCTGAAACATGAAATAAGACATAACCATTATTTAAATCATGCATTTGAAAACAAACAATGACAAAACCCCTCAAACCCTTTAAGTATATTATTTATAGGTGGCATTCAAAGATGGGAACTGTTAAATGAGGTTGCTTCAGGTGTTTTTCATGTATTTAGAGAAACTTCCTTGAAAGGAAAAAGAATATGCAAATCAAGACAAAACAACACAACCAGCTGTGAAATGAATGTAATTCAGATTTTTTTTCATGCAACCATGACTGCAAATCAGCAGTACATACATGTGGAAATGTGTTGACCTCTCAGTAGCTTCTCTTCTGGAGAGACACAAAGCTCTAATTATAAACATCTTCTGAGCGGGTGCATGCTCCTTCTCTCACAGCAACAAAGCCATTGCAAGCAGGCTGAGGATGGAAACGAGCAACTCCGTGTGCAGGTGGGGTCCTCTGGTGGCGGAGGAGAAGACGTTCACCGAGCCGTCCAGCTTCAGGCAGGAGGTAGTGGAGGCCTTGCAACACTCCTGAACACACGGAGGTTGTGTCGTGCCCTGGCAGGTGGTCAGACCGGTGCAGTTGGTGCAACCTGCTGTCCACGATGCGGCGGCATTCACCAGCTGCTTCTGCAACTAAGAGACATGGGAAGTGAGAAACGTTATTTACAGCATGTTAAAGAAAACAGATGCAGAAGGTGTGAGTTCTGGTGTTTATCCAAAAGAGACAAGGAGAGGAAAGATAATTAATTAACTAAATCCTGATTCATAAATAATCAGCCTAGATGTCTCGGTGAGATTAACGTAAGCTTGTGTTGCTGGTTGTTTTATTTTATGGATTCATTCATGTTTAATTGAGTTAAGCCTAAGCGTCGGGACGGACGCACGCAACGCCATTATCCGCCCTTGCGAGCCTGCTGGAGAGCCCCCGCAAGGACGGACGGAGTCGAGCTCTCTTTTCTAAACATCCGGAGAAGCTTGAAGAATACCTCGCGAAACAACTCTAAAAATATGAATGTTTAATTCCCCCGTGATCGGAGGAGTGAAAAGATACGCAGCAAGCGTTTTATTTGTGGACGGAAATGACAGGAAACGTGGGTTTAGAGGCGGCGAGTGCATAAAGAGGGGGAGGAGAATGAGAGAAACATTTGTATGGTTAAAAAGTTTCTTAAATACAAAAAAATACAATATAAACACACTATCTTGGACCGGATACATGACAGGATACCACAGAACAGCGCTACGCCCTCTGTTGTCCTGGTGGGGAATTGCTTTGCAACACCCCCCAGGAGACGGAGAAGCATGAGGGCGAAATGTCTCCGTCCGTGCGTGTCTCTCCCTTTTGGAGCTGAAGGAGAAGTATAAATTAGGCTTTACTCCAATTGATTTTCTAACACTGGGCTCTAAACTGACACAAAACCAAAGACGTTGTACTTGTTTAGAGGAGATAGCGTCTTTTCATGTCATTTATAGTTTATTTCATAAAATCAAGCAATTATAGAGTCCAGAAAACAATTCACTTTGGTCTAGGCTGCATTCAGACTAGCTGTTAGCTTATCAATCCTGTAGGCAATAAACAAAAACCATCAAGGATGAGATCATACCCATTAACATGTTTCACGTAGAAACACGTAAAAAACAGCCCAAAGCTACAATAATGGCTTTAACGCGAAAGAGTTTGTGACATTTTACTAGAACATTCTTTATGAAGCTTCTTACCTGACAATGAGGCTGTGCAGAGGTGCATGCTTGAAGTGTGGTCTTGAAGGCAGAGTAACAACCATCACCAGTGCAGGTTCCTGTGCTGCACTGGTTTTGCTGAACAAAGAAACAAACGTCTTAATTTTACGAGACTTCAAATCTCAATCTCTGACAAAGTTGAACTCGTTTTTAATTGATTACCATAAATTCTCAGAATATTAGATTTTAAAATGAACATAATAGATTTTGGCCTTTACATTGTCTGCTGGTGCTAAGGTTGTTGTGGAGGAAGACTGGGTGGCTTTTGTTGTTGATGTCGTTGCCGCTGCCGCTGAAAAGATTCAAGCAAAGCATCAAACGTTAGCGAAAGTTGACACAAAAGTGAACTGTGAAGGAGTTTAACCCTCCCACTGTCCTATTGGGTGACCCCGCCAGGAAAGTTCCCATTGAGCAGGACTGATAGTTTATCTTGTGAGGTCTATGGGGGCAGGGGTGAGGAGTGAGCACCACCTTACCCCTGCCACGTGGACCTCAAGGGATGAACCAGTAACCCTGCTCAATGGTCAACTTTCCTGGCGGGGTCACCCAATTGGACAGTGGGAGGATTAAGGAAATAGCTGTAAATGAAACACGCATGTATTAAATGTGAGAATAATGGTTTATTTTTCACTTGTGGTTAGGGTTGCATTCATGGATTCAAAGTTGCTCCTGAGGCACCCGGTAGAGTTGCAGCAGTTCACGGAGCAGTTGGTCTGGGTGGCGTTGGTGCACCTTTCTGCACAAGAGGCGCTGCAGCCTACGCTGTACCACATATCTTTAGTCTTCAACAGCTGATCCGTTGTGCAATGACAACATATTTTGGTAAAAGTCAGTTAATTTAAAAGAAACCCAAGGCATTAAGATGCATTTTGTTCTGAGATTTTTTTTCTCTTTTACCTGACAATACGCAGCAGTACACCTGGTTGCATTCTGATTCATGTACATCCAGTAGCACTCAGAGGAGAAGCACGAGAACGAATGGCAATGAAGATGTGTCTGAGAAAATTTCAAGGCACATAAGAAATGTCACACAATAAAAAATTAAGCAAAAAATATCCAGAAACGTCCCTCCATCTGCTTTTTACACCCGCTTATTTACACAGGGTCACGGGGGGCTGGTGCCTGTCTCCAGCAGTCTCTGGGCAAACAGGTGGGGTACACCCTGGACAGGTTGCAAATCCATTGCAGGACAAAACATAGACACACAGGATAGACATGCATGCACACACACACCTAAGGACGAATTAGAGAGACCAATCAACCTGATGGCTTTATCTTTGGACTGTGGGAGTGCCCAGGGAGAACTCACGCATGCACAGGGAGAACATGCAAACTCCATGCAGAAAAACCCCAGGCCAGGATTTGAACCCGTGACCTTCTTGCTGCAGGGCAACTGTGCTAACCACTGCGCCACTGTGCAGGCCATCAAGAAACATCCATCCATCCATCCAATTGCAGCCGCTTATCCGGAGTCGGTTCGCGAGGACAGCAGCCTAAGCCGAGAGGCCCAGACTTCCCTCTCCCCTGCTACTTGGGCCAGCTCTCCCCCAGGCCAGTTCCCTGGCCAGCCGAGAGATATAGTCCCTCCAGAGTGTCCTGGGTCTTCCCTTGGGTCTCTTACCAGTTGGACGTGCCCAGAACACCTCACCAAGGAGGCGTCCAGGAAGCACCCTGACCAGATGCCCAAGCCACCTCAGCTGGCTGGAAACATATACAACCATGTTGTTCTCTAATTATTAAACTTGCCATGTTCATTGAAGTGCTGTTGGACATAGTTCCATCTGTAAAGAAAAAAAAAGTTATAAGCAGATATTTAATGAAAAATGCAATGAAAATAATAATAATAATACAAAAATGTGTTTAATTTACATGATAAAACAAAGCCAGGTAAGAAAATGAAGTGTTTTACTATAAAATAAAGAAAGAAAAAAATCATACTAGCAGTCGAGTTCATGGTGGGAAAAGTCATCATTGTGTTGGAACTCCCTGAAAAAGAAACAAAAAAGTTTGTTTTGGTTTGTTCTGGAACAAAGGGGAACAATCATCCAGTGAAGCCAATGAGGAAGTGATAAAAATTGCAGTTTCCCATCATCCTCTAGGGCCTGGCTCCAGAAAGGAGCAAGTTCCCATTGACTCCCATGTTAAAAATGTCGACTTCACAGAAGTAAATATATTTACAGCCTGGTTCAAAAAACATTTTAGGTTCAAAAGGTCAAGTTTACCATTGTGACAAGTCTGAGGGGGTGGAGTGTTTTTGTAACTTATCCAGGATTCATATTATGGGGCGCTAGAGGTAGCCCGGCTCGGCTCCCCTAAAAGGGTGATGACTGTAGATAGCCTAGCAAGCCATCCTATACATGTAAATGTATTGCCACGAACTATTGAAACGGCTCACTCGTAGTCGCGGAATTTATTATGTCCATCAAACGGTCTCTGCACACAGTTGGACAGCGCTAGGACCAATCGGAGCAATGAACAGCGTGACATACTTACCTCTACGAGTGGGCACTCCATAAACCACAGAAGTAGAAGCAAATACATGATTTTTTTTTTTTTCAAATAAATGACCCTTAAGCCCTGGGCCTATTTTGAAGCCTATTCTTCAAAAAATGTTAAAAATGGTATTTAATGGTAAAATAGTTTAGCTAGCCTTGTAGTGCTGGGTTTGCTGATGAATTTGATGGGAATTATTACCATTTCTTCTGTAGTGTGAGGGTTGTTTTGGGCCTGTTAAGGAACTAATGTCACAGGGTCCCCCAGGTGGGGGACCCTAGGGCTTAGTACCGCTGTCTGCTCATGTCTCAACGAAAAGCCCAAGTCCAAATAGTCCAAAGCAGATGCCAAAGTAGTTTCGAACTAGCGCTGTTTCTGTGTTGCAGCTCTAGCCTTAAGCCCACTCGACAAACATAGAGCGCTGTGATTGGCCAGACACAAAACATTTCAGGTCGACGGTAGATCTGCTGAGGCTGCAATGGAGCATGGCCGGACCGACCTGCAATGTAGAATCTTATTTCTACGGCTGGTCTAGATTTCTACGCTACCATTCAGATGTAAACAAAGCTTGAAAAAATGAATACCAAGCACTTGTTAGACGGCTGGATACCGTGCCTTTAGAGGTGCTTGTGTGAAACTGGGTGGTGCTGAAGCCTCCGGAGGTGGATGGAGTAGGAAGAAGCGTGCTGTTGGGTGTCATGTTTCCAGACGTGGATTTGAGAGACTGTGTGGTGCTTTGTGTTGAGCCTCCGGAGGTGGATGTGAGTGGCTGAGTGGAGGTGGTGGCGATGGCTGTTACGGTAGCTCCATCACTGCTGATGGTGGACTGACGGGTACCTGGACTGCTGGTGGCAGAAGACGGTGGGGACATGTCAGTAGGCGTTTGCTGGATGGAGGTTACGGAGGTGATGGAGGAAGATGTCAGTGTTGGTGCAACAGTTGAAGTATTCACTGAATCGAGGACTTCCACTGACACTAATACTGAAGGTAGAAGGAGTCCAAACAAGAGGAGGTGCAGGATACCTGCAGAATAAGATGGTTTGGGTGGAAACAGAAAATGTTTAAGCATCTTGCTGAGTTCTCAGCGTGACAAAAACGTGAAAACAAAATATCAAAGCTAATCAGGAGATGTTTCTTCTGTTTTTTGGTATTTCATACAAAACAGTTCCCATAGGCATTAGATCAATATGTTCAGCAAATACCGTGGAGAATGTCTGGATGTTGCACAGTTAGATTTTGGAATTGATTATGCATCCGAACTGTTTTCTCACTGAAATGTTTAAACATTTGCTGATACTCAAATGTTCTGAAGATATTTAGATTTGGTGATGCCATGACTTTGTTAGGACAATATGGGTGACTTACCTGAACAGCAATTGGCCCTGAAGCACACACATTTATGCATCTCGTGGGATTAACTTTAATAATTGATAACATTTGAATAAATAATTCAATAATTACCTGGAAAGAATGACCTATGAATACATCAAAAATGTCCTCTTTATTTTTAAAATAACATCATAATGATTGTGCTATTAGCAAAGAGCTACCGGTAATTAGAAAATATTAAAAATCCCACAATAAGATGGATAAATAATGACAGAATTAGAAAAGGTTGCAGTCGTATTGTAGACAAATGTTGGTATTTTCTGAAACATCTTTAGATAATAAGACAAAATAAAGAGATTTTGAAGAAATACCTGTGTTCTTCACAAAAGCAGAAGCCATCATCCCAGTGGAAGAAAGGGAGGCAGCTCTCTGTCCAGCCTGTGAAAACGTGTGATCTGTTAAATTATTTATTGCTTATCAGCCGGCAAACTTTTGATAGTATTCACAAACGTCTGATCTAATTATGTTAACGATGACACAATGTGGGGACGGTTCACGATGTTTACTCCGTTTCACCGTGATCCGCCCCTGCAGCTCTTCTTTACAGTCCTTTTATGAAACTGATCTAATTGTTTGAGTGAGTCACAAGAAAGGTGTAAATGTGAGCGTTGAGGTGGGAATGCCTCTCGAGGGGGTTAAAACTTTCCACGGAAAAGCAGTTTTCACTACTTTGAACATTTTTAAATCTCCCTTCAAGCACTTTCCTGCCAAACCAGTCCAGTGTTGAGACACACAATAATATGTAAAGTTTCTTGGTTTGAGCACAATTAAATCTGTTTTGTTCTTTGAGCAGTCCCCTTGGGAGAGCTGCTAAGTGAGCACAACTTGTTTTTTTTTTTTCCTTTCTCCCCGGATCCCAGCTTGAGCTCCTTTGGGTGCTGCAACCTGGAAACTGTGTGACAACATGGGTCATTTTGACTTCCATGTCAACAAGGAATCCCGAAATGTTTAGTTTAACAGGGAAAAATCAGATTTCCAGGTTCAGCGCACCGATAACTAACGTTTAATGTTAGAGATTTTTATGTTTCTGAGACCCCGCGTCATTTCAAGGTAGGTCAAATATTTATTTTCAGCTTTTGCGTGTATTTGATTCCAGTTTAAAATTATTTTCATCTCTATTTGCAGGTATCAACAACTAAAACCCCAATTATCTTCAGAAAATACCTTCTGAATCTTTCAGGAAAGAAGAAAACATCTGAAATTAGTGATCACATGCATTTAACATCAAAATTTAAAAGATGGGAGTAAGTTATGTGCAACAATTCTTTTTAAGATGAAACTAGACAGATAAAAACACGTTGAACTCAAAGAGATACAAACACAAACTAAACAATCTTTTGTATTTAGCTTACATATAAAACAATCAATTTCATTAACGCATATTTTAAATAAAAGAAAGACATCTATCTGTTGGATCACTCACTCGGTGATCCAGCTGTTTAGAAATATCCCAACTCTATTTGGTGGAACTGAAACAATCGAGACCCTGAAACGACAAAAGTCCACTCACCTGTTGCCCTCTACGATTAATTTTGTTTTTTTTTTGGTCAACTAAAGTTAAAGTAAATGAGCCTTTTCTCTCTCTGGAGTTCCCTTCCTCTGCTGTGCTCCGTTACCTCCCCCTCTGCTTCCTGCTGACAACAGCAAAGTGGAAACTCACCTGCAGCAGCAGTGAGAGGAGGGCACTACGGGCCTGCTGGGTGGGTCTTAATGATGATGTGGTAATCATTACAGGTAAAATCTCTTCTGTTTTGTTGTTTTCTTGAGAGTGGAGAATTTGACCACTTATTTGACCAAATCAGGGGCATTCTTAAATGTCTTCTCAAGCCTTTTTCAACACGCTGTTTACTACAGCTTCTCTGAGCATATCCGCAAAAAAAGTAAACAAATAAATAAATCAGGATTACCGCTTTCTGTAGTGTTCAGTTACTTTGATATGAGCTGAAACCATGCAATGAAAGATTTGCTAAAATAACTCAGTGGATTAAGGCTTTCCAAGTCTATAAGAGCACAGGTGAGATTTCAGAGCCCTGTGGGGGGATTGTGTAGGGAGCCTCCTGGTTTCTGTTGAGCACAATGTGAAATCAGAGCCACTCTCCCTCTCGGAGAGCCATAAAGCCCCGGAACACAACAAATACCTCTTTGTGGGCCGAAGAACGTAGAATTCTTGGGCTCAACACCAAACGAACGCTCGCAATTCAGATGACAGAGGTTTTTCCTTCTTTCATCCAAGCTGTTTGATGCATAATTAATTGTGGAGTATTTCAGAAATTCCGTGTTCTGCTTTTTTTTTTCTTGTTCTGTGCAGGTTGTGAAGGTAGCCCTTCTTCAAATGCCTTCAGGAATTAAACCCAGCTGTCCAAAACGCCAGACTTCCATGGAAACATTGAAAGCCTAATCCTAATCCTCATAAATAATAATAATAACACAAGAAAAAAAATGCAAATGTTAGATTAAAAGTAAGATTTTTACTTTATGAATGTATTACTTTTGTTTTGTTATTACATTATTATCACCATATACTAAATCATAACTCTTATTCCCACAATTCAAAATAAAAGATGCAAAGATTTTATTGCTTCTTATCGGTGTGGATATTAAAAAGGTTCCTATAATGTTTGGACACGCCTAATCCTCAAATACCATTTTAGAAGTTTAAAATCTTCACATTTACTTAAAGAGCAAGTCACCCCCTACAAGAAACTTACTTCACTCCCACTTCATGTTTGAAAAACGCAACAAATGCTGTTGCTGGCAGACCGAGAGGGCGGAGCCACTAACAAATAGACACACACACAGGCTCACAATGGCATTATTACATCATAATGTACCAGATGACATCATAGCATACCTCTTAGCCAATAGCGGTGTGTTACGTTCCCCGGTAGGTTGTGTGAAGTTTATGGTTGTGTTTTACTTTTCATGTCACACAACATGGATCCTCTGAGCCTCTGGGGACAAGGACTCTTTGACTCTGCCAAGGGCTGCAGAGTTCAGGACCAGCAGCCTTGTGTGAACTTTGCCCCAAATGACATCAACGGACAGCTCCGGAGCAGAAGCTGCAGCTGAGGCGGATTGGGACTGATTGCGGTTGCCACATGAGGAGGATAAAACGTCATTGGAACCATTACACGGGGAGCAACTCCTACCCATGGGTTGACTCCACTCCACGCTCCCTTTTCTCTGTTAAATGGTTTAGTCTGCTAACATCTTGAGAAAGTGCTATTTTAACTGAGAGTAAATCTCTGCACTTTTCTGGTCCAAACTGTGGAGAGGATCTGTTTTAAACTTGGTGGTATTTTTGTTATTAGCTTTAGGATCTTAGTTGTTTTGTTGGTACCAGTTAAAGATAATTTGTGGGTAAAGAAATGCCAAATATTGTGTTTGTTTTGTGTGTAAAACTTCCTGGTCCCAGCTGGGTTTTTGTTATGTTTGTAAATTCTTGTAATTATAATTGAACACAAGGAAAGATAAATTATTATTTTACAACCCGTTTCATTCCCTGATTTTTCCCCTTAACTAGAGTCGAGAACGTAATAGGTGGCAGATTTAAATTCAAATACAGTGCAGAATTTTTCCCTGACGACGGCGCAACACTGACAGTTTTAGGCAGAATATTTGAATTTTAACCAAGATGCACTGAACTGCCAAATTATTGACTACACGTGTCTGTAGCATGATTAGACACTCCTTTATTTAGTTTATCAGCAAAAAAAAAAGTGATTTGGGGGTGACTTGCTCTTTAAAGAGCAAGTCACCCCCTGCCAGATTCTTACTTCCTGTTTTAAAAATGCAACAAATGCTGTTGCCTAGCAGACCGAGGGCAGAGCCACTAACAAATACACACTCACGACATTGTGACATCATAATGTACCATCTAACATCATAGCGTACCTCCTAGCCAATAGTGATGGCAGATTTAAATTAAAATGCAGTGCAGAGTTTTTGCCTGACGACGGTGCAACACTGACAGTTTTAGGCAGATTATTTAAATTTTAACTAAGATTAACGAAAGTGTCAAATTATTGACTGAACGTGTCTACAGAGCAATTAGACACTCATTTATATAGTTTATCAACAGAAAAAGTTGATTTCAGGGTCTCGATTGTTTCAGTTCCACCAAACAGTTTACAGCAAACAGTATTGTTTGAAAAGTCGTGAACACTGAGGAAGTGAACATGAAGGAAGATCGTGCCATGTTTCATCTTTGATGCTCTCAATGATGAAAGTTTTTTTGCCCAAAATCTTAAATACATGACCCCATTTTTCCTTTCCTTAATATGGACCAGTCACCCTGTCCCCTTTGAAGAAAAGCCCCAAAGCATAATGTTTCCTCCCCAATGCTACACAGTGGGTATGGTGTCCTTGGGATGCAACTCAGCAATCCTCTCAGTCCAAACACGGCGAGTGGTGTTTATCCCAAAGAGTTTGATTCTGGTCTCATCTGATGACTTTCTCCCAGATCTCCTCTGGACCATCCAGGAAGCAAACTGTAGACAGGCCTGGCTTAAGCAGGGAGACCTTTTGGTGCTGCAGGATCTCAATCCATAACGACGTAATGTGTTACTAATAGTAACTTTTGTTACTGTGGTCCCAGCTGTCTTCAGGTCATTGACCCTTGTGTAGTTCTGGACTTTTTCCGCACCGTTCTCAAGATCATTTGTACTCCACAAGGTGAGATTTTGCATAGAGCCCCATGTTGAGGGAGATTGTCAGTGATCTTGCTTTTATTGTTAGCTTTTGTTCTTTTTTCTAGTACTTGTTCCAACAGTTGATGTCGTCTCAAAACACTGCTTGTCAAACGTAGATAGGCTCATTCCGGTCTTGTGCAGGTGGACTATCTTGTTCCTAGTGTTCCGACAGCTCTCTGGTCTTGGCCATGGTGGAGGTAGGCGTATGACTGTTTGAAGATGCAGACAGGTGTCTTTTATACTAATGATGAGTTCAAACAGACGCCATTAACACAGACAGTGGAGCATAGAAGAGCTTCTTAAAGAAGTAACAGGTCTGCGAGCGTCAGAAATCTTGATTGTTTGTGGGTTTTAAATAGTTGTTTTTGGAAACATCGTATGCATAGATTCTATAATACCACAAAATCAATCAATCAATCAATCAATCAAAGCTTTATTTATAAAGCGCCTTCCGCAACCCTGTCAGGAAGCCCAAGGCGCTGAACATGGTACAGTACAAAGTTAAATAAAGTGAATAAATCAGAAAATAAAAGCAATTCAAATTACAGATTACAAATTACAAAAAAGGTGAAACATTCTAGTAGAAGACAAATGTGTAAAACAAGGGAAAAAGTGAACCAATGAAAACTGTGAGATAAAATCAACATACAAGAGGGCCAAATTCAAACATGTTCAGGAAACGCCAAGCGGAGGAGGTGGGTTTTTAGGCGACTCTTGAAGACTGGCAGAGATGGGGACAGCCTAACTGAGGGTGGCAACTGGTTCCATAGTGACGGTGCTAGGACTGAGAAAGCCCGGTCCCCGAGAGTACGACACCTAGAACGAGGGACAATGAGCAGGCCTTGGTCAGAGGAGCACAGAGTGCGTGATGGGGAATGTTTGTTCAGGAGCGTGGCCAGATAGGGGGGAGCTCCACCCTGGAAGAAATTAAAAACAAAGACGAGGAGTCTGAATTGTGAACGATAGCAAACCGGAAGCCAGTGCAGGGAGGCCAGAACCGGACTGATGTGGTCCCGTTTCCTGGTCCCAGTCAGGAACCTGGCTGCGCTGTTCTGCACAACCTGTAGGCGACGCAGTGATGACTGACACAACCCTGCATATAGAGAGCTGCAGTAATCAAGCCTAGAAATTACAAAAGCATGGAGTACCTGCTCCAGGTGGGCCCTTGACAGCATATGCTTGATTTTTCCAAGGCGTCTCAGGTGAAAGAAACTGGACCGGATCACAGAGTTGATGTGGGCATCAAATTTAAGTCCATCATCAATTTTCACCCCCAAACTGGTCACAACTGGTTTTGAGTAGGGAGAAAGAGGCCCAAGATCAACATAACGATCCACATTCCTGCTGTTGGGGTGAAAAACAATGAGCTCTGTCTTTCCCTCATTCAGATGCAGAACGTTGGCCATTAGCCAAGACTTCACCTCGTTAACACAGGACACAAAGGACTGGATAGAGTGACCTTTCTCCTGACACAATGGAGAGTAAATCTGGCAATCGTCAGCATAGAGATGGAATGATAATTGATGTTTACGAAAGATTGACCCCAGAGGTAGCAGATAAATGGCAAACAAAAGAGGACCAAGGATCGATCCCTGCGGCACCCCCCAGCGGAGCCCCTCCCAAGAAGAAAAAACATCACCCAGTTTAACACAGAATGTGGAGATACGATCTAAACCAATCCAGAGCTGCCCCTTTGATCCCAACCCATCGTTCCAAGCGATCCAGTAGAATCGCGTGGTCAACTTTGTCGAAGGCTGCTGTCAGGTCTAACAACCAGTGTTGCCAGATGTACGATAATTATCGTATTTGTACCATAATTTTGGGCTCTGTACGATGTACGATCAATAGTTTCAAAAATCCTCAAATGTACGATAATTTCACATTGCACCTAGTAACACTGTCTTTTGCTGTGGCTTTCCCA